TATATATATAAATATAATTTTGTTTAGTCACTTGGTAGGCATCTCCAAAATTTCTTTGAACATTTTAATTTTTTGTTAGTTCCAGGAGGCAAAAGATGTCTCAAAAACTTAGATTATTTCAAAGATAAACATTTACAGGAGAACCTCGCTAATTCAAACCCTGCACACCGAAAATTTTGGATAATCCGAACAAAATTCAGAAAGGAGGAAAAATAAACAAAAGAAATAAAATGCATAATTGTAGTGAAAAGAATGAACTATATAAATACTATAGAACTGAACAACTAATTATTGCAACACAATTTGTCAAAATGAAACGTTTATTACACCGGTAACTACAGTGTATATCACATGTTTATGTAACAGTAATTTTCACTTAAAAGAACTTGCAAAATCGGTAACCTTTACTGTAGCTGAATCTATTTGATAATGCAATGTGATGCAACACCATCGTTCACCACAATGCCATTTTCTCACATTGCATTATCTGGTAATCCTATAGATGTATTTGTATATATACGGGTACGTTTTTCACATAATCCAAACATTTCAGAATCCAAATAGACCACATCTCCAATTAGTTTGGATTACCAGGGTTCTTCTGTATTTCCTTAATTCATCAAAATTTTAGAAGGTAAAGCTCCACATTATTAATTCCCTTAAAGGTTTCAACTACTTATCACTGTATTCTACATCTCAATTTGAACTGACTGCCTTGAACTTTAATACATGGAACATCACAAAAAAGCACTATTTTCTGTACAATCACATTAAAAACAAATATTAGTACTTTTGTTCAAACTCCAAACAATATTCTAAAAGAAACAGATTCACTAATTACCTTTCTATAGTTACAATGATATTTTGTTAAAAAATAATTAAATGTTTCACAAAATAAAATATTTCATTTATCTAAGAATACACAAAATGAACTACTTTATTAAAAATACATTATTGGTAGAATGCACTGAGTTTTGGTTCTACAAATAAAACTGTCCCCTCAATTTCTGTACCAAACTTTCATATTACTCTATTTTTGGGCTTTTTTCTGTCAAAGGGGAAAAGAAGATTACAAAGCAACAAAACATTCTAAAATATTTATAAAAACTTAATTTTTCAAGTTTAAAAATTATGAAAACAATTTGACAAAAACCGGTATAAAATAAAGTGAAATTTTAATATTTCAAGATTGAGTGATTTAACAACACTCGATGGTTTTACCCTCGCTCAACAGTTAATAGCAGAAGAGACAAGTAGAAGGGTGATGTTGCCAAAACAATATATCTTGTAGTGTACAAGGTACCATTTAGTACACCAAATTGCAACCATAGCTATGCAATGTTACCAATTAAGTATTTATCTTCCCTCACCCACAACTCAGGCTAGTAGGGCCAAATGTCAAGTTTAAGTGTGAAGTGATCAAGCAATTTAGCAACTCCTTTGCCTAGCAATGGATGTGTGTTTATTGTGTGATGATTTTGTTGTTTTGATTGCTAGCTTCTAGGAGAAATAAGAGTGAACCAGATCAGAAATGTTCCAAAAAAAGTCTTAACCTCGCTCACTGTTGATAATGTGTAACGTAAAAAAGTTCCCACTTCAAAAGCAAGGGCGCTTCAAAGAAGTTTTCATCACAAAAAATAAACATTTCCATTTTACAAGCAAAATGCTTTTTAGGAAGATATTGCATAGAGTTGTGAGTTGTTTATGATTTCACTACTGCTACCAAAGAAGAGCATGCGAGTGAGTGCTCGGTACCACCTCCAACATTTGGAAACCTCAGGAACAATCATAACATTTGCACATTGCCAGTCATCTTTATAGTTCAACCTCTCCTGCTCAGTGAATATAAAAAGAGCACACACTTTACACACCGACATCTAAGGCACTTACGTGATGGTTTTCTTCTCAACGTTCTTGGGTTCCGGCCGCGCCCTATTGAGCACCTTCAGGAAGTCTGAAGTCTTAGCCCGCATCCGCGAGTGTATGTAGGCTTTGGAGCACTTAATGTGGTAATGCAGATAGTCCCGAAACATATGAATTAGATTGATGGTGTTATCACGTGTTGCTTGTGCAGTATGTCTTGGAAAGAGAACTGTTGGAGAAAGAAAACAACATTACTATTACCTTAAAAAAGGTCCACCTTTTTCACACATGTCAAATAAAGACACTTGAGAAACAGTTTCTAAGACTCTGGAAAACATTTTCACTATTATTTTCACTGTCAGTGAAGACTCTTTCACATACTGATATTATGTTATTTTAACATGATGACTTTACGTTAAGGCTGCAATGTACTTGTATTGTGAATAAACCCAACCAAACTTATACATGTCCAATGTCTATTCATTTCCAGTAACAATAAAAAAATTTAGAAAATCCTATAGTGTCAGAATATTTTTGTTATGCTTCCTAATAGTGTTTATGTATCCCAATAAGATATCCGAGAAAAGGAGCAAACTAACTCAAATAATTCATACTAACATTATTTCATTGAGTAAAACACGGTTTTAAACATTTAAAGATGATTGCAACAAGCTTTACATTTCATACTTGTTTAACCAAGGCAGAATTTTCTTTGTATATAGGATTACTAAATTGAATAAAGAGAAAGAAATTTACTTTATTTCCCAAATATAAGATATTATAAAACTAAAGTAATATCCTATCTAAAACTTGTTCATGACATAGAAATGTACTTCCCCCCCTGTTGATAATTAAATAGAAAATATAATAGTTCAATCTAAAATATTAATTCAGCACAATATTTCAGAGAATTGAATTAAATTCAACTTCTAAAATGAAGAGCACAGAAAGCATGCAGAACTCTCACGCAAATGCAAACCTATGACTCAAATTTCAAATGGCAGGACTCATCATTTAAAAAAGTAATTGTCTTACCAAATGTAATGTACCCGATGTTCTCTCCAACACGTGCATCTGTGTTTTGCAATTCAAGCGGTGGTTCCCTGTGACTGAACAGAACCTGAGGCGCTGTGTGGGAAGCACGTCTTCCTTCTTTAAATTCTTGCATGAACACCTTGCCAATAACAACATCATCCTCATCCTTGAAGATCGTGCTGAATACCACTGTCACTCTGTCAGCCTTAGCTTCAACATACCTGCAATAAAAATTGGGTGTCGTTCATAGGCATCTCAAAAAACAACACACGTTGTCAACTAAGTTACGAATAGCATTAGAGTATATTTATAAAAAAATAAAAGAATCAAAATGCTTCTTCCTCTCTTTGTAAAGCTATAAAAGTTTTCAATTTGTTTGCAATGACAACAGCAAAAGATTTATGTGAATTATGTTAAACCATTTATTAATGAAAACTAAACACTGCCTTGGATTAATTTTTACCTTACAAAATATCTTTCAAAAAAACAAAATGTCTACTTCTAATTGAAGATTTCAGTTTTCAACTTAAAAATAAAAATCAATTATCACAATGATTCAACAATTTATAAATCCACAATCACCTTCAATAAATACATATCTCGTATATTGCTACTACTCTGTCTCATAAAACTGATCTACAAAAGAGATATTATAATAAAGAAACTGAAAATCTCTACTAATAATCATGTACATAAAAATGATATTAAAAAATTCAATAGCACTAAATAACCAAAATTTTTTTAGTTTCCAACCAGAAAAAAATAAAACAGAAAAATTCATGTAATTAATAGAAAATACACATACACATCAAAAACACAACCATTAAATTCATATAGTTTTTACATACGTATACCTTTTTTGTTTATAGAATCTTCATATCTCAAACCACCATTTTCATTTCACATAAGGATAGAACATTGGCAAATACAATAAAATGCCATCACAATCTATAACCTTTCAATAATATGGCATCACCAAAAAAATGTGAGCAATGACTTACAAGGTTTCATCATTTCTGTAGTTGATGACAGCTCTTTTGTGACCCTCTTCACCTCTTTCTTGAAAATCAAAATACTTTTCAAATACTGATGCAAAACAATTTCTTTTTAATAAACCAATCTTTTTTACTACATTTTCCCAGTCTTCAGGAACATTTTCTAAGTCAACCAAAACAGAAACATTGTAACCTGGAAAAAAAAATTGCATATCAGAAAACCATAACAGAGTTTGATACAAATGAATTTACACAAAAAATTATTCCTACACACCATCTTCCACTTGTGTTAAAAGAGGGCCATATTCCTTTTTTAATAGTTCATCAGCACCATGCTCTTGCAATTCTTTGTAAAACTTTAGTGAGATACTTATCTGAAACAAAAATCCAAACCAATGTAAAATTTTTAAAACACCTAGAGTACTTAAATGATTCTATAAATAAATAATAGACCATTTACTTACTCTCACTTTTGTCTTATCCCCTCCAACATTAGAAATGTGAAAAAGTACCCCATCAAAGTCAGCTATCGTAATGTCAGTTGATTCTGGTTTATGGCTGAAAACACCATTTAATCATTAATTACACAAATACACTTTTTATAGCACAAAATTTCAGCACTATAGGACAATAAATCCATGGTAATGTTGGAAAAGGTTTTCACTAAAACATCCAAAACATTCAGGTCACTCACTGTCAATGTCATCAAACGTTATGTCAAATTTTTCAAAATCGAAAACTTAAGCTTGGCATCAATCACAAGCGACGTATCTTTCGGTGAGGGCACTTCGTGACAGAAATACAACCTCTAAAACATGCTCTTCAATTCATCCTGAAGATCTCTCATGCTTATCTGGGTGCACTACGCCCTACCGGTGCTGTGCGGGCGGTGCTTGTTCTGGTTAGGGATCGAATAACTTACCCTAAAAGAGCATTCTTGAATTTCACAGACAGCGTTTCTTCGACAATGCGGTTATTGATCTCAAGCAAGATCATTATTACTCCTAAGAATATTTAACAAATTCATAAACGCATGAATACTGTGGCAAATACTAATCTTTCCTCCAGGGTGTATGCCACCGGAAGTTACAACTTTAACATGGAGAAGAACGATATGCTGGCATTGGTTAAATCTACCCCACGTGATCCATTGACAACAAATGAACAGTGTAAATGGAGCAGCGAAATGCGCAACCTTATCAAGTGCTGCCGAGCAGTGTGTGGCGGTGTGTATGTTGCTTCACCAAGAACACGTGTCGGGTGACAGTTTAAATGCTACCTTGTCAGTTATAATTGTACTGTTGCTTCTTTCCTGTGAAATTTCATATTTTACAAAATGCCTGCTGCGCGTAAAGTGGAACACTTGGTCGTTGATACAACAGCTTTCATCAAGAATGCGAATATTCAGGTATTGTTTATTTCAAAATGTGTTGTCATGGTGTAGTTTTCTTGACTATTTGAATGCCATGGAAATTTTTGTTTTGACTGTTTTAATTTAAGGATCTTGCTAGCAACGTATACACGGTTCAAGGCGTTGTAGACGAAATAACTAACAAAAGGCAATTAAGAAGACTGGTTGTACTTCCTTATGATTTAATAATCAAAGATGTCTTTACTGAAAATATTAAATTTGGTAAGCAATTTTATGTTTGCTAGTAAAACATAGTTTCATTGGATATAATTGAACATATTCTCATTTGTGCATTAAATTTCATTTTTCTTGTTCATTATTTATCATAACTTGATTACTCTCATCTCTTTTTAATATTTAGGCTAGGTGCAGCAAATTGCTTTATCGCCTTGGACCCCGACCTGTTTATTGTCCTTCCTCCTTGCCTTCTGTTTGTCTTCATAACCCATCATGCAACTGTAAGATGTATTTCCACAGTTTCAAAAATGACTAGGTCAGAGGTACCTAAAGAACACTGTGAACCATTTGTAGTACACCAATTTGCTCTTTGTGGCCATATCTTTTAACTTCAGTGAATCCTATTATTCAATGGTAAAATGTTCAGAACCATTGATATAAATACTTTTCTTGGGGGGGAGTGAAAATTTCTTCAGTTAAGGTTTTTTTTACATCTTTTTATTCATTAATAAAATAAACAAATCAATGGTTTGGTCAGCCATCAGTTTTTCTAAGAAGGAATATGCCAATTGTTGTTTGTGCAATAAAATGTGTCTAAGCCAGAATTGCTTATACACTAAAACTTTCCAGTGGAGTGAGGTTTCTCTTACAATGTTCATGTGGTATTGATATTTCCACACTAAAACTAGAAATGTACATTACTTTATTGTGAATGAAAAACATGCACATAGTAATGCATTTACACAGCAAAACACTAATAATGAAATATTCTTTGTTACTGCATATTATGTTGGTTTTTTGTTAAATATAAATTATATTATTTTACTATACTTATTTATTATTATATGATGTTGTTATGCTGAGTATGAAATTGACAAACATCCCAATTCATACACTACAAAATTGTTTCCAACATTTATCCAATGTTTTCTCTTTTTTAATTTTGCTACTTGCCAACTTGTTTTCAATTATGTTTTTCTAAAAAATCTAGTAGTTTAGGATTATTAACAGTGAGTGCAAACTTGTGAACAGAGGGAATCATTTTATTTACCACTGTTATCTACAGTACCTGATCTGGGAATGATATTGTCACTTGTAGTGTCAATAACTCACTATATAAACACTTATCAATATTAATTACTTGTACTTCCCGCTCTCCAATCACTACACATACCTTTTGCACATCGTGGGCTACATCTTAAATGGCATTCTCTGTTGGCGATTCATCACATCAGCTAATGAAACATGCCCGATTGAAGCATTTTTGGATGGTATAAGACTTTATAGATTTTACTGCTTTGTCTATTCACTGAATTGCATCAAGAACTGAAAGTGATTTCAACAATTCAGTTACAATAATACTGTCTTCAATTTTTCAAATGAATGGTTGTAGCAAAAACTTGCAGTGATGACTAATGATTCTTCAAGCAGTAAATTGTACCTTGATCCATAGGTTGCATAACAGCTGTGGTATTAGCACACCTATCCTGTATTGGAAAGATTTAAGTGGTGTTGTCTTAAATTGTCTAGAAATAATAAAACATTTCTTTTTAGTTTCATTTTGTTGTTGAAGCAAACAAGTCATACTTCTATCAATGAGGCTGTCATTCAAACCTTCTTATTAAGAGTTTTTTTCTTTTGCAGGACATGTAAAATGATTGGTTTTTTGCTGTACAAAATGCCATTTAACTTTGTGGCCAAAAGTAGTTTTTGTTTAAGGCATGTTTCCAGCTTGGTCAGATTTTACTATATTACTTTTTAGATATTTAAATTACTTTTATCCAGGCATGTTTTTGAACCGTAAATATTTGCCATTCGGCTAATTGAATACACTCGTTGCCCCAACAAGAATATCTGGCATATTTAATTTGTTCCCTTAAATCTTCATGAATTCACTAATCATAACATACCTTTCTGTGATAAGGATGGTTTAGAGGAAACAGGAACATATACCCTTACCCAGGTTTACGCTTTTGCAAAGAATTTAAATTTGAAGACATTTAAAATTTGAAAATGTTTCAGAAATCATTCTTTTCGATTAGTTAAAATATTATAATGATGAAAACCATTACACCTTCCAGCTGAATATTTTAAATACTCCAAAATTTGCCCAAATTTCAAAATGTTTGTCTTGTAGGAAATCCCCCCCCAAGAAACCATAAATTCATAATATGTTAATGACACATAATCTATTAAGATGGGAAAGGTTGAAAATGTTGAATTTAAATTCCCCCAAAAGCGGTGGTGTTGTTTCACTTTTTTCTAAAATTTTGAATTATTTTGAACATCATATTAGCGCTTATTTACCAAACAATAGTTTATTTTGCAACTTCACATAGAGAATCTTATCATGTGTCAGTTCAGATATTATAGAATAACCAGTTGTTGTTTTTGTTTTTTGTGAGAATAAAAATATTTTATTTTGCAATTCTTTTTTTGCATGTTTGTATACAATAGCAAAAACTTATCAATTTGAAATTGCTGTTTTAATCCTGGAAAAATTAGTAACATATACTGTTTATCTTGCACTGAACCCTGAGTAAGTCCTACTTATATAGTTGCAGGCCATTTAAAGACAAATGAAAAGTATCTATGTACCTGTACAAAAAAAGTAAATAAGATGTTAAACTAATTACAATAGAGATGTCATTTGTAGCGATACTCATCAAATAAGTATTAATGATAAAATGTGCAGACATTAATAACATGTAGATTTTTTTTCTTTGTGGGAGTGTAGTTACAGAATTTTCCAAGAAAACTGGAGACTACAGCAGTTTGTCAGCAGTGGACATCCAGGTGCTGGCTTTGGCTTATCAACTAGAAAAAGAACATGTTGGTGTTGCTCACTTAAAAACTGAACCAACCGTGCAAAGAGTGGATAAATTATCACAAAAATTAGATGCTTCTTATTTGGCCATTGCTGGATTCTACATGCCACCTAGAAAGGTATAAAATATTTTCTCCAAGCTGTCTTATGTATTCAAAATTATACTCATACTATAGTCATGTATTCATAATTATACCTTTAACCAATACCTCCACTAATGTTAGTTTTTATTTCAAGTTCTTTGGATAAAGGTTCTCCCAGTTTTACACATTCCTTGCATTGTTAATGTTGATCCTAACAAACTAGTTGTGTAATTTTTCTTCAAAAATTTTCTTTTCGTGTCCAGAATAAGGAAGAACTTCCAGAGGGAGAACAGAGTGGAGCTATAATAAGTGATGACGAAGATAAACAAACTGATCCAGGTCAGGATAAAGAAGAAGACTTGGAAAGTGATGTCGTCATTATTGAAGGTGGCAAACCACCGGTAAAAGTTTTTTAAAGTCTAAAATAAAAGAAAATTTGTGAAAGATTCTCAACAGTCATCTGAAATACCAAAGATTTTATTATTTCTGATTCAAATGCGCACAATTTAAGTACATCATTAGAATTAAATTAAAAATTACTCTTGGTGTTGAGAACATTGCTGCTTGAATTTGAAGGATATCAAAAACAAAAGTACATATGTAAGAAATGTCAAGAAACAGACCTTCAAGCAGGTTGTCTGTTGCGGGATTGCATTTGCTCTTGTCTAATTTAGATTCGTTTTTGTTCTTAACAAATATTAGTATTTATAATGTGAAAGTGTAATTCGTTTAATTTGTGTGAAATTCTTTCTTTTGACTCCGCATTTATTAGGTTGAGGTTAAGTGTAAGGGCCGTAAAACATACCAATATGACAAAAATAACATAGGCTGGTTATTGTCAATTTAAAATAATACACTAACTCTGTAATGTGAAGGTGATACAGTATTATTATCAACACCAGTTTTCTGTAATAGAAGTAAGGAATATTTGCTGCGTACAGTGCAGATTTCTCATATTCAATCTGTTTATGATTTTATGTGCATTTGATGATGTTTCAGAGTTTGGCATGTGCACCAACTATGCGGTTAGAGGATGCCACTATTATTGATCCAAAGAGGGTGCCTGAAGTAGACACTGTGACTGAACAGAAGGTTCCAGAGGTGGTAAGATCACACAAGTATTTTTTGTATTCTGTATACATTAATGTTGTATGTAAACATTGCTTTTAACAGAAAGGAAAGGTTCATAACATAAACTAACATAAAATAGAACAAAATATTCACAAGATGAAGTTAGGCCTTCACAGTTCGATCCCTGTTTTAGAATGCCATTATTTTTGTATCCCTTTTTACTTCGTTAATCCCTGCTGCAGGTAAAACGTTACGAATGTTGGTATTGAAATATTTGTGAATACATCAGTCTATGCATGTGTGTTCATCAGTATGTGATAGTTTTGATATAAGACAAGGTATTGGAAATGTTTAAAAAATACAATTAAATATTTGGCAGAATTACAAGGAATAGGACTTCTAATGTTGAGGTATGCCATACCTTGCAATATCCAAAATATTGTTATTTATACTTCTAAGTGTATTTTGTATTATCTATACTTCTATTGTAATTTATACTTAAAATTAATTGAAAATCCTTTAAGAGATTTTAAGAGTATTATAAGATTTATCCCCAGCATTTAGCACAAATTCAAATATGGCATCATATTGAGTAAAGTGTTTTTTTCAACTCAGTACATGATAATGGTGAAAGAAAATCAAAATATGTATGAGAAATGCCACATATATACTTGAGGATTGCTTAAGCAATCATGCATTGCGCATTCATGCATTCATGCATTAAGCAATCAGCAATCATGCATTAAGCAATCATGCATTGCGTAACTTCAAACACTACCGCGTGTATGTGCAACAAAGGTGGAGTATCCTGCAGATGTCAAAATTCCATTGCAATCACCAACCACATGATGAAAATGTCCTGTATCACAAAAGCTTAAAGCTATTAAGAACTGTTGCATGGGCGTTACAGGCTTATTGCTATTTGAAGGGTATTATTCTAGATGCAGTTCTATTTCTTCTAAAATCTTCAGGGACACTGCCTTTGACGTTCTGCATCTTGTTACAAACTGAGCATTGTCCAGAAGTCATAAATTTTGGTTTGGAGAAATTGCTTGTTCTAGATTCATAGCTTTTTAAAATATGTTTTCAGAAGATGAGCATCAAAATTCTTCCTTGTTAACATTTTGTCACTTGTGTGACCATTCATAGTACACCTTAGTAACAAATGAGAAACTGCGTAAATGGTAATTGTCTTCATATTCATTGTATTCATTAGAGATCACAGGCCACAGCTATAGCCTAAATCTGTGAATTCATTAAATCATTAGATACAGTCCTGAATTAATATTATGCAAGACTAGTTGGCAATCTTGAAATCATTTTAATATTTTAAAAATCAAATGTAATTTAAAACAAAGATAAAATCAGATTATTAAATATTATCTACCTATTGAAACTGTGTTAAGTATAAAAAACAAAATCTAAAATAATACTTTCTTAAGCATTTCAGGACTCTGTATATTAATTGGTAACATATGCCTCCTAGAAAAATAAAAACAAAATCGGTTTTCTTTAAAGTTCGTTTTTGTACAAAATTCTCTACTCTAGTATTTGGTTGCAAGAGAAGTGCTTTAGTTCGGTTATATTATAAAGAGAGAAAAATGTGCTATAATGTGTGAAACAGAACTAGAAAATTCATATTCCCAACCTAGAAAACCAGGAAAAAGCCATGAATTAAAAAAAGTCTGGTCGCTGGTCACCCTGTAGAAGCACACGTCCTTAAGTTTCCAACTCTAAAATAATGTGGTATCAGAATTACAAACTTGTGTGAGATGTTAAGGTTCTATTGCAATTCACATTATTTTTATGCATTTTCTTGGTTCCTGCAGGCTGAGCAGGAGATTGACAGCGAGTTCATGCGGGAAGTTCTCCACCAGGACAGGCAGATCCAGACAGAAGAGGAGGAGACCCAAGCCGTGAGAGACCTGGAAGAGGCCTTGCGCAAAACAGAGATGATGAAAGAGGTGCCTGCTGCTGCCGCATCGAGTGCAGAAAGCGCAGAGGAAGAAGCTGCACGTGCCACAACAGACGAAGAAGATTCTGAGGAGGATGAAGATGCATGGGACGACAGTGCATGGATTACACCTGATAATGTTGAGCAGGCAAAGCAAGATCTGAAAGCAGCCCAGGTAGAAGTAGATCCGGTCTCTGTTGCCTGCATTACTGGTGACTTTGCTATACAGGTAGGAATTGTCAAATTCCTAGAACTTATGTCCTGCACAACTTCTCTTGACCAATGGCCTACCTTCCCCCTCCTTGGTAAAAATACAGGCTCGCAGCAAGCACTGATGACAACTTTCCAATCTTATGAAATTATGCTATTTGCTGTTGAAGATGAGAATTCCTTTGTGTGTTTTTTGCAATCTAAAGAAATGGCTGAGGCAGGTGCAGGTCCTTCACAGGGGACCCCACAAACTTCAGAGAAAAATAGAACTGTAAATAGCAGCAAACCAAACGTTGTGACAGCATGAGAGTTGGAAGAAAGGAAAAAATTCTGATGTCTCCCCTTAACTAATGCTGGGGATTGGGCTTCTACTTGCGTTAGAGCCAGTATTTCTACGATACAATGAACAGACTTAAATACTCCATTAACTCCTACTGAAGGGGCCTGCTAAATATGGGTAACATCCAAAGAGAAAAAATTATGAAAATATGTAACTACATTTTTTACATAATTCCACCTACTTTCCACATATCTTTGAGTGAAAGATTGATTAATAGTAATTTAAGTTGTTGGTTACTATTTAGACTGACACAACTGATTAGGAATTGATTGTAATAAGATAAGATTTAACATGTCAGGTAAACAAAGTCAGTGTGCTTCCCAGTTCAAGGAATTAAGAAGTCAAACTTACATTGAAATGAAGGTTTGATTTTCTAGAGGTTGGCATTACTTTGAAAACTAGTGGCTGATTTTGTAATTAATATCCCTACTCTATACTTGGGTTTCTCCAAGCCATCGGTCAAGAACAGGTGTATGGATGTTGTGCCTGCTTATCTAATGTTTGTTAAATGAGCACTGTAAATGCTTAGAGGTAAGCAATTTAACAATTTCGTAATCAAACTACATATCTTTATAAAAGTATTCTTTATATGAAAAATGAAATAACATTTCCTTTACCAAGAGTAACAAGCATATATTCTACATTGTTTTTAAATTGTATATTAGACCTGTTCTCATTGGTAGAAAGACCTGACAAGATGGAGAGGATGTGCAGCGAGATCTTATTTTTACGTTGGGAGGGAAAACATTAGGATAAGAAAGCATTTTGTGCTGTTGAATAGAACTTGTTAAATTATTTTCTTCTCATAACATACAATATATCAAGTTTTTCATTAATTGTTTTGTGCTAATATTATATTACTTACAGCATCTGTGCATTTGTGTTTTGGAACAGAATGTCATCAAACAGCTGGGCATGAAGGTACTAGCAGCTGATGGGCGAATCATCAAAGAAATGCGCACACATATTTTGCGCTGCTACTCCTGTTTCAAAACAACCTCAAAGATGGAATTGCACTTTTGTCCTCACTGTGGTAATAAGACACTACGACGTGCAGCAGTTCTTCTAAAGCCCGATGGAACTGAAGAAGTTCAAATTAGTTTTCGAAAAGCTCCTACTGGGCGCGGAAAGAGGGTGCGTATGACTTAAAAGAACTATTGATATTTGATGTAATGCATTGTTGTTTGTGCAAGATAAATTGTCACTGTATGTAACATTTGGCTGCTGTTCTAAGTACTCTTTTCAGCACACGAAGGAGATTAATAATCTTAATTTTTTCAACTTGTATATTTCTTTATTATAGTATTTTTTGGTTACATCCCAAGTTGGATAAGGTGACACAAACAAGTTGACATGTTTGTGATTAAATATTTATTGATCATACGATTATCAATGACCAAAAGTTTATAAATATTTTGTGTTTGTTTGTATTTATTACATATTAAACCTAATATTTTCCATGTTGGATGAGTAGCCCTCATCAAAAATCTGAGATTCCTAGATGCAGTCTGCTTAGCCCATAAACATCCAACATCTTCCTTTAAGGATCCACATTGACGATTTATGATTTTGATATTTGTGAAAGATGGTGGTTGTTTAGTAGAGATCACTAAAAAATTATACACACTCCTGGCCAATGTGTATTCTTCATATGCATTGGTTCAAATCTTCTAAAACTATGCTATTCTTTAGCAACGATGATTTGGCAATAAATGTTGTGGACAGCTCCAACAACACAATTACCCTGTGCACACAACAGGTGCGACAGCAGCAAATACAAAATTGTTGATATCTTAAAGCTTCAGGAATTACAGTATACAACACTTTCTGCCAGTTAATTATGAACATTCATATTTCCAGTGTCAGCCAGGTCTTTTCTTTGTTTACTGTGTGATCAAGGTATAATTTCTGGCAAAGCTTTTTAAGTAATTTTTTTCCCCTCAGTTCTCCCTGCCTACACCAAAGGGCGGCAAGCATGCAGTTAATCCTATTCTTTGCCCTGACCAGCGGATTCCACAGCAACATGCCACACAATTGGCTTGTGCAAAGAACAATCCTTTGGAACCAGATTACATTGCAGGTAATGACATGTATATAAGAAATTATTTTTTAACCTTTGAACGATGCTACTTCTGTTGTTTGAACTTCACTGTCAATTTCAACACATATTAGAATTACAAGCTACAGTAGTATGTAATGTGATAAGCTTATAATTGTGTGCTCTATGTACGAGGGAAAATGTTTCAATGAGCAACAGGAGTGAGATTTCAAATGGAATTATTCACAAGGTTAAAAAATAGAAAGGAAACTAGTTCCATTTAGATTTTTGTATATAATGCTATTATAAATTGAGTGAGGTTTTGTAGCTTCCTTGTTTACAAGTGGCATCCTCCTCCTTCACTTTTTTGAGTGTGTAAAATCAGAGAAATTAAACCCAATAACCAATGGAAATACAAATCTAGTACTTCCTCTTGTAAGAGTCATATAAACAGGAAATAGTATGTATACGTCTACGACTCTATTAAGAACATTTGAAACTACAGACAGGAGACTGCTAAAAACCTTGAACACCATCTGGCTTTTCATTCCTGTTTGGTTGTGTTAAATTGATACAAGAATATAAAAATTACAATTGACAAAAAGTATGTATCGATTGTAAAATGCATAATCTTGTAAACTGTTTTTTATTTATTTTGCAGGGTATTCCCCCTTTGTATTGCGAGATGTCACTTCTCGATCTGCTATGCTTGGAATCAGAAGTAATCATACACAGATAAAGAATTGGATGCGAAGGAATCCTAATGAAGTTGTTAAAAAGGGAAAGAAGAGGAAATAAACTGATACTTTTTTTGTAATAAAATTATGTTGAATTGAAGATAGAAAAAAATTGTTGTGTGAATCCTGTATTAAAGACTAACAAAACAACTTTTTATTAAAGAATTTATTCATTTTACATTTATAATCCTAATTTTCTCCAATTACATATCAAAGATAGTATTTTTAACACAAGGAGGTCTGCTAATGAGAATTCTCATTTCATACTCTTCAGGAAATGTAGAGTTTTAGAACTTTTCACAACACCTTGTATTCAGCACTGTTCAGTACAGTCTGAGGATGGTTTGTGGTGCCGGTACGCAATGTGTTTAAGAAGCCTTGATTGCAAAGTTTTTTCCCCTCTAACTACATTGTGCAAGTGCGCATTTCAGAAATTCTAATAATGCTTTTTTCGCTTTGTAATAGATCGTGGGCGCCTATTTGAACTGTACGTGCTGCAGGCTATGTACTGAGAGGGTTGTAGGAACAGTGTGTAGTTGTTGTCTCCATCTGTGAAAAATGTGTGCTCCTGTTTGCCCCAACTGATTGGAGCGTCAGCAAACCCATTGACATGCAGGCTACCCCAAGGACTTGCTGGTGTGTCTTCTATGAATCTCCTGCAACAAATAAGTTTTTGTAGTTCACCAGGTCTTCAGTTTCCAAATTGCATACACATTCTGTTAAAGGTGATTATAAAAATGGTCTTATCAGAGGAGAGAAATTAATTTTTTCATTAATGTATTTTCTTCATTTTGTAATAATTTTTATATTAATGTAGTTTGATTTTGAAATCCATCATAAATGCAACTTGTTTGATTTTTTAATGCATTAAAATATACATAAAAATTGCAAATTAGTTTGTTTTCTTGAACTCAAAAAGTGTGTGTAATTAAGGGGGTTTAAATGGAACATCTCAGAAAGGATGTCTGTGCTACAAGTGCGCGGGGGGGAGCTCAACATTACAAACTTATTTTGTGATTGACCTCTCTGTGACTTTTTTTTGTTTAAGAAAATGCACTGTTAACTTACATGATTGATCACAGTGAAATTTGACTCTTAGCTAGCATATTTGCCCCTGTTGGTTAACTATCGAAGAATTCTCATTACCACGTATAGAAAATCTCAAGGATAGTTGAGACAATATCCGTCAGAGTAAAGTTAAAACATATATATGAAACTCAAAAATATGCTTTTTTCATTTGTACAGAGTACTCCTTGTAGATTGTTTTAAATCCAGCAAATAACGTGTTTGTTAACTTCAATTAAGATTTCCACCATAAATTCTTATCCTTGGGGGCAGTTATACATATTTTATTCTGCTACCCTTTTTCCAAAATGCAAGAAAGGTCATCAATGTACCCTTGCCCAAATCTTCATCAATGTACCCTTGCCAGCAGTAAACAAACATCAAAAAAAGTACTTTGAGGAACTCTTGCAAACTTTCAACAGTCAAAGATTGTATAAAAAAGAGGCAACACAAACACATTCCACTTTGAAAAATGATCAATATAATTTTTAAAGTGAAACTTGGACCAGAGTGAGGTGTCATTAAGTAAAATAGCAAGATACTTTATACAGTACTGGGTCCTTCATATTTGAATTAGTAGGGGGGTCACAAAACCGTTATAATGCAATAGTATCTATTTGTTCAAGCAATTCTTGATTATGAAGACAAGAATATATACTATAAATCAATGTAGCTCTTAATGTTACATGCTGGTTTCAATTGAATTTAAAAACCTATCTAATGTACAAATGTCATGAAATAATTTCTTCAAAACAATCTAGGGAGGTGGAGTAATTCTTATTTTTCTCTAAAACAAAGAGGAGGGAGGATTTTTCCCTTTTCATAATTAAAATTTATAAAACACTTCCCAGATCCGTAAATTATTGACTGACCTGAGCAGAGAGTAAAAACTGTATATCCTCTGTGCAGAAAAAAATCCTCTCCACTCCAAAACAAGAACACCATTGCACATGACAGTGGGTGAAGGAGGCTCGTAACTATTTAAATAGTTGTCCGGAGACCCAGTTGTTCTGCAACATTTCAAATTAATGACAGCGTTATGATAATGCATGGAACAGTGTTCAGACAGGTTGCCATGCTAATTATGCCAGTCCACAAGGTGAAAACACTCATAAGAGAGATTGGAACCAAATAGTTAAGGGAAGTGTCATGGAACATTGTATCACTTCAAAATGTCAGGATATTTTTTAAAACCATCTGGAAATATTATTTAATTAATCATTTATAAGAAAAGAAATCAACAGACTAATATCCAAACAGAGCTAAAGCTTGAAATTTGGAACATGCAGCACCAGGATACTCTAGTTAGTCAATAATAAAAATTAAATTATTTAATACTACTTAATACTGTTTCACCCTGAAATTGCAATTTTATTTCATCTCCACATCATCAAAATAACAATCAAGTCAACCATTAAAAGAAGTTATAAATACAAGAGAACTTCCACCTTTTAACATAATCAAGTTAAATATTCAGTTTTTTTTATTCAAATTTTTGAAATAAGCGTATCAAACAACAGTCTTTGCAAAACAGATTCTACCAAGAAACAAACATTTTTTTAAATGCTCAAATATTGACTTCTCATATCATAAATAAATGAGTAATTATTTCTTCTAAAAAACTACAGCCTGTTTTGAAATTTGAAATTTTCTTTCATCTCCACATCATCAGCAATAACAGTCAAGGGGCTGACCAAAATTACGTAACACAAATTTGGAATATTTTGAATACCTCCTTTCCCCCTTGTAACACAATTGAACCCCCTAAATAATTACATAATGCTTGAGACAACACCCCTCCCCCTTGTAAATACTAGAAGTGAATATAAATTGTAACTCATTAAAAAAAATGTATTCATTTTATTTGTACGTATTAAAATTTATGATCCTTCAAATTGGAATTAGTTGTTGATGCTCACTGTTCCTAACAATAAGATAGGGGACAAATTTTGAGTGAAGGAAGAATGCACAAGCGAGAAAATTTATCACTGCTGTGCACACGCTGCTAATGTGGATGGCGCAAGGACGAGAGTGTGCTGTGCCAATTTAATTGTATTCTACGAAATGCTACAGGTCAGTTTTGAATATTTTCTTCATTCTCTTACAGATTCAATACAAAATTGATGTAAAAGCATTTCCATGTCAAAAACTGTAAAAAAAATAATCATCAACATTACGTAGCACTAATTGAATACACGCTGGCCCCTATGTAACGCAGCGTAATGCTGCCACAAACCCCCTTCACCCCTATTTAGTGTTACATAATTTATGTACAACCCCCCAAGTCGACCATTAAAAGTACTTATGAATACAAGAGAACATTCATCCTTTTAACATAAGCAAGTGAAAAAATTCAGGTTTTTATTCAAATTTCTGAAACTAGTTTATTAAACAACAGTCTTCAACAGTGTTAGATACTGCCAAGAAGCACAATGCATTTTTTTTTGTTTTAATGCATAAACATTGCTGTCTCATGCCATAAATAAATTAGTAATTATTTCTTCTAAGAAAACTTCTGTTTGCCTGTTTTGAAAACACTAAAACATGACAGCCATCCTTAGTTTGCCTGTTCTTAGCTTTAGGGAGAGAGGGGGAAATTGTTTAACTCACATATCTGCCCCCAGAGAGAAAGCTCCCAGCCATTCCACGAGATTCTCAGCATCTTCATTCCAGTCTTGAGGATCTTCATCCTCTTTGTGCAATGGGAAAGTGGGAACTGATACTTTCTGCTCAAAGTGCCTCGAAGTCTTGGGCTGACAAAGCAGCACAGAGTAACCACGAGTATGGAAATACGATGCAACAGATGATGGGCATATATTTTCTCCTGAAAAAAAATATTAGGCACCATGCTATACTAATGAATGTGGATTTCTCTAATTTTCAGTGAAAAATTGTGATTTTTATAATTGCAAAAACCTAGGAATCTTGCATAACAATGTTCGATCTTTAAAGAAATGGTGGGCATAAGATGAGGTGCAAATAGTATCATGTTTTCAGAACTGATAATAGCAATTATTGGGGTGATAAATGGATTAAGCGGTTTGGGAGAATGTAAGCTCGTTCTTCTTGTGAAACTCAATACCTTTTTGAATCAATAACTTTTCATTAATGTCTGTATGTATGTTTTCAAATATATGAGAATTCATTACACTATTATGTAATTTGTTCATAACCACATATTTTTTAGATGCACAAGATAATATAAAATTAAATTAGTCACTGAAAGATACCTCCCCCCTCCCCCCAAAAAACTATTATGAATTCTCACACAAGAAATGATTAAACTTCGTTACTACCGATCAAAATGAATTAACTCCTATACAATATCACACATGTTTTCTATGTCCAGAATTCTGAATTCCGAGGAATGAATATATGGAGTGACAATGTTTGCTTTATGGGAAAAACATGTTCCCTCTTACATGAACATACAAAACAAGAGGACTTCAAAAACGATAGTGAGTGAACATACGTTTTTATACTAAGTTATCAATATATAATATGTTGATGATTACTCAGTATACATTACTTTCTCAGGCAACAATTATTTTTCTTTATTGTTTAAATAATTTTTTGTGTCATTCTGCAATCTTTGGCATACATTCAGGAAGCATAAATTAGATTAAGAATTTGCTACAAACTAAATTGAAACAACTTGTGCTGTTAATACTTTTAATCTGTTGCTCAACTATACGAAAGGGCTAGGTCCACCATTGCCAATAGCATGTGCAGATGCTGGCAAAAGACACATCGGTAAACTTCCACTAGGATTTAGACATCTTGAAATATAAGGAAAATGAACATTACAGAGCGTATGCTTGTATGTATGTATGTAACGAACTAGGTACGCATGTGCTACAAAAAAATTGGAGCGACTAGGGTGATCACTTTCAAATCTGGCATGAATATTTCACTGACCAAGAATAAAATATAATCCAAATGATTCAAATTCTTCTCCCAAAATGTGTTATAGACAATATTTAGTGAACTGAAAGCTCCAAAACATCTGGACAGCATTGTCGCCTGGCGATGCAGGACGAGCATGGTGATCGGAAAAAGTGGGCGGAGCAGAATGAGTGGACCATGTGTAACAACCGGGCATAGCGGAATAAGCAAGAAGAGCATAATAAGGAGAAGGAATAAGTAGAGTAGATCGGGCAGGGCGGGAGGTGTGGGTGGGATGGCTGTTCCAAGCCAGAGAATACAAGGAAGGTGCAGAAAGCATGGGGACTGATGTTTTCTTGCTGCTTAAAGAGACAATTGCAATAAATATGAACCCAGATAATCAGCTAGTATTATTTAATACACACGGTGTCATCAACATGATTTTTATTAATTTGTGTATGAATGTTTTCTTCCAACATCACTCACTTTTTCTTGGCTACCCAGAGGATGCTTTATTGTAAGCAGTACAGCAAATACTTGATGCAATCTGTCTATTGCCTTCTTCAGGTCAAAGAACACATGCCATAGAATCAAGGATAAAATATTGAACAACTACTTAAAACAAAGCATCCTTTAAACAGCCACAAAAACATTTCAGGTCTTTAACTTGCAACCCATGTCTGCGATCTACCCCTGTTTTTTGGGCATCAATTTGCCAATGCTTGATTGAAATACCTTCAACATCCCTTTCATTTTAGCAACCCCCAGATGTGTGCCCTCACATTTCGGCCTAGGAGAATGTGGCTAATTTAAATGGAAGAAAAAGTAAGCGCTTATTCTGTCATTATTACTTAATGTGTTGCAGCCACTACACTGAAAAGAGTGAACACCTATCTCTTTGAAAATGGCAGTCACTTTGAGCATTTACTTGAAGGTTGGTTTATTCTCATTTTAATGAAATAATATTTCATTATTTTTATTAATTATTTTCAATAATTATTAATTTACTAATTATTAAGTTTTTTCTTATTTGTTTAATATACAGATTCAATAATAATATATTATTGTTATAAATAAGAAAAGCTTGGCAGTAACTTTCCATTAAATATCTTCTCTGAGCTGGCTTTCATTAAACAATAATTATTTTTATGTTGCTGTTAATAAATCAGTCAAAACGTCCCTCTACATCTTGAGTATTAGTTTTTAGTTTCTGTAGCATACTGGGCAGAATTGCCAAAAGAGACATATTGATAGCCTGCTCATGTCTCTGCCCACCATATCCTACCCCACCCACTCTGTGCATCGTGAAAAGATTTCGGCTTGTGAACCGCACAGCTTCCTGCCTATGCCTATGAATGGGTAAAGTTGAATAGCTGCATGTTATGACCAGACAGTCTGCTCCTCCTCTGCTGACTCAACGTGCTAATCACGGTGGTCTTGAAAGGAGGCAAAGACATGGGGTTGCCAAATCGCCAAAACAAGAACTAGTGCCCACATGGATTGTTAGTTAAATTAAAGACGTAGTAGTAGTAGTAGTAGTAGTAGTAGTAGTAGTAGTAGTAGTAGTAGTAGTAGTAGTAGTAGTAGAAGTAGTAGTATCAATAACTTTTCTTTTGAAAAAAATCAGGCCTTACCAGGTGGCTCCCACACAAGCAACAAATCAAACACTGGAAGTCTGTTTCGTAGAGCCTCTCGCACCCTGCTGTAGTTCTTTTTACCTGGTGTGAAGCTAGGACTGCACAGGTCTACTGTCACTACTGCAACAGAACGCAATATCAATATATTTAATCATCCTACCTTATTTGGATTTAGAAACAAGTTGAGTTTTGAGACAAGCATTATATTCCTCTCCTAAGTTGTACTCTTAAAACATCTGTGTACAATCTAAAGATTTTTGCAAGGATTATCAAGAAAAATTTTAATGACCACTTCATGAAAAAATGAAAAAAGAAATATTTTAATGACCACTTCATACCTTCACATATTAAATCCAATTTTCTCATACACTTTTGTTATTATACTTTTAATCAATTATAGTACATTATAAAATTTAATAATTATAACATTTTCTTTGACCACACATTTTCAAACGGTGCCATGCATGTTCACAATGGTACACAAACAATTTCTGTGGAAAGACTTGAAGACAAAATTAATAATTTGACTGAAAATTTCATGCAGACTAGATTTTAAAGGTATTTTAAAATCAGGGCATGGTTATACTGTGTAATTATGTAACTGGAAACAAAATTAGTATCTCCCTTGCTCTTGCAATAATTTATAATGCAAATTTAAAAGATTTTTTTCACTAAATTGACCATCTTTGATGTTTTTTGAATATCTCGCTATGCAAATTTTCAAAAAAAATCCTTAATATTATTTGATCAGAAAAAACATTTATTTCATGTAAATTTTATTGTGGGGATACATTGAACTTGGTCTGTGTAAGAAGTACAATCTTTAGAAAGATTCTTCACGCCTTTGCTTCAGGGTACTGATGGAACCATGGTACTCAAGATCATCAGTTTGAGCATCATGCAGTTCTTTCTTGCAGATGCCTATGTGACCAATGCCCTTCATACATATTGATGAAATATCCAACAAATGACCTGAACCTTCTATAAGTGTTGGTGTAAAACAAAGGAATTTTACTGTCTAATTCCTGCAAATGTTGATTCTTTCCTTTATAATGTGATGTTGAACAATCAGAAAATTTCATTTAATATAACTGTTGAGAATTTATAAAATCTATCAAATGTGCTGAATTCATAATTCACCTGCCATATATAGGTACCCCAAACTTCGTACACTTCAAAACATTTGAAATCTCACCACCACAGCAAATAATAACATACCTATAAATCGTGTTTCAACCTTGCCTTTAATATTTTCATTTGTTCGAAATTATTCAAAATCTAGTCTTTAGGAATATTTCGTGATGGTTGAGCTACTGTACCTAGGTACTAAAAAATTCTTCACATTGATTTCTTTGAGTACTGCTTCAAAAACACTGATGCAGAAATAACAAAGACTCAATAGAAATAAGGCCTCAAAGAAATCATAACTACACTTTAGTTTTGTGACACAGTATTTCTAATTTGTCTGTAGCCCCAGACAATAGCAACAAAATATAATTATAAAAATATAATTAAATATTATTGCATGTAGACAAAACAGTGGTGTGAAAACTTACCCCCAGATAATATCTTCTGGCAAAAGACTGATAAAAAAAGGATTGTGGTAAAAGATTTATTTTCAAAGATCAAAAGACTGGAAAATCAATTACTTATAACCACTTACAGAGACAATGAACAGGCATAACAGAAACACATCTAACAAGCCATTAATGGCTTTTATGTTTTTAGTGAATATAAACATTAACCCACATCATCAATTTAAACATAAAACAAATATGTCCCGAAAATGTTTTCTATCAAACCTAGATGTTGAAACTCTACCAAATTCAACTGTACAGTCCAAAACACTTGTAGACATACTTTTAAACTAATGTATTTACCAGCATTGGTAAAAATTCCAATTTCTCTATATTTCTACGACCCTATGAAATGTAAGGGTAGTTTTCCAACGGTTCAAATTAAATATAAAATACTTACCTAGTTATGTTCTGTTAATTTTTCCAAACCTTCAACATGGAAGATTGTATTATGCTTCACCTCTCAATCAAATTTTTTTGAACAGAAATTGAAATAAAAGAATTTGGATATCTTATGTGAATAAAAATGTGGAAGAAAAAGCAAATTTCATAATTATGTATATAACTCTCCACCCTTTTCAGATTTTTCAGCCAATAATTTCCTACTCTACAATAAAAGAAACTTCTCCGGCTGCTTCTAACAAAATAGAAAAATAAACTATATTTTGAAGTGCCACAACAGAATTTTAGTGTATTTTAGAAATTTAGTTCCAGAGTAGTTTCAAACATCTTCACTGATACATAATATTTTCTTGTAAAATTGCCTACTAAAGTATTCCACGTACAAAATCATGAAAATGCCTTCTTCAGCACATCTAAATCTGCAATAAATATTGAAGTGAAGTAATCTGTAACATTAATGACTTAACATTAATCTTTAATTGCTACAAATTATATATTACACAGTAGAACCTCGGCAATCCGAACTAATTGGGGATGTGGTCTGTTCAGATTTGGAACGTTTTGGATTATCCAAAAAAAATGTACCGTATATATACAAATACTCTATAGGATTACAAACATTGCAGCATAGCGTATGATGTGACAAAATGGTAACATAGCATAGCGATCACATCATCGAGTAGATTCAGTTCTGTACGGCAAAAGAAGATTACCAATTTTACAAATTCTCCAAATGAAAATTACTCCTACATAAAGATGTGATATACATTGTCATTACCAGTGCAATAAATGTTTCATTTCAACAATTTGTGTTTTCATAATTAGTTCAGTTCTACAGTAATTGTAATACCTTTTCTTTACACTACATATAAGCATTTTATTTATTTTGTATATTTTTCCACCATCCCGAATTTTGTCAGGATTATCCGAAATTTCGGATTAGCGAGGTTCTACTGGAGACTGAAACGTGTGGTCCCGAATCCTGAGCCACTTGGATGGCCCGGGCTTCGAATTCGGCGGGCGGCCGCCCCCGCCATCACCTCCGCGCCGGCGGAAGGCCTACTCTGCGAGGAGGGGCGCGCCTTTCCTCATTTCTCAAGAAGCGAGAGGAGAGGGGACGATTGTTTGGTCGGTAGGGCTATTGTGTCGAATCTGTAGCTCGCGTTTCAATGCAAAACAATAGATATTTCACGGAAGCGAGCATTTATGAATATCAGATTGTGTCAACAACGCCCTTTGCTATTATTCTGAATTCGAGTAACGTTAGTAAAGAAGTGGGGATAGGAAGTGGCGTAACCAGCCCTTCCTGGGCCCCAGTTCAAAAAACAAATTGCCACCCCCACCCCAAAAAACACACATGTAGATCCCGGTAGATACATGAAAAATTACAACTTTCACCCACCCCCTCTCAAATAACCCACGAAAGAACTTATATGTAATAACAAGTACAATTTATGTTTCAAAATTGAACACATATTTATTATAAAAAAATTAAATATGAATTAATTAATAACTAATGCGTGTTCAATTTTTTGTACTGGAAGTTCATTATTTTTTGTATAATATATTTTGGTGTATAGAAATAACAAATTCATCAAGTTTCTTTTTTTCGTTGTCATGCATCCATATTTATTATTATACCACCATTCTATCTTTAATTTTTAAGTTGTCATGAGCCCACAACTTTTGCCGCCGTGCTCGGCAGGGATTTTGTGAGCCATGAGTCGCGCATTAAGAGCCGCGGATTTCCAGTTAAGGGAGAAGCACATTAGCAGGGGCCGGATTTTAATCAAATGTCATTTTTTAGTTTCTCTATATAAAAATTCTTTTGCGTCACAAAAGAAAATGACCGACTTCTTTTTCCTTGTGGGTTTGAATAATTTGTTACTGTGCGAGTGTCGTAAGTTTCATTTGACAAAATTTTCCATTTAGGATGGGTTCAAAGGAAAGAGAATTGGGCAGGGAAGAGATGAAAGTTTTAGAGAGGGCATAACTTTGAACTTTTTGACCTGATTGTTTTGTCTTTGTTTACTGGTGGTATTCAATTTCTTTTGGTAGTTGGAAAAGAAATCTTAAAGAAAGCTTGTGATTAGTCACTATTTATTACTTATCTGCATGGTTATTGATAATTCAGGAATTTTTTTAGTTGATTCCTTTAATAACTGGGAATTTGTTTATTGGGAAAATTGAAAGCTTCCTGATATATAAGTCAAACTGATGAAATTAGAATGCAGATTGATTCCTTTTTTTCAATTGTGTAATAGTTGTACAGATAACGTTAAATTAACACTAATGCTTATGCAGAGTTACCTGATGAGATTTCCATGTTAAGATGGTTTTGTGTGTTAATTCACATTTTTGTAGTTTGTTCAGTATGAGTAACATTTGAAACGTTGATAACCTGAGTTTCAGTGGACATGATAGTTGTTTAAATCCTCAGCATTGTTTTATATATTAGAAATATTTCTAAGTATGTATTTGGCAACCACTTAATTAGAGAAAATAGTTTGTCATTTTCAATGTCTTTGGCATTCCATTTCTAATTGATTATTCTCTAGAATACCTTGGCATTCTTCCTAAATTACTAATTTTCTCCAATTTAATTCACTTAGCTCCTTTCCCTGAAGCAGTGATTTTTGATTCATTTATTTCAGGAAAGAGGAAAAGGTTATAATAATAAAACTAGAAACGGCATGTTACTGAAGTTTATTCTCCAGAAAATACACATGCTGTAAGTACACAACTTATCACAGAATTGATTTTCAGAACATTCCAAGGGAACGTACACGCATCTGTAGTATTTGTAAAGCAGTTACAAAGTTTATCAACAGGGCTATCAAAATAACATTACATTCACTGAAAACACAGATTTTCAGTTATCCTCTTATCTTTAATTATAATAAAGCACCATTTGAAAGAAGTTCTTTTATTTTTTTAGGAAAACATTCATTTCATAGGGTCTTCTCAAGTAGGCTCTTGAAGAACTGTGATTCTAGGAAACCAAAAACCACTTTCATAGTTTAAGAAGAAATAAACTCAGCATTATTAAGAAGATCAATTCCCTCCATATGTTGAGATGCTACATGGAAGACAACAAAATGCTAAATTTGAATTCATGGAAAGGAGAGAAAGTGAAACTTGCAACAAAAAGAAAATAATTAAAAGGCCAGGGAAAAAAGTAATTCTAAAATAAACAAAGGCCTCAATGTTATTTGAATTTTCAAGATAAAAATTTAGTTCCCTCTGAATATATACAACAGTAAATGGCAAGAATTATATACAAGTACTGTACAGTGGGGAACATGCAAAATAAAAATGTTAAGTATAAAGGGTTAAATGAATGTTTATAAAAAATAAATAAAGCAACACAATGCATTTCAAAATGACTAGCTCTCGCTGAAAGAGGACACAAGCAACAGCAGCATATAAAATGTGTCCAGTCTTGTAAATCAGTCACCATCATGTTATTTTGAGCAAAATTAGTTGCATTATTCAATATTTCAGTAAACCAGATTATGAAGCTTACATTTGGTAACTTACATAGACATCAATGTTATAAAATATGGACGTGTACATTAGAGAGATATAACCCATTGTCATGTATTTTAAAGGCATTCTATACATACATCCTTTACCTTCCGTATAGTCTATACATATATTCCATACGTATAATTACACGTATATTCTATACCTGGCAAAGTGAATATTAATATCAAACGATATACAATATTTGATGACTTTTACATTATAAAAGGTGCCAGAATGCCAAAACAATATTATGATGTGGACTAATTGACTTCATAAATCTTTGTAATTTTCATTATAAAGCAGATCATGATGTAATCCTTAATTCAATATTTTTTTTACATTTGTAACTTTCTGGATATGATTTTCTAAAATTTTCAGGCAGAAAATCAATAGTTAGTTCAAATTCTTGCATATATTTTCAACTTGTGCCTTTGTTCATAATTTCTTACTTAATATTGTTCTGTTTCCATCTTCAAAAAAAATTCCTCCATAATTTAGTATGGGTTTCTTGTGGATAAATATACAGATGAAAATATTGTATAAAAATACAATGTTCTATTAAAGTAATCACATTTCCTCACTCTTTTGAATGCAAGTACAAGTTACTTTCACTTCATGTTTCTTTTAGAAACAAAACTTCAGTGAATGAATGCGAGACAGAACTCAGATTAATAAGTAACTTATTTACAAAATTGAAAAAGCAATTCAAAATTCATTGTACACTGAAAAATTATAAATAACTGTCTTGAAGATGAGTATGGGAGTATTCTTTACTTGTAATAACACGCGTGTTCCCTTCTAATAATGATACTCAAATCAATAAAGTGTTCTGTTCATCTCGCATGAAGCCAATTAAAACACAATGCAGTGTTAAGCAACTAATTGCGAAATTAATAACCTACATTTTCCTAAAAGCCGTCTTCATTTATAAGATCAAGTTTAATACCATTTTATTGGCCTGTTGTTGGAAAACAACGTAAATTTCGAAACAAAGGCAACAAAAGCTTCAACGTGAGCCGTTGTCAGTAGGAAAGGGTCGGCCTTACATCGAGGTCAATATTACTTACGGCCAAATGGTTTCTAAATTCCGTGAGCTCCCTTTCAGTGATGCCTTGCCAACTTTCAAGTTCAGACAGCACGCGCAGTGAGTGGCAGTGCGTCATCAACAGCTGCACTGTTTGCATGCTGAGATTGTCACTGTAGAGAATTCTCAGCTCTTCCAATTTCCTCATGGGGTTCCGCAGCAGCACTTTGGCCATCGTCTCGTCGCCTATGCCGGTCGAGGAGCCCAGCTGAATGAAGCGAATGTTGAAGCAGTTGGACAGGAGGAACTCGAGGTGCAGCAGCGCGCAGTCCGCCAGGCAGACGATCCTCTCGAGGCATTGAAACGGAGGGACGGAGAGCTTCGTGTACGACAGCGACGTGTGGTCGAGAAACTCGCAGTTGTAGAACGTCAACTTCTTCAGATTCGGGCAAAACTGACTGATGTACATGAGAGCGTTCAGATCGATCTCTTCCACGTGCTCCAAGTGGAGCCACGTCAGATTCTGCCCTTTGATCTCCAGGAGCTGCTTCACATTGTCCGTAAAAAAGTCACACGACAGCAGCTTCAACTCGCTCAGGTCGTCCAAATTGGCTAAAACAGTGATGTCGCTGATCCGTTCGTCGTGGAAAATGGACACGTGCGTCACTTTGGGGCACATCTCCACGAGGAGGTTCAAGTGCGCCGTCGTCACATCTCTGCTCTGGAAGATGCGCAGCCCGTACGGCCCGTCCTCCAGAACGCTCTTGGCGAACTCGAGCACCTGGCCGAACTCGTCGCAGCGGCCGAAGTCCTCCAACTCCTTGAGGCCGACCAGCAGCTGCGCGTAGCCCTCGACCGTGACGGAGGTGCGGTAGAGGTGCAGCTCGCGCAGCCGGGCGCACTGCAGCAGCGCGGGCACGCTGCGGTTCGTCACCGAGCGCGACGACGTCACGTCCAGCTTCTGCAGGCGCGCGCACGCCGCGCCCACCAGCGACAGGATGTGGTCGGTGCAGTCGAAGCACAGGCACAGCGAGGTCAGGTGGTGCATGGCGGTGATGCCGCCCACGATCGACTTCTCGATGTCCGCCATCTTCCAGCCGCTGCTGCCCGAGCCCAGGTTCAGGCTCTCCAGCCCGGTCATGCGGTGCAGGTTGCGGTACAGCACGTAGCGCATGATCTTGGGCCAGAGCGAGATGTCGATGTGCCTGAGGTGCGGGTGCACCGCCACCTCCGTCAGGCTCACCACCACGTTCATGTGGTTCATGAAGATGCTCATCGACTCGAAGTTGTTGAACTCGTTCTTCGTCTCCTGGATGAGCGCAGACACCGCCGTCAGCACCTGCTGCGCCATCTTGTCGAAGAGGTACCACGGCACGCTCGCGTACAGCAGCTCGTTCAGCGCTTGCAGGCGCTCCTGCGGGGCAGGCGGCGCTAGCAACCCGTGGCCCGCGGTCACAGCGCAGCCCAATGTCCAGCGGTCGCCGCCGGACGACTGCGAGCGAAACCGCCCGAATATCCTTCGAATTTCACACACTTGCGAGAAGCATCTACACGCACTGCAAGTAGTCTTGCTATTGCAGATGGCTCTGAGTCTCGAGCGAATGGAACCGACAGAATCAAACGAAACTGAACTTCGACCGAGAGCCGATGTTTCCAGATGTCGTTCGGGTTCAATACACCCGATTCTATTTACTAGCACGTGTTTGAACGCATCGGGCGTATCGGACGCAAACTTCCGACGTCGGCCGACGGACATTGGTTCCACTGTGACCACCGTCTTACAGTGATGTTGAACATCGATAGTACTAAACATCGATGTTCATAGGATATCGACCAAACAACATCCATGTTTTTAAGGCTGTTTTGCAACTGCCAACACGGTGGAAAGACATGGGTGAGCTGGTCGGAGCACCGATTGCTCCTCCTGCGCGGCACCAGGTGCGTCCCGAACCACGTGATCACAACACGGGCACTTTCTTTGAACAGCCAGGCCTGACGCTGGCCGCCACGTTGCACGGACAGCAACAAGTGTTGAGAGACATTTTGAAAGCGGCATAAAGAGACAATTTTCAACAGTGACGAGCCAAAAATAACACGAAGGTGTCGTTGAAATAAAATACTTTTTTTAACTCTTCATATATCAGTATCAATGACTTGTAACAAGGTGATAATTTTGGAATGTCTGCATTTAACATTCCCGCTAACATTTTGGCGCAAACTGGTGCATTAAGCTCATAGGATATGATGCGCAATGGGTCGCCCATATCTTTTCATTATGCTCTCAACCCTTATAGGGATACGACATCGATAGCTAATCAACGATGTTACTAAGCATCGATGTTTTTAAGGTTTTGTAATTTTTAATATTATATTCGGGCGAAACAATTTTGTTTTTGACAGTGGATGTGTTCATTTATTTATAATTCAAATTTACCTGAAAACAAAGTTAAAATAACAAAAACAAATGCTCGATGAGGATCGTAAAAGCAGTGATTGGTTCGAACACAGAAACTGATAGTGGTGCAATCAGTTATTTAATTTTTTGAACTTTTTACAATATTGTGATTATGGGATTTTTTTCGGTCACAAACAAAACATACCGAACCGTACCTAAACGTAAAAACATCGATGTTAAACAAACATCGTCGTTAATATATCTATTTCGTAAAAACAAGTGTATTCTTCCAATATGCAAAAAGACTTTCAATTTTAGAATATGAGGTGCTATTCAAATTCTGCTTGTATATAAAAAATACAAGCATGTACCCGAAATTCTTTCACTGCAGTCTCTAAGTAAGTCGCCGTGTCGTTACCAGGGCTCCCAACACAAACTTAAAGCATCTCAAACTCCTTTGAAATTAATGTGATTAGCACTGTTTGACTGGACCGCGCGTGTCCGGTCAAACGTTTGAACCCTCAGTCTTGCTTTTCATCTTCGGAAAAAGGAAAATATCGCCTTCTGCCAAGGCCAGTGCGCTGGATGGGGAACAACTGCCCTGTTATTTCTCGCAGGGAATGGCCGAAGCAGACTCCCCCGTATCTTCTCTTCGTTGAAGAGAACGCCCGCGTCATTCAGCACCATTACTCGCTACAGAATCCATCGGCCTGCTAAGGAATGATGATAGTGTTCTCTATCGACGAACTCCGAGAGGTAGGACCGAAGTGGGGAAAAGACCTACGAGCTTAACTGTATTGAATGCTCAAAAATTCACTACACAAACAAGAATATTTTCACGGCTTACGGAGTTCATTTCCATGAGCTGAACCATGTGTTTCAAAAGCGACACCGATAACGACAACTGACACTACCAACAGAAATGGCAAGTATGTCACTGCGTAGGAATGAATTAAATCTTTGGAGAGGCATTTTTAGGATGTGCCCATCGAGCCACTTTTATCTCAGAAAGTTGCGCCCATTGTCTTTAGTGCAACTGCACAAAATTCCACTAATACTGAAGAAATGCTTCAATATGTAAGAATTTGAAGGTATTTCCAGCAGCAAATCGAATCGAGTCCAAAACGTTTTAGAAACGTTCTTGGGGAAAAAAGTTATTTTCAGCGTCAGTTTTATCAAGAATTTAAAACAGATTTGGTGCTCACGCAATGATTCACTACAAAATCATAAAGAGTACCAGCATGATAATCAACCAAAGCATCTATCATGTCTCAGATAGGGAGAAAAACTACTAACTAATTACGAATGTGGTCTCATACACAACAAGATGTGCATCAACTTAGCGAGAATGACACTGAATACAATACATAGTTTTATTGACAGTTCCGCGCTTGGCATTTTTCAAGCAGGATCTCTATCGGCTTACTTCGCGTAGCGAGCTTCGATTGGTTGGAAAACACATTAACACTCACAACATAAATGAGCTTAGATTTCGCTAGTTATATTTTAAAAATAATCAAAATCTTCGAGAATCGCGCATTCTATTATCAGTATTTGTGTCACATTGCCAATAAAACGACCATTAATCGTCGCCCGAAAATCATCGAAGATTCCACATATTCACGATATTTTTCCCTACATTCACAAATGTTTACTCTCTATCCTAAGACCATAGTGTTCCTGCTACTTACTAATTTCGCGAAGTCACATTGAAAACCACTCTAGAATGATTTTGAATGCAAATGTGGAAGTATGCAATTTTTAATGCTCTTTAATTTCAAACGAGAAAACTCAGTGGCGTAGGCGAGTGATGTGTTACATCCACTACTTTTCCATTACTCAAAAATATTTTTTGTAAAGTATTTTACCTTCTTCCGTAAGCATCTGTTTCTAGAGCTAGTTCCGAGAGCATCTTCTCGCCATTTCCGTGCATTGACCTCGATGAATGTGACAAGCCGAGAAACATCCCCTGAACGACCTCGCTTCCTGGGCGACCTCACGGCCTGCGCTGAGGTCAGGCTGTGTGGTTTCGACGGCCAGAGATGAGTCATTGCTTCTGAGTTCTCATTGGGCATCACCTCCCAAGAACTATCGGTTCCCCGTCTTCTGATGCACTCCCAAATCGGCAGTAGGCCCGGGAATCCCAGAAGTCACGTGCCACGATGACGGGGGGAGGGGGGGCAGAATACACTTATTCTCCACAAATCATGCAAGTCTGCCAACTGGGCCTAACCACATTTGAACCTGATTCAGTTGAGTTGGGTAACTCGAGGAACAAGGTCACTCCCTTCATGTAAGGAAAGGGTACGGTAGGGACAGTCCGAAAAGTCGAAACAGTGCGTGCGATGTTATTTCGTTTGTCATGCGAGTCGCGTTGTAGCGTAAATACTTTCCGTACTTAATGTGCGTTAAGAAGACTGCTTTGTCTAACTAGTGATCCACTAAAGAGTACCGTGAACTCGAAATTGTAACGTCAAGGAATAAAACATTTGTGTGTGTGTGAAACGACGCGATATGGCGAGCTCATCCCGTTCATTTGTATCTGTGGACGAGTTGTTTGTGGCAGGGAACAGTAGTGAAACGTTTTATTGTGCTAGAGACAGGATTCTTCAAATTCCTTTTAGTTCTTTCTCCTATTCCGAAAAACGTACGGTAACTAGTGATGGACAGCAATTAAAAATCACCGCAAAACTGAAGAATTGTGTGCGTCCTTTTAGTGGTAAGATATATGAAAGTCATCACTGGATTTGCGAGTGTGAGGTTAAAAACGAACTATTGTTGGACGCTCTGTGTTCGAGCGCTCAAATCAAGAGCACGTGACAGCTGTGTTTATCAGAAAACAGCGGCGAATAGATCTCGAGTTCAAAAATTAGGTACGTACCTGTCATGGTTCAATTTTAGTGTTATTCTTTTGTTTATGTAAGTGCATGAAATGAGAAATTGGTGATTTTCAAGGAAGATTCAAAAGGTATCTAATTTGCACAATAAACTTCTAAAATACTACACCGTAAAGTAGAATGAAAGAGACTTTAAATATTTGGAATTATGCGTTCAACATGTAATTTGATCGCGTCCCCATGTCTACTAGCCAGGAGGCGCCACTGAGATAACTCCTTGGGGATTGTCAACCAGAACATTCTAGTCAAATCCAGCCTCAACGGGGAAATACATATATCTAGCAGATATATGAACAAAGAAAAAAAGTATAGTTAACTTCCAATGTAGTTAAAATCGAAGATCTCTGACGTTCCAAAAATTTCGAGATATACCTAGGGGCTTATTGTCGTTAAACAGATCGAACATTTCCGGTGCAGACACGCGGGAGCTACCAAAGTCAACGGGAACTTAACAGAAACCACGTGTTCTCGCATTGTATATATGGGTTCAAGGGAGAGCAAATAAAAAGAAATATAACTAAACCAGGCTGTCCAATGGGCGGTGCGTGAAAGGTTATTAGTTCAAGTCGCTTTATCCATGTCGGGCGAGAACGTAGTGCCCCTAGCGCACGCACTGTGCCAGGACAAACGTCCCCCTTTCAGAAAAATAGTACGTTGTTTAGATTTAAAGATTATTTTGTAGTAAATGCAGAAATTTAAAATCATCCCAATGCGTTATGCATGGTAGGGCTTGGGTTCGAAGACCCCCTCCCCCTCGTTTCAGAGTAAACTGCCGAAGTCAACAGTGCGACGTCAAGCGTGGATCGCCGAGTAATGACAATGTGGCCCGCAACCATATTAAATGGGTCAGTTGTGGACCGTGAGGCCTTGCAAATTGGACACCCCTGGACTATACTGTCTTCAACTTGCTCAACTCAGACGTGTTAAATACAGTGCTTATTAGCAATTTCTAAAATTAAGTACTGGCCAGGGCCCTGGTCTCCTTGGCGTCCACTTAAAATCACGGCCACTCAGCATAATGATCGCGCGAACACATATGTAACTCCCAACAGTAGCGTTCGGTTTGATTTGCGAATAACATTTCGGGAACTTTTTTGATAGCACCTCATAGATTTAAAATATCTGTTCACGTAGAGCCAGTCATTTCAGGCGCAAAAATCAATTTCATAATATTAGATTCTTTAATATTGCCAATTAATAAGCTCCGGACTCAGAGCATAGAAATTTCGCGTAATTTTAGGATTTCGCCACGGTAGGAATGCCTCGAAGGAATGCTACGTACTTCGCGGAGATACGAAGCGTTGGTGATAAACTCCGAGCTGCTTTTTGGAAAGACGCAATCCCCATTGGCAGAACTGCTTCGCGCTACGCTTCGGCACAAGAAGTCGTTAATCGCGAGTTAACTGCCCAATTTTATTTCCTCGGTCGTTTCCATACAGTGGAAATGTTCTCCTGGGCGACCCCGCTACGTTCACACATTCTGAGCGTTCTGCAAGCAGGAGGAGCGCGAGGGACACCTTCGCTCGTCCCACCCATAAATACGTTCATGTGGAAATTTTACGCCTGAAATGGCTAACCCTTACATACAATATAGGAAAGTTGTGGAGGAATGTCGATTCCTCTAATTTGAAAGGAAGAAGAGAAGGAGTTCAGAAATTTAAAAGGTCTCACAAATTTTGGTGACTAAAATCAAAACATTATTTGATAGATTTTTGTTCCCGAGTTATATTTTCAAACTGTTACGGGGAGTTGAAACTTCTATTTCTTACTGGACTTCAGTGTAAACGTTCAATGCAAAAGAACCCACATGCATGGTCAAATGAACCACGCCTATATTTCGTGAAGGGAGGGGAGCATATTCATTATTTTTAGATATTCAGAATGTATTTAAACTCGACGATATACCTTGCGGAATGAACTTCTCAAACATAAAAAAATGTTATTTCAATATTCGCGTGGAAATGCGTAGTTATGGAGTTGTTCGAGAGGGCATTTGATTGGTGCACGACACTTGAATGCATTGTTACTGATACTTTAACCTTTAAAAACGCATATCTGTGATCGCAGCAGAAATCTTAGGAAAAATAAATTTTTATTACTCAATTGCTACAAAAAACTTATTCTACTAAGAACGAAAACTATGAAAATATAAACATGTGTTTTTAAACAACTTTCACTTGCTATATTTTTGTCGCTTCTTAGTAGCCTACGATACATTTTATTCCTGCAAACAAAACAAAAATACTGGGGTTACGCTGCAAAGTTAGTGAAAACCAGACAGTCGGAGTGACGTGAATACGTCTGCACTCACTGCTGCACCACGGTTTGCGTTTCAGATGAAAAGTTCGAACTGGCCTCCTGCGTCGCCTCCAACCTCCGCTCGCTTTCGCTTCGATTACCGAACGCCATCAAAAATGGCGCAGTGGTCTGTGTGACAAGCTGCCTTACGGGACCTCGCGCTTACTTCAACCATAATAGAAATTTTGTTTTCCCGAAACCTGAATACACTCTCGGGCAAATGCAGAACACTGCAATTCCGGGACCACGCATATTTTGCATATATATTCTATAATGTAACGGAAATGATTGATTCACATATCACTGCAGAACCAAAATTACTGCAGGTACGAAAGTGAAATTTGGAATAACTGCTCCCTATAACGATGTAACCAGTAAGAAAGAATTTTCAATTTTAATTGGGACATCGTAGAAAGTGGTTTGTTTTTCAATGCAATCCGAAATGCATGGAGGTATTACGGGTTGCGTTCTGGGAAGGCCCGAGCGAGGCCGTACGTGGAGATCGAAAAGTTGGGATTGGCGGAAAGGGTAAAGGTAGGGGCAAAGGCAAAAACAAAGATCAAGGCGAGGGCGCGGGCGAGGGCGCGGGCGAGGGCGCGGGCGAGGGCGCGGGCGAGGGCGCGGGCGCGGGCGAGGGCGCGGGCGCGGGGGAGGGCGAGGGCGCAGGCATGGGCGCAGGCATGGGCGCGGGCGTACCTGGAGGGCGGCGAGGCCGCGGTCGGGGTCGCGCTGCGTGAGCGCGCACACGGGCAGCAGCATGGCGCGGCCGGCCGCCGCCACGAACGCGCCCACCGCCCGCAGCGCCGCGGCCTCCAGCGCCGCCGGCTGCCGCAGCTTGGGCATAGGGCCGCCGCGCCGCCTTCACGCTGCGCAGCGGACACACACACACACACCGTCATCGCCCCGCCCACGCCGCAGCCACTGTTAGTGATGCCGGGCTCGCCAGACGCAAAGCTCATTAGGCTCGGAAGTGTAGTGCGTGCTTGCCTCGAGGGGTGGCACTCATCATTCCCCGCGCGACGGCGAGATCCGGCGCTGACCTACAGCGGTTTAGGGTTCGGGATATTCCCTCACCAGGTACTTCTCACAAAAGTTTCAAGAACCCGCCAAACGTGGATTCTGACTACACAATGTTTTAGAGAAAGTAATGTACTATACAGATATGCACGATTTCTCCCCTTTTCGTTACCAAGTCCCGGCAATAAGAATGTTTCTATCGAGAAATGGACGTTTTGCTCTGCACTGCGTAAGCAGTAGGCGAGAGAGTAAAAAGTTACAAGGCGTTAGAACAGGTGATCTCTCGTCTCCCTTTAAACATGCATGGATAGCAGTACTACATCGAATGAACTCTTCTGACGAAAGATTGGCTGCTTCAATGAGAATGCCATCGCGCCACGCCGTGCTCGGAACACTAGGGCATCGGATTCTCGCCTTTCGAATGGCACGCCGACATCACGGCCCCCAAGATGCGCACAGTCCCAATTACACACTGCGCGGATTCACCTAGATCCCCCCCTCCCCGGTGCTCGAAAAGCTCTGCCACTGCGCACAGGGGGGGGGGGAGGCAAGTGGGGCTATCGCCTCCGTATCCATGGGGAATGAGGCGTTTTATGTTAATCTATACTAATAAAAGTGAATTCAACGATCGGTTACCAACACTGATACCACAAAATGTACTGTACGCATAGATACGAAATGTTTACAGGCTCTTTTTCAAGAGTGACGAGTGTTTCTTTTCGCTTCGCAATGTTTCGTAAATATCAATACAACGCAAATGTAGAAAATAAATAATTTAAATAATGTTGGTAGATGCGCCACGATCATTATATATTTTCGCCTGTCGCTAAGAGTATATTGATTCGTATTAGTATATTCGCTACAGGCCAGTAGCAGTGTCTAAGATAAAAACATGTTCGTCTAACAGCAATGTACAATAAAAGTAAAATGAAAGAAAATTATAGTATTTTATTAAAATTTGAACCAATTACATAAAAAATAATCATAAACAGCAGTTTGAATAAAATTGATCTTTTTCTTCTTTCACAAAGACTGGATATGAAAAAAGCCGGGGCAACGCTGGGAATTTTTCTAGTCTGATAAAATGACTACAGAACATGAAAAATTGTTTAATTAAAAAATAAATGAATAAATTGGAAATTACACATTGCTTACGTAGAATATAACGGACGAATGCGGGCCAAAAACGAAAAGAATCTTTCAATCTACCTCTGAAACGTGACTAGTTTAAAGTCCTCCATAGAAGCCCCTCAAAGTTCGGCCGTAAAACAGCTACCAACGGGCGAAACCATCACGAAAAGGAAAGTGCGGCCAAAGCTGAATCGATCCTTCTTATAACAACCAAAACCTTCATGCCAAAAATTCTATTTCACGCAAAATAGATTCAGTAAATAAAGAAGGCAAGAAATGTTGGTTTAGGCCCCCCACTGCTACCAAGGCTTGTTTTTACCACCAGTAGCACTGAGAGGCATGATACAAAAATTCGTTCCACGAGATGCCAATGTGATTGGACCAAGTGACTATATGGAAACGTCATGTGAAACATCATCATTTTGAAATCTATTCTCCAAAGTTTTTCAAAGCAGTGATGGCTGGTGCCCCAACGAACTGAAGGTTGCAGCTCCATCGAATGACGTGCATGTAATTTTCAAACTTGAGAACACAATTATATATTTAATCAAACGTAAGCCATCCATGTAAATTAACTAAAACTAAGGGCAATAAACGTCAATATTCAAACATTCTCTACATAGTTTTATGCACAGCGCCCATGCCAGGTAGGTCACCTCCCGCGCACATGGTTCTGGCGTCGCCACTCGAGCTTTCGTGTTAGGTCTGCATTGAGACAATTCACCGTGATAGAATTCGTACAAAACAAAAACGAACTAGGTTTCGAAAATACGGTGACCGCACTCCAACACTTTGCCACAAACAATGTTGTTTGGACACGTATTACACAAGTTCATTTCACGATCTATATTGTTATTGCTGCTATTAGAGGTGATAACGAAATAAAATTGTTTGATTTCGAAAATCTCACTAGTCTGATGTTTACTGCATTAATGAAATTACTGCAAATTTTCAGAACTGTGTTCTCTCTTAATCAGTAAAGATTCTTACTTACATGACAAATGTAGGTAGCATCAATATAAACAAAACTTATACAATAACTATCTCTCGAGATCTCCCGCACTCTCATTCACGACCGATCACGACGGTCACGATACCTGCCGGTCCCGTGCGAAAGAACAGCGACGGAAAGGGCGAATTTCTTTCAGAACGACCAACTTTACACAAAGGATTCATCGCACGCACAATTTGAATCAACAAACCTATCGAACGAAAATTAATTCCCCAAACATGATTCCGTCTAGAATTGACTGAACTTGTGTACTTTTAATAACACGAAATTCTTAAAATTAAGTTGCAGCTAGCAGCAGTCGAAGTCAGAAAGTAGGCATTCCCCCTAGGACAGCCTCGCCACAGCCTTCTGCGCTGAAAGTCTGTGGCTGGTTTGCGGCGTATAGAGTCCTTGCAGTGTCAATACAACCAGACAGCTATGTCGAAGCTTAGGCAAGAGCAAACGCAGTACAAGAGATTAAGAGCGTGACTTCGTGCACTGGAAAAGACACAGACAAGGACGCTCGTCGGGAGCTCTTTGATTTCAAAAGGATTTCATGTACATCGATATTGCTGCAAAATCTTCAATAGTAAATGTCAGTAAAAGGAAAAAATATATTCCAAACATAATACAATTTTTTTTTTCGATTTTATGGAGGTTATGCAGTCGTGCAATCTAAACCCGAGCCGCAACTGTTTCAAAGTATTCCTCAATATTAGATCATCAAATCCTTCCATTAATACTTTTTTATCTGAGATTTGGCGAAATTTCGGGTTGAAATGAGTACCACAGGACAATGGCGAATAGTATACTATAAATTATGTTGTAGGCATTATTGGTATTATCACCCAGATCGCCAAATTCGATTCCGAGTTGTGTTTTTTCTTTCGTTAATGTTCATTAAACTATCTGTCAGAATAGAGCATAGGGCAGTGATTTTTATGGCAGAAATTTACCGTTCTCGCCTTACTACGTACGTAGTACAAAAAATATATTGCAATGCAGCGGCAGAAAATGGCGATTTTCCACGGCGTGTGTGTGTGTCGAACAATCAAAATTCAATAATACTGTATTCCTGCATCAAAGATTTTGGATGATGAAGCCCAACCTCTTTGTACCAACCTGAAGAATCGGGGAGTGCAGGTTAAACTCCTAAATCAAGAATTTTTTGAACTCCTTTAAGTTCAAACAAAGGAGTTGGCACAAAATTATAATTTTCAAGAAAGTGTCGAACCTCAAAATTTGCACCTTCACAGAGAGCTAGGAATAAGTGGAGCAAAAGTTGAGAATAGCTTTTCTGAGATTATTCTAAGAATATCTTTCAGGACTACTACCATATTGGTGAACCAATTTTTGGGAGCCTTGTACTGCAAAGATTTGCTAGATAATTCGCTTCATCAAATTCAACAATATTCCATAGTTCCATTAACAATTTAGTAATATATGATGGAAGTCTATGTAGTAATCTTTGTAAGCATCAGAATTTAGTATTGTACATGTTATTTTCTAAAACATTACATGCTTTCTTTTACTCTACAACTTACATAATTATTTTTAAATTGAAAAACCTGTAATTCCATACATCTCAATAATCCAACAAGCTAAGCTCGTTTCCATGTAGGTAGGACTACAGGTAAGTAATTCTAGACCAAAAAGACAAATAAATTTCTGTGCCTTGAAAAATGAATGTTCCACAAAACTCTACTTTTGCTTCACTACAAATTGATTAAGCCAAAAAGAAAATAAGATCAAAAGTGAAACACTGACCTGAAAGGGAATTGATCTTAATTCGTTTCCTCTAGACCCGATATTAACTAATCAAATCTGATTGCCTAGAAGTAGTTCTGAATCAAGAATACTATTTCACACACTCAAGAACAAGAGATTTGCATGAACCCCATGCCAGAAATTTCTTGCTGTGAGAAGTTTGCAACTCCAGTTGCAAAGTTTGCAACTTTGAAGCTCCAGTTGCCACAGTACAAACTTCAATAACTAGATCTCAATGTAAGTGGATATAAAATCTGGTTGATCACAAACCAAAATATAACAAATGCGCAACAATTATTCATCACAATGATTGTCAGTTACACAATTTTAAATTTAATTAAAAAATTTAGAAACAATTTAAATTTGAGAGAACAATTTAAACTGAATAAGTGGTTTACTTCTGTAAATAACTTGCAGACAAGAATTCTTAATCAATCCTTTGCAAAAATCTTAAATAATTTATCTAAAATAGATGAGGTGCAGTAATTTAAACATAAACATTCACAAAAAATTAACATTTCTGATAAAAAAATTAGTTTTTGATATAAATTCATTTCCTTCTATTTAAGAACTTTTAATAAACAACAATGTAAACAACCAACATACAATAATTGTTATGTGAAATCCCCTTTTGTGAACCCAATTTTAAAAATCCCAAAACCAGTTTCACGATGTAATTAGTATTTAGAAATTATATTTAAATGATTGATTCCACATTCTTCGTTCATTTTGGAACATACAGAGCAAAATCAATCCTAATTCAACTCAAATCAAAGTGCTGTAGTTCAGTTTTAGAATCAACAAATGAAGAGGAATGAATGAGAGAGAAATTCTTGAAAAGAGGGAATTTGTGGCTCTAATTGTTAAAACTTGTGCTCATATTTTCAGAGAATTTGGAACCATAAACTTTGTTCTAAATAATAATTAAGGGGTATCATGTTACAACTTAAACACATAATAATGAAAATAATGAATAAATTATCTGCAAAATTAATTCATACAGGAACAGTTTGTATCAAAATATTCATTAAAAAGTTATTCACAAGAAATGAATACAAATATATATGAAATCAATAAAGAGCAAAACACAGTTACTGAGAATAAAGTATAAAGTTTTGACAACTCCAATTTCATCACAACAAAATCGAATGTGTACAAACAAATCTGGCTGAATTAGGTCAGAGCTAGCATTGTCTGCAGCACCGCTGACCAGGAGGCCCTGGGTATGAACTCTGACAATGGAAGATTTTCAAAACTAGCTTAATAGATACGACCGAATTAAACCACTGTCTGGAAGACTTTGATTGTTTTGAGTTTCTGGGTGCTTTAATGGCTCAGGTCATTAGTCCCGTAAGTGTAGTGCCTGGTAACATTGTGAGAGGTAGCAATGTTTCTCCCCCACTGGAATGTGAGATCTGACACCAACCTACTTTCCCTGTCCAGGAATCTCCCCCAGCGGGGCACTGCCGAGTCTCCCACTACATGTGTGGCAGTTTAGAGAATGAAAATGTAAGTGTGAGCGCAAGAGATGAGGACAAAATCAGGAAGGGCAAGGAAAGATAGCGTGCAGTCCATGACCCATTTCTTAGCGTATTGCCCTAGCATTCACCTGGTGTTGGTCGGAGAAATCACAGAAAAATACTAAACAGAACAGCTGACCGCTAGTCCTCGAGACAGCAGCTGAATCCGACCCAGTGCACCGTCGGCAGGGGAATCCTAACATCCAGCAGCCCTGATCAGTTGTTTTCTGAGGTTTCTCCAATCACTATCAGGCATATTCCAAGGAAGAACCCTACCAAATGGGTACCAATTGGGAGTGTTCTTTCATTCCTCATCCATGTCTCCATACACCCACCTATTCTTACATGCGTTACTCTGCGACTCTTTGGAAAATTAGTTAGGAGGTTTGAGTCTGTCCTGGCTGGAGTAGTGTCCAACTACAGGAGATAACTCTGAAGTACAAAAACTTCCAAGACGGATTACACCAGATATACTCAATGCTCAAGAACAGCTAAGAGACGTGTGGCGAAGATGCAACAAATCAAAGCGGAAACAATAATCGCTCTGAGAACTAACACACTTATGAGGAAAAGTGATAGAATTGAGTCAAATAGAAAAGATGCAGTACAAATTATAAGACAAATACACATTCATGAGATACTATCTCTATTGAAAATTTTTATTATTTTGGACTTCTAACACAAAGTATTGTGAATGTTTATGTTTCAAGGATAAATATGATTTCCTGATATCACACTTTTTTAATACGTGAAATGAAAACCAGAAATATTTCTGCACTTACTATGTCTCGGTGCAGTCCCAGAACTAACCGCTGAAGAAGTTCCTTCCAAACCCAATTCCAGATACGTCTCCCTTACTAGATTCAAAACAAGTTGTCCATTAGGTGTAATACACATACAGTCTTCTAAATCTATTCGAGAGCTGTCACTGAGCACAGTTAGATGTCCTTGAAAAGAAATATAAAATCAAATTCTCAACTCAATGCCATATTTTATTATGTTTTTTCAACAAATTGTTAACCTCACCTTCTTTCACAAAGGATTCTATAAATTCTTTATTGACAAATTCGGAGATATTGACTTTCTGTATCTTATAGTAATCACTATCAACATCTAGTAAGCTTGTCAAACTGTCCGGGACGCTGGATGTGCTTGGTAACACCACAGAAATCTGAAACAAAGGGCATGTAAACAGTCTCGTTTCTGGCAATGCGTAATTCACTGTCAATGTCAACTACGTAACATAATTACCAAATGGTTAAAGTGGTGAAGATTAATTAGTTTATCACACGCGGTCGAATCCTTCGCAAAATTCCCCCGCTTAAATTGATGTACTGCAGCTGGGGGTGGAAAGTTCCATACTTCTGGACACAACATTTCTCCTCACTATTAACACAAACAGCTGGAAATAATCTTCCATTTTCTAACTTCCAAATTAGCCAACATTACCGATCAAACTTGCTTCAAAGGCATTGTAAGTTTCCCTTGCGTGATGCTCTTCAGTTGATTTTAATAATGAAATAGAAGCGATAGAAAAAGTTACATAATTTCAACTAATAGAAAAATACTATATTTCTCGATAAATTATTTGTTTCTTTACAAAATACAGAACTTTTAGGACGTTTTTTTACTTTAGTGGTTTCAATCTGATGACCTGTCGAAAATAAAAGACAATTACCGAAAACCATACGTGAGTATTATATAGTACAGTATATATTTACAAAGATAATTATTCTTACCACCGTACATGTATTCTGATTGCTCACTTTCATTACAGGAGTTCTTATCCATTTCTGAACGTATAATCACGCATAGTGCTTTTGCATTGTGTGACGTCATGACATTCGCAATGGTGGGCTGCCGAGTGCGATAAGTAGGAGAAGGTATTGTCAAATAAAAAATATAATTTTATTGTGTTTTTTTTATTTTCTGTGTTGGTTCGTTGTGGACAATCAGCCGAAAATATGCTGTGCAAGAAGCAGAAAAAAATTCAGTGGCTCTCGTAGACCATGGTAAAAGAAAACTTCGTGTTCTTCACATGAAACTTCGGATAGTAATCGAAAGCTGATAAGGTGAAATGAAATGTCATATGAAACCTTTATCTTGTTCTTAAAACATTCGGTCACTGATAAGTTGCTTCCAGTTTCGTACATTTAAGTATGTGCAATTTCATTATATTGAAAAATGTTTCACGATTTTCAGTGATAATGCATTTACTTTTACTAATCTGAAATTTCGCATAAATTTTTGGGTATTGTTAATCATGTTATTTGTGTTCAAGTGCCCGATGTTGTAGAAAAATGGGAAAGTCTTATGAAATGTTGCGAACATGATTTTTGTGTTAGTAGCATGTAGAGCATGACTTCGATGGTTCTCGTGACTGCGTCCCGGATATTGTAGAATTAAGTATAACGGGTTCAATCCTACATTGTGTGTATTGATGTATTTTATCAATAAAGTTAAGAAAGTTTCTAGTGCAAACATACGAGTTGTGAAATTACCGTACGCTTTCATTTCGATATTTTATAATTTAACCTCTTCATGAGAAATGTTAATATTTAAATTGGCTACTTTCTTCAAAAAGTTTGTTGTGACTTATACGTTTTATGTCCTCAACTTGACAGCCGTGATGGGGTTGACTGTGGTTGTTGCGAGTGTTCCCATGTGAGGCCAACCACTATCCCTTAGGCTCCATCAGCCAATAATGTCAGAACCAGCAGCACCTGGTTTCCACCAGCTCAGTGTGACAGGTATGTCAAACTACGGTTTACGTCTGTCTAAATAGTTCATCATATTTTACAATGCTCACCCTCAATTTTTCTTGTTGGGAAGGTGACAGGTTTATTTCTTTTTAAACAGCTGTATGTATGAAAGTATGTTAATGTGATGAAAAGGTGAGTTTTGACGATTGTTTTGAGCAAGGCATGTGTGGTTTTTATGAAATAACTTTCTGAGTAAACTCTAAACAAAGTAATTTTTTGAGAATATTTCTTTTCTGATGCCCCAATGTAACATATTTCATATAGTTATTTATATCATACAATTTGTTTTATTGCAGACATTAAATAAGTGTTTTGTGTTTAAAATGAAAAATAAAAATGAACATAGTTTTTTAATTAGATTATTAGCAGCTTTCTAATTTGTCTTAAAGTTGGGTGAGTGTAAGATAAATTTTATAATTCAAAGGGGAATTTTTGTTACAAGTATTCTTTATCAAATTTATTTAATAGGGCAATATATATTTAATATACCAGCAGAATTTATGGTAATATAGTATTGCTGCTATCTTGACTATTCCCAAAACCTAGAATTAATTTGTCATGACCCATTATGTAATAGTACTTCCAAGATAAATAGTTGAATGTTTGCTAAGAAAGATCTTTTTTATATATTGTATTTTATACTTAATTTGAATATTTATTGTTAATTTAAATATGTATTGTTGTCTTCCACTGTCTGTGAGAAATTGTATTAGCACAAATAAATATGTGAATTATGTTGTAAGAAAATGTTGTCCTTGAAGTTGCATAAGTGTTGAGTTCTGTAATTCATAGGATGCCCAAGGTTTTGTTTTCCTTTTAGCTTCTACTTGTTTTCTTCCAGTCATTTAGTGTTCGTATTTGCATTATCTATTTCAAGTTCTTGTTCCTTTGTGACTTATCACACAAATCTCTATTGGTAGGTTTTCTCCTACTCGTGTTGAAAAAAAGAATAGTATGAACTTTTCAAAATATTTAATAATAAATTTTGAAACAGAAGAATTTTAGTAATTAATTTCAGTAGAATTCAGTTGATTCAAAAGAATCTTATTTCCTTTCTCTTATATTGGCCAAAGAGAAAACTTATTCCTCTTTGGCGGGGGGGGGGGGAGTTCTTAACATGATGCTCCAAGAAAATTTTCAAATTTTTCTCAAAAATGACTCTAATTTTTTATTAAACCTTGGCCTTGGAAAGCATGCTTCAAAAAAGGCACATGTCTCAGTATTGTTCAAATATCTACATTTTCTAAAATTGTAAAAGTTCAAATTTTTTTTCAGCTTCTTACAACTACAGTACGTTAATATTTGCATTTCATACATTTTTTATGCATTTTTGCATTTGTGAACGCAAATGCTTCGAATGTTTTTGTATGAAGGTTCTCAAAAATTCAAAACATCTGTAAAAAGTAGCTCGAAATTGTGCATTGTGCACAGAAAGGTTAAAACAGCATTTTCTCATGAATGGCTCGAAATCTTTCAATTAAAATTTGCATGTGGGACTGTGTTTTACTCTTCTGTGATATTCTTGAAGAACTATTTCAATTGTACTATTAGGAGACCGAACAATTGACAAAATGTGAAAAAATATCATTTTGGCATCAGTAGGTAGCAGCTGGAAAGTGGGTGGGATGATACCAAACAGCTAGTGTAGAATAAAGAGATTAGTAATAAGAAATTAATAACCAGTTCAAAAAAGTCAGCCATTGTGTTGCATCACTAGTGTATCCATTTGTTCCAGATTTTTGTAGTTTAGTATTATATTTCTCCTTTCCCCAATTATAATATTACAATTAATTCCTGCAAAACCTTATCTGATCTTGTTTGATAATCAATTTGAGATAAGTTAGCCATGAGATTAGTTAGAATCAGAAATATTTTTCAATTGATAGACATAAACCCAAATGATTTATTTCAAAGCATGAAAATATCACTGATTTTCTTAATCCACTTTTGTTTTACATTCCCACCAAAAATGTTTTTTTCAAAATGTATGTACCAAAATTTGCATGGTCAGACAAGAGCAAACCTCATGGCCTTTGTCTCGCCTCGTAAAATAAGGCATCAATTCAATTCGGTTCATTGGAAAAGAATCCTTAGGGATTGTACCGAAACTGTGAATATGAATGTAAAATGGTATTTTAACAGAACAATTTTTGTAATCTGAAAATTCATTAACTTCCTTTACATCTAATTGTTTGTATCTTGAGTTGTACTTCCGGCTGTATTGTACAGACAAATCTCTTGTGTATTGCCAGTTATGCGGGAAGATAAAGGTCAGTTATTACCACTGCATACACTAATGGCTGTCTCTCAGGAAACTTCTGAAAGTAACTTTCTTTTTAAAAAAACATGTGGAAGTTCAAAAATCACTCATTTCTTATCACATCAAAAGCCAAAAAATGTGAACCATCATAATGCAAAAAACTAGGAAACGATTAACACCCTAATATTTTAATACTAATGGATTCTACTTAAAGAGAATAAAATTTTAATTACTTGAGCCTAACAACTAATTTCATGTAAAACACCAGAATTTCGATTCCCTATTTCCCCAATAAATATTTAACATTACTTAATGTTTGTGCTCACATTTGAGTGATTTCAAAAAAAACATGACATTGCCATATTACTCAGTTATTGTTTTGAATAATCAATGTCATAATATTTCCTTGATGTTATGTGCATTAACTTCACTCACATTCTCTATAAACCATTTCCTGTTTGAATGTTGCTATATTACAACCCACAATGCTGTTCACACACACACACATGCACCCTCTCTAACATTATCAGAGATCGATTTTGTACCGTAATCACATTTCAGTTGCCTTTAACATACAAGTGACCAATGTAAACTGGAATATCAGGGAGTAGTCAAGTAGTTCATGGTGGTGACTTAAGATCTGAGTAAATGTAATCAAAGATATTGTTGTACAAATCTTAAGAATAAGTATTAATATTTTTAAAGGAAGATGGTAACTTGCTGGCATAATTAGAAATTAATTTATATACGTTACTAAGCTTTTCAGTATCTGATTGTAAAATAATAGAATCTGATATATTGTGAATGGGAATTGTCTTTAAAATAGATCTTACAGTATTATATTCTTTGCGAAATATTTCAGATATTTTTCAATTCAATTTTTAATACTCTTATCTTCAATTTTAAATTTAGTTGTATTTTAGTAATTTTAAATTGTAAGATAGTTAAAATAGTTCACACTCTTTACTACCATAAATTAGAGAAATGAGACAACAGTCCTGTTAATATGTTTAGTGGTCACATTACATCTTTAACCCCAGTTAACGTGTAACTCTATAGGTTTATTAAGTGCATGTGTACCTACCTGTATGTTAAGAAATTTAGCATCCTTAGCAAACGTAAATAAATAACCATTGATTCATCACATGTCAAATGTTCCTTAAGAAAAAAACATGACCATGTACAAAACAAATCAGGAGTCAAACAATTCAGAATAAAAGTAACTCGTATTAACCTCATTTCACCAAATGAAACTCCTCTCCGGTAATGGTATTTACTGACGATTTGAAGGTGTCGCCACTGGAAGTCAATGCGCCAACTTCTTTACCGAACATCATTTCTTTAGGTATCTTTGAGTTCAGGAGAATTATTTGCATCCAACTTTTCTCAAACCATGGTATATGAATATTGTTTAAATATATATATCGTAAGCAACGCCCCACAATATCGCAGTAACGTTCGGCAGCAACAGAATTTATTTGTTTACTATTGCAGTAATGTCGTAAATTTTTGCCTATATTGTGAGATTTTATGATGACCAATAAGATACTGAATGTGCCACAAAATGTACAGGTTTATTACTGCTCTAGACTCTGGTACCCTCCACCTCAATTTTTAATTTTTGGCCTCTGCAGTAATAGCACTGAACATTTCTAGGTATGTTAATAGCTATAATTTCCCCATGATGAATCAAAACTACCTACTTATTATTTTTTGTTTATACTGTATGAGAGAGAGAGCGAGTAATATAAGATGGTTCAATCCAACCAAAAGCTGTTGTGATATGCTTCTTTTTTTATGAACTTCATAAAATTGTGTTGATTTAAGGTAATTACTAAGAAATTTATTAATTTATGAAATTTTATCATTTTCTGCAATGGCACTTGATATTCAATTTTGAGATTTAATTTTCAAAACAGGCAGATTGACCTTATTTGTTCTGTTCTTCATGATTGCAACAATTTTAAAATTCCTACAACCGGTAGTTTTCACTATAACAATTTCTTGTAATGTGTGATATTTTATGGAATTTGTGAAGTGGAGTCAAATTAAAAGGGCATTTTCATTCTTTTCTTTCTATTATTTTTCTGAAATTGTGTGTAAGTAACGTTCTAATTCTTTGAAAGAGACAAATTAGTGTGTTGTTGATTACTTTTTTATATATTTAATTTTGTTGTACAATGGACAAAAATTTGGTGTATAAATGCATAAATAAATATGTTGCAGTGGAGTGTGCACACTTGCGGACGAGTGGCAGCCTCTTCAAACCAAACCCTTATGTGGAACTTGCAATAGATGACAAGGCTCCACGTCGCACTGAAGTTGTGAAGTGCACCTACCAGCCAAAGTGGAATGAAGAATTCACTGTGTGAGTATTGTAAGGTTTATGGCATAATTAATGGCCAAGGTTTCTTCATCTTCAACTTTATATATGATGTCATACAACATTGTCCCCTTTGCCCAAAATGAGAATGACATGTTTGAGTAACTGGCAATTTCCCTTTGAGAAAGAACCGTTCATTAAATGGAAATGTACAGGAATGGAGATCTTTCTGTTTCATCCGTCCATCACACAAAAATTTTTCCTTTTAACATCATCAGGGCACTGTGGAAGTTGTACCACAAAACTGATTTTGAGTTATTTAGTGCTATTAAGATCGCTTTAATGTAGTTTTATTTTCCGGAGTCCATTTAAAAGTAGTTTAACCTTGATCATTATTGAGGGAAACCCTCTCCCAGCCTTTGAGCTCTCCTAGAAAATTGGAGACATAACTGGGTGGGAGGTGCTAGTGTTATGGGGTACAACTCCAAGTTAAGTTTGCCGACTTCTGCACATAAAAATTGGCCAATTTGTGAGAAATACATGAAGTGTCTTCTAAACATTCAATTATTATTAATATATACATATAAGTAACAGCTAAAGAAAATGTAAACATCAGACCTGTCTTTTGTAACATTGTGCATTTTTTAACATATTTTGTAACATATCCTGTTACAATAGCCGAGTTGATACGCAAAATGTTTCCATGCGTGTTTGCCTCTAGTTATCACGCTCAGTCAGGTTGTTGCTGGAAGCCTCTGGACGAGATCCTATGCGGAACCGTGATGTTCTGGGAGCCTCTGGACAAGTTTGCTCCTGCAGACACTTTCGGCAGGTCTTACTGATAAGCAGTTGCACTATCATTAGAACTTACTGATAACAGATGTCTTGCACGATATCTCTCTGCAAGCGAGCTCAGCTCACTTCAGGGCCCACAGTGAGACACAGTCGGCCGCTCTGTAGCAGTTAAAGGGTTGTGCCATTGGCAGCAATTTGTATTTTGTTCCTGTAAGGTGGTGCTAAATTAGAGCACTCCACTGTAATAGTCTCCACCACGTTATATGGGAGTTGAAATGCCCTGACCTCTCTTCCTTCTTTTTTTAAAACCTCTCATCTGGGAGATAATTAGAACAAAATATCTTGTTTTCGTTTGTCTCCTTTGATGTGTGATAGCATTTATCTTCATTAAAATTTAAAATTTTCTTTCCTTTTCTTTCTTCTTTCTTTCTTTCTTTCTTTCTTTCTTTCTTTCTTTCTTTCTTTCTTTCTTTCTAAATCGTTAGTGAAAATTGCTGTATGAAAGCTAAATACATGATCATAATTATAATTTTATTTACTTCTTCTGTCATTTTGAGATATTCAATTGTACGTGCTCATATTGGAAGAATCTTATTTTCACATTTTTAAAATCTTTTTCACAAGTCAGTGAATTCTGATGGTTGAATAAAGTAGTTGAAAGATGAGGAAAACTGGAAAGAAAACAGGTTAAGAGGAACCAATTAAAACAAAACAAAACAAAACAAAAGCAAAAGTTAGTAACTTGTTATTCAAGAATTGATTGCTCAATTCTTTATGTCATTTGAAGTTCAGAGTTCGATTACAGTGATCAATCATTGCGGCGGCGGTGGTGTTACGGTTAGCGTACTGGACTGTTGTACCCAAGTTGGCGGGTTCAAACCTGATCGAAGCTGTGGATTTTTAAGGGCGAAAAAATCCTTCGGAGGGGAAGTAAAGCCGGGTGTCCCATGTTCGTAGATTTACTTGCATGTAAAAGATCCTCAAGCCTAAATGACGCCTCTGAGCTAAATTCAAATCGCCTGTTTCTCGCCCAAGAAATACCTCCTTTCTCTCCTAGTTGGTGAAAGGAGCGTAGCGAAATTTGCGTGGTCAGACAGAAGAGCGGGCCTGATGGCCCGAGTCTCGCCACGTAAAACAAGGCAAATTCAATTCAATTCAATTCTATTTGTCACAAATATTTGCTAATTGATTACAGATTGATAAATCAAATGCTTCAAATAAATCAAATAAAGCAAAACACCACATTTGTTCGTAAAATGTGTTCACAAACATACAGAAAATTGAGAGCATAGGCTTCCGCCGCCGGAATCAGTATTTACTAGGCTGTCCGGGAGACGCCGCGTCCATGGCGAAAGTGCCATTCTGCGACATTCCTCATCAGCATTACGCCCTGAGGAAGGTCGCCGAATGGCGACCGAAACGTCGGCACCTTCGCCATGGATGCGACGTCACCCGGACAGCCTAGTAAATATACAGAAAATTGCCTGATGATTAGAATGTGTAGTTTATAACACAAGCTAAATGTAGAACACTTGTATATGAGTAATTGTATCAGTGAATTCATTCACCTCCTGTCTACCACTTCTTTGTAATCCTATTGTTAAATAATGGACTTGAGACCATATATTTTGAAATAAATAAAAAATGAAATGTGTAACAATTTTGGAAATGCATAGTTCAGTTTTAATTTTGTGCAGTATTTAATGTGCTCCTGACTCAAAGTAAATTGTGATAATCTCATTCCTGTTCATGAATGTTTTGCAGGTTGGTGACACCACGGTCGGTGTTACACTTCCGCCTGCGCGACCACAGTTCGTTCCGCAAGGACACTCTGCTCGGAGAGAAGAGAGTTCCGCTGCTGGAGGTGCTGCAGCACTATGGCGGCAGGTGCGACAACCTGGAGCTGACGCTTGACCTCATGGCGGAGCACCCTAAGGTGGGCCAGCCCGTCAAGGTGTGTGAGCTCATTGCCCTGCTGAACGGCTTGCGAGTGGACCCAGCCACGATTGCTGCAGCGCAGGCTCCTCCCAGCGACGGTCCTCCAATTCGGCCCCCACCGCCTCAGCCTCTCGGTGAGTAGTGTTCCTTTCCTTCTTCTACCCTTCCGTTTTCCTCTTTTTCTTTCTTCCTGTATTGCTTCTTTCTTTTTAACCACCATCTTACCAATTTTAAAGTGAAAGGCAATTTAGAAATTTTTAAAATTTATTTTAAAAGACATTTGATGTTTACAACAAATAGAGATAGCAACAATCATTTTTAAATTTAAACATTTTAAGAACAAATGAACTTCTAACCAGAGTATACTTGGTCAGGTTAATATTCATGCAAAAGTAGAAATGAAAAAATTAGGATAATTTTTTAAAATATGGGTATATATTAGTTGTATGTATGTATTTGGCATTTTGTGTCAATTGTCCAACTTTGCTGGCTAACTAATGGTATCTCCCATCTGGATCTAGTTTAATTACCATGCTTGAGGTGTAAAACACATGGGGCAAACATGACATATTCCATTCACCATAACTAGAAAACTCTGCCTTACTGAGCTTTTCTTCACCACACAGATACAGAAGTTGGGACGATTTTAAAGGAAAGCTACAGCTCTTATTTTTGCCTTGACTGGAAATATTTTACCTCAGAAGTGTCAGTTTAGAGAGTGCATTTAGATACTAGGGTTTGTTTCTATGATAGATAAGTTTGTTTTGATTTCATCTCCAGAAATAATGTGAAAATAGATACAATAATTTTGAAAAGCGGTGAGAATATTAAATGAATGTCTAGTAGATAAATTAAAGGAGGCCATGTGCATTGAAGGTAAGTTCAGTTTTACCAGTCCACAATTAAAAAATCAAACAACTTTTATCATATGCTCCATTAAACTCAAGGGTCCAAGTTTTACTTAGATAATAACATATGTAATAGCAATATAAATGAATTGTTTTCCTATACTTATTCAGTTGACAGAATGACAAAACAACACAATACAGTGTACCCATCTGCAGCGCAGCACGTTAGCCAAAGTTCTTTAAATCATAGCAATTAATCATTTCTATATGTTACTTATTTAATGTTCCCCTCCCCTAATTTATTTTGGCAGCGTCTGATCACCTGATTGGGAAGAGTATTCCTGAGGTGTAGAGCTACTGACAAAATATTGGAAGGTTAGTTTTTGTTTGTGTATTTGTGCAGGACAAACCAACTCGGATGCGACAGGGCCTAATCGCAGCATTCTGAATGGAGGCGTTAAGGGCAGGGTTCGCCTCTTGGGGGCCGAGAACACTGCCCCCAACACCGCACCCGCCAGTGCTGGTGGGAGCCCTGTCCCGTCTGCTAGCACTCCGGCCTCCCTCCGCAACTCTGGAGTGCATCAGCTGCCTCCCTCGCACCCCATAGCGCTGCCACCGCCAGGCCCTGCCCCTCACAGTGCGTCTGGCCCTGCAGTGCTCCCAGGTGAGTTGTCGCTGGCTGAGAGCTGGGTTGTTGCGCACCTCGGAAATCAGGAAATGGCGGGTAGATATAGTTCTGGAAAAACTGGAGATTTTACTGAAGCACTGGAAAAATAATTTTGTTAATAATTTTTTTCTTCAATTCATAAAGACAGTGATAAACTGAAAATATCATGATTTTGTACCTACTCATTTCAACATTAATTTGTGTGTCATTAAAAATGTTAATTATAACACTTATTTTGTTTTGATCTTCAATTTTTTATGCACTTTAAATTATGCAAACTGTTAATATTCACACTAGTTATATAATGTTTTTATTTATTTTCAAACACTTTATTTCTTCTTAGCCTTCAATTTTTTGATTGAGTTTCTGAATATAGTCATATTTAAAACGTTATAAAAATGATGCGATATTTGGTCACTGATTCTGCCCATCTTTAGACTAAAACAAAAATCAACCTCTGTCACAATACAATTACGTTTTATATTTGTATCATTCATCATAACACTTCATACAAATGGCTTTAGATACTTACTAAAACATGTCATAATAGTTTTAAAAAATAAATATGGTCTCCCTTTGCTGTTGCAGAGAGCAAGAACACACAAATATCACCCATGTCTGTTTCCTTCTACATACAATGATCAAAATTAAATGGAAATGAGAGAAGGGAAGGGGGAGTCGGTTGGAAGAATTATGGCATTGGGGGACTGTTACAATGACAAATTTACGAAGCTTTCTATTTCCAAATTAATGTAATTGTTACTTCCAATTTTTTATATTTAAAAATTAGACAGAACACCAATTCAGTGACAATTCATCAGATTTTATCAGTGTGTTTCAACATTTAATTGTTTTTGTATAGTGTATTTCTGCTAGCAACCATTGATACTTCCTGTTCTCACACACTAAGAATTTTGGGAAATCAATTTCATGTCCATTTGTAATCCTGTGAATAGAGAATTTTGCCTATTTGAACCTATTCGTTTTGAGTACTCTGGCTATACAACCTCATCAGATTATAGCTGTGCCTTAGTGTCCCAGCCTGACAGCTAGATAAGCCAGTAAAAATCTCTTTTCAACGCAAGTCCTCACTCAAGTTTTCAACCACTGCAGGATGGTAAAGAAACATACTAGAAAAGGGAAGTGGAAACGGTTGATGTCAGGGGGAGTTTGGTTAGCATAACTGTCTTTGTTGAGTACTTTGAAAGTTTCGTCATAAATCGTGCATCGTACATTTCTAGTACAACTTTGACACTCTCGAAACACTATTACACAATCACCAAAAGCTTAGAAAGTACAAAAGTAAGGGAAGGGGAAAACAAATGCAATTAAACATTTGAAGTGTTATGAGTGTATTTTAACATTATCTACAGGTGAAAGGCATATATACATGTTTTCTGCTAAAAAATCACTTTGAAAACCATGAACATCATAGGATGCATTCCACATGACTGCAGTGATCCATTTGAGAGCAGCACAGCACGTGCAGCTTCAGGGGTTAATGTAGCTTGTAGCCTCCACTTCTCCAAACCACAGGCCTTCTGCTGGCATTGGCCTGCCACTGCAGGAATTCATCAATTTTTGCAATGTAGCCATTTCTTTTGAACTGTGTTTCTGTGCTTGATCTATAGGTCCTCAAGCAAGTGGGAGCTCGTCTGCCTCACCTGCTCCCATGGTGAACGGGACAGCCACCCCACCTGCAGCCCCACCCGCGATGCCAGCGCCAGCAGGCGACCAGGCGTCCAGCAGATCCTCGGCCGTTGAAGAACCCCTACCCGTGGGGTGAGTAAATTCAGTTATTGAGGAAAAGGTTTTCTGGGTGCTAACTAACTATTAGTTTTAGTTTTTTGAGATTTGTGGGAAATTCTTTAATGAACGTAGCCATGAAAACCCAGTTCTGCCAATTCATTATTCAAGCTATCAATCAAATTTGTTAAGTTCAAGTTATCAATTAATATCTGGAGTGATTGCCTGAAACTTTGTGAAGGAATATATACATAAGTAAATGATAAATTTTGTATTCATGGCACTTTTGTTCACAATATTTTTAAGTAAGAAACACCCAGGATGAGAATTGTGAGCTCAACTAATGGAGTTCCTTTTTTGCAGGTGGGAGATGCGGTATGATGTTTACGGGCGGCGCTATTATGTAGACCACAACACTCGCAGTACTTCCTGGGAGCGTCCTCAGCCTTTGCCACCTGGTTGGGAAATTCGAAGGGACCCTCGTGGGCGCATCTACTATGTAGACCACAACACACGTACCACAACATGGCAGCGGCCCAACTCCGAGCGGTTGCAGCTGTTCCAGCATTGGCAAGGGGAGAGAGCTCATGTTGTCCAGCAGGGCAATCAACGCTTCCTCTACCCTGTGGTAAAGAAGAAGTTGACATATTATTTTTTCAGTTGCTTCATGCTGAATATTTGTTGATATCGTGGGAAAATGATAAATTGGTTATTTATTGCCAAACTCCAGAACTACAGGAGTTGTTTAGATGGAGTTGTTTTATCCAATGCCATTACCCTAGAACGATGTCTAGAACTCCTTCTAGTCTTCTCCTATCAATGAATGAACTTTGTCGCAGATGGGTTAACATTGACCATGAGAGTAGGTCATCATATGTCGCAGAGCATGCACCTTCCTAGAGGAAGAGACAGTGAAACATATGGATAAATGGCGATGTGCAATTGGTACAATTGTATTCTTAAAACAAAAACACCACCATAAATACGCATAACAATTGTTAAGCATTGCAAAAAGCAAGCAATTGCTAAATATTATGAAAACTTCATGTGCAAACTCGATGATCAATCATTTGCGCATTTGCCAAAGTGAAAAAGAAAATATATTCTAAACTAATCAAATTGAATAGCTGCTGTTGAAGTACCACTGTCCTGAGAAATGTTGAGGCAACACGAGGAATATTTTCAAACAATGGCACATCACTATTGTTTTCACTCTCCGTTTCCATTTCTTCTGCTATAGCCATACTTTGGATTCCAGAGGTTACACCTCAGCCCAACCCTGTAGGCCTTGTGGAGGACTATGCCCTAAGGGTTCACTTATTTCTAGTACCTTGCATTCTACCATTTCTCCTTCATTTACCTCATCATATCTTATCCTTTCATCATTTATTGTATAAACAGTGTGAGCCAGAGATCTGCTCATGCAAACCATTATAAAGCTTGTTTGACCTAATCATTATTTCATCATTTTTCTGTACGGAAAATGAATGTAAAGGGATATTAATTTCTATCTCGTTTCATTTCGGTATCGGAACTGGAAGAACAAACTCTAGCGTTTTACACGGTCATTTAGTTTTCTGCATGTAATTTTGATGAAAATGTTTCCTCTGGAAACAGCAAAAATCTCTGAAAATCAAACAACTGAACTATTCATATGCGGTTACAAATTAAGATAGGTTATTTTGCACAGAACGAGGTAGCATTAGAACATGGAAAAAGTAAATTGCACCACATGCATAGCAAAGGTGAAAAAGTTCTGAAAAGTGATGCCAGTAGTGTGGTAGTTAAACTAAATGAGAATGAACAAGAAATAAAGCATGTGTCATTTTTCTGTACAAATGACATCCCGTCTGGTCTGTTATTTGTCTACTTCAATGAAAAATTATGTAAAGGTGACAGTGTAAAACAGACTTTAGTGAGAAAAAATATAACAGAAGTAATTGTTTGTTGTAGCCAGGGCAAAGTCAAGCTGGCCCTGCCACACCTGCACCTGACCAAGAGGAAGACGCATTGGGGCCTCTGCCTGCAGGCTGGGAAAAGAGGGTGCAGCCTGATGGGCGGGTCTACTTTGTTAACCACAAAAACCGCACCACCCAATGGGAGGATCCACGAACGCAGGGGTAAGTTTTCCTTGATGCATCACGATGTTCAAGCACCATTTCACTTGAAGAAAACCTAAACTATAATGTGATTTATGCTACTCTGCCCCTGGCAGGTATCGGATGTTGATGGTTTTATCCAATAGGATGCTTGAACGTCACCACAGGGACATCGCAATGGTGACTTTCAAGCTCCCGATTGGATGAAAGTCAACAGCTGATACATGCCAGTTGCAAAATTGCAAAAATCGCAGGAAAATGGTGGAAAATATAATACTTTGTAAAAGCGATTTTGATACATTTATGTAGTAAATGAGAGAAATATTTTGCTGAATTCTTGTTATTAAAAGAGCAAGAGCATGAAGATAGAGAATTGAAGAAAAAATTTCGTAAAAATATTCTCCATATATTTCTATTGTTTGATGATTTAATTTTATGGGCATTGAAGATTTGCGTAAGCATTCACATATAATAATAATAATAATAATAATAATAATAATAATAATAATAATAATAATAATAATAATAATAACAATAACAATAATTAAAAAATAATATCCTAATTGGAACTGTTACCTAATTGGACCATTAACATTTAGTGTAATTAATTAGAGAGGCAAATGGTATAGCTGTTCAGCAAAATAATTAGTTTCATAGAATAAAAATTTCCAGATTCGTTTTGGAAAGTTCCAGTATGCCACCCATATGTCATCATATGTTTTATTCCATTATATTACCTTATGTCTCGTACACTAGTGGCTACCTGTTGGTTGTAATTAATTGATGGAGGAACATTGATTGTTTCGAGTCTATGATCAGTGCATTTGAATGAGGAGGAGAAAATAGAAAATAATCATTTATTTCTAGCATGAAGAGAGAGAGTGGTGAATGTAAGAGTAAAGAATCAAAATGTGAGTGTTACACCTTATAGAAATGAACCATGGTAGTCACAATGCAGACCAGAAGTATTCAAAGCAACTCACAAAATAAGGTTTCAGTGGACATGTCAGAATATATTTGTGTATAGTTCTTGAAATATTTTTCATATCAGTGTAAAAGCAGTCATTAAAAGAGCACCGAAAGGAATGATAAATTTTTCAATCGAATACCATGCATTTCACTAATAATAGCCTTAATGAATGTTTCCTTTTACAGTCAAGAAGTTGGAGCAGACGAAGTACCTCTGCCCCCAGGTTGGGAAATTAGATTGACAGAGGATGGTGTTAGGTATTTTGTTGATCATAACACACGCTCAACCACATTTCAAGATCCTCGACCTGGAGCACCCAAAGGGTAAATGTTTGGTTAATACCTACCTTATTTGTTTAATTTTTCATCATATGTCTTTGTGTGTTATTTATTCCATAAATTTTAACACTTGCAATTAGAATTGTTTCAAAACAGTAGCATGCGATACATAATAAAGACTTGCATGTGGAAGGGAAGAAAACTATTAAACTAATAGGTCCATATTCATCATTCAAATGAGTTAAATGTGTTGATTCATGCAATAATGGTTTTTAAACTCTTTGTGTTCTATTAATTACCTTCTAATTAAGTATTTATGTTAAAAAAGTTATCCATTTTGAGTGGATAAGTACTATGCCAGCAGTTAAGACATTTCAAAGGTAGACAACCATGCGTCTTTCAGTCTCATGATTTAGATAGAAATGTTTTCATTTCTTTTGCCTGTTACATTTCTTTGTTAATCTTTATCCATTTAACAGTGTGTTAGACACAGTAGGCTCTTTACTGTCATATGTAATTACCTAAAAGATTTATGCATGGTATTTCTTTACTATATTTTTCTTCAAAAGTCTGGGCTAGAAATGTTCCGTGTTTTCTGGTCAATATTTAGGATATTGTGCAATTCTTGCAGATATTGTTTCATTTGTCAAGTAGCTGTAGAAGTGCTTGTCTGCTGGAGTTGAGCAAAGCTGAACAATAATATCAACAAACGCAGAAATAATCTCTGGATTGATGCTGGTGCATAGTCTGATTCTCTTAACTTTCAGGCAATCCTAGCACTGCCCTCCAGCAGGTCTAATGTTAAGATCACAAGTATGTTACCATTTGGGCAAAGCATTGCTTTATTAATTTACTTTATTCTACTCACATGTACATCTGTTCTTTATAAATAATGGGCCAATCTATATTAGACCTTCCTAAAAATATATAACTATTTTATGTGCCCATTTTTATGAATACTTTAGTTGTACTTTTTTGGATGGATTCATCAGATCGATTTAAAAACTCAGAAAGAAAATTCGATACCTCACAAGATAGAATAAGTTGAGAAAGTATTTTTGTTTACTTTCCGCTTCGTTCCTGTATTTTTGGGATGTTGTATCAAGTTTTTAGAGAGAAAATAAATGGTACAACTCGAGACAGAATTCAAAGCAGCTAGAAAGGGTGAATACCAAAAGAAACAAGAGCAGAAAAACATAAGCATTTGATTTATCAATCTGTAATCAATTAGCAAATATTTGTGACAAATAGAATTGAATTGAATTTGCCTTATTTTACGTTGCGAGACTCGGGCCATCAGGCCCGCTCTTCCATCTGACCACTAAATTTCGATACGCATCTTTCACCAACTAGCAGAGAAAGGAGGTATTTCTTGGGTGAGAAACAGGCGATTTAATTTATCTCAGAGGCGTATTGAGGATCTTTTACGTGCAAGTAAATGTACTAATATGGGACAGCCGGCTTTACTTCCCCTCCGAAGGAAGGCATACAAAGGATTTTTTCACCCTTAAAAATCCACGGCTTTGATCGGGTTTGAACCCGGCAACTTGGGTACAACAGTCTGATACGCTAACCATTACACCATCGCCGTCACTACACAAATGACATCCATAAAGCAACACACTATGCCTGTACATGCATTATCTACTTTAGAGCCAGTATTTTGGTTTAAAATATAATTTTCATACAAACAATTTTCAGAGGACATTGAATGTTTATCAATACAAGGTTAATATTTATTAAGTCCTTAAATCTTCAGGGATCCCTGACAATGACAACATGATTTAGGGGCCAAACATTAGTGGTATTACTATTTAATAATCTTTATTTGATTTCAAATGTCTGTTAAAATAATAATGATCGATATTTATTGTTCTTTCAGCAAAAAAATAGTTTATCTTGCATTCAATGTATTAACAATTGAAAAATATTTATTATTTATCAGTTTATAGGTCTGTAGAGAGTTGAAGATTAAACTCTTGTATTTTTCAAAATGTTGCAAAATACTATACAGTCAATGCATTTAATAAACCATTGCAGAAATACGAACAACACAAAAACAATTTGCATCTAATGAACAGACACTTTTTTTAGAAGAGAGATTTTAGGATTGTAGATTCAAATTATTAGAATAATAGCTGTGTCAAAATGAAGGAAAACATGTGGACATGGCAGTGTGTAGCAGATACTATTTGCCTACATACATTACCAAAAGAAGCAGGCGTGGTTTAAGAATTATGACCAAAAAAGTTAATGCTGGCTGAACAATATTTAATTAGTATTTTTAACATAAACTACTTTTAAATTTAATTCATGCAAGGTCCATTTTGATTTTTGAAATGTTTTCCAGGCCGAAAGGGGTGTATGGAGTTCCACGAGCCTATGAACGATCTTTCCGCTGGAAACTTGGACAGTTCCGGTATCTTTGCCAAAGTAATGCTTTGGCATCTCACATAAAGATCACTGTCACTCGACAAACACTCTTTGAAGACTCTTACCATCAGTTGATGAGACTGCCTGCTTACGAACTTAGGCGGCGATTGTACATTATTTTCCGTGGAGAAGAAGGCTTAGATTATGGTGGTGTATCACGGTAAGACTGTAAAAACCACACAAATTTCATGTTTTATAGAAAACAAAATATGTAGATTTATTTTCCTTGTCATTCATATCCAAATCCAGGAATCTCTGATACTATATGACCTGTTTTATAAGAATTGAGCTCAACTTCTGCCATATTATCCCATTATGTAATAATGAATTCACAACCCGAAAGATTTATTAAATCCAATTACCTATTTTATATTTGTTTTTTAAAATATTTTGAATTTACTACTTTCAGTACTGTATTTAAAGTTTTTCCTTAATTGTATGTCACAGAGAATGGTTCTTCCTGCTATCACATGAGGTTTTGAATCCAATGTACTGTCTTTTTGAATATGCTAACAAAAACAACTACAGTCTTCAAATCAATCCTGCATCGTATGTCAACCCTGATCATTTGCTGTATTTTAAATTTATCGGACGCTTCATTGCTATGGTATAGTAAAATATATTAAATATTTGAGCACTTGTTTATGATATATTCAATTGCATATAACCATCTTCAAATATCTTTCTCTCTCTCACTTTTTATAGGCTTTGTACCATGGCCGTTTTATATACTCTGGTTTCACAATGCCTTTCTATAAGCGCATGCTCAATAAGAAGCTAACAATGAAAGACATTGAGTCCATTGATCCAGAATTTTATAATTCCTTGGTATGGATTCGTGATAACAACATCGATGAATGTGGTCTGGAACTCTTCTTCAGTGTTGATTTTGAAGTCCTTGGGCAAGTCATACATCACGAACTGAAAGATGGTGGAGACAAAGAGCGAGTCACTGAAGAAAATAAAGAAGAATATATGCGGTATGTAAGAATTCTTTAAATTACATGAGTACAGGAGAACCCCACTTAAACCTTTATCTAAGCAACTGGAATCCATTGGTCTCAGATGCACAACTTTCTATATTTTATGCTTAAACTAATCAATGGGTTGGCATAGTTTTTTGTGACTTTGGTTTCCTTGTTTTTCCTTTTTACCCACAACCATTTTATGAAAGCTTTATTGAACAATGAATAAAAAATTGCTTGTGAAAAACTAACAATCACTATGATCAAAGTGTTTTGTTTTTATTTCTGTAGCCTAATGACAGAGTGGCGCATGACTCGTGGCATTGAGGATCAGACACGTGCTTTCCTGGAAGGCTTCAATGAAGTGGTGCCCCTGGAGTGGCTCAAGTACTTTGATGAGCGAGAGTTGGAACTGATGTTGTGTGGTATGCAGGAGATTGATGTTGATGATTGGCAGCGAAATGCCATTTATAGACATTACACTCGTTCTTCAAAGCAAGTTGCTTGGTTCTGGCAGGTAAGAGAACTACTTTTACACAACTACTGTATGTACAAATTTTGGGATATAGATCCAGACACTACAAAATGATTGAGTTTGACATTTTTGATCTCTGCTTTCAATGTTAATTTTCTTTTCTCTGCCATTGTTCATTAATTGTTTAATCATGGATACAGTATAAAATTGGTAGACATGATCGTTATTGTCATTGTTGTACACTTCTACAAAACTGTTTTAAATTGTAGTGCATATTTGTAGAGAATCCCTTGATTTGAAATAGGTCAAGGGAGCCTTGATTATATTGTCTCTTTTTGTGAGGTCATGAAAATCTCTTTTTAACACTGCCATTGTGATTCAGTTTGTGAGATCAGCAGACAGTGAGAAACGGGCCCGTCTTCTGCAGTTTGTCACTGGCACTTGTAGAGTTCCTGTTGGTGGTTTTGCTGAGCTCATGGGTAAGTTTCAGAATGTTGTAACAGAATTCACCTCTGATCAGTTTTTGATTTAAGATAATAGATTTTTGTTATTCATGTTACTGCACTTTGTGTCTTGAAACTGTCAATTAAGTTAGAAAACATGTTGCAAATGTTATTGATAAAAAATATTATTGAAATAATTAAAAATTAAATAGTTTATCTGGGATGAATTATATCGAATGGTTTTTGTACTGTGCCGTAAAAGCCCTCTTTTACTCTTTTCAAGGGACTGAGGAAAAAATGATGTTAATGTTGGGAAATTACTTCTGCTTTTATAATAAAGTACAGAACATTAATTCTTTACATTTGTTTACACTATTAGTCTTTAATAAAAAATCATAGGGCTTCTTAGGCCTTCTTTTCAAAATTCATAGGAAGTAATACTTCCTCGTCAATTATTGCCAAAAATGCATGTTTCCATCTTTATTTATAAATCAACTTGTGTATGGATTAGGTTAGAGATCACAAAATTTAAGAAAATGTGTACAAAATACTCTTCCCCCCAATAGTACATCACAACCTATTTTTAGGCGTTAAATAAATTTAAAAAAATTAGAATACACAAATTGTATTCTTTAATTTTTTGGAATACTTTACATGAAGCCCCTGAGACAATTTCGAAATTTTCTCAAAACTGGCTTCCAAATTTTACTTTAAATTTTTTGTATGAATAGAGTGAAATATGAATATAAAGGTTGGCATGTATCCAATTTTCACTGTTAATTCTAAATTTTCAAAAATTGCAAAAGTTTCTAATTTCACATTTTTTCAGTGTCTTCCCACAACTACAAAATTGAAGCCATAGATTTTTCCTTCACATGAAATTGGTTTTCTGTAATTAGTTCTTTCATTAAGGTCATGAAATTTTTTCTAGTGTTCACGCAATATTGTATGAATTATGTGCAATATTAAAAAACAAAAATTTCTCTAAAACACTTCCATTTTTTTTTCTTTAAACTTTTGGTAGGGATAGTGCTAATTGTACTGTATGACATATTGCTCTATTCATGTGTATTTTTTAAATAACGCTATTGTAATTTTTCTTTTCTTCTTTATCTGTCTCACATCCTTAATATTGACATTAACAGTGAGTTGTATACATTATTGAATTAGTTATAACAAGTGGTTGAAATTATGTCTTGTAAAGTTTCTCAAAAACTGCTCCAATTTTTTCTTCAAACTTTTCATGCAGATTGTCCTAGAGCACTGAGTAAAATAACCTAAAAGCCATCTTGCTGCATTCTTTTGTTTGCTCAAAAATTATTTAAACTATTTTTCAAAAATGTGTGTGCACGTGTTTGTATATGCTTTTTCTCTCAAAATTAATCCCAAAATAATGGTTTCCATGTTAGTTTGTTGAAGATGATTTTATCAATTGGAAAATCATCATCCTAATAGTATTTCCTATTTTTCAGCTACTGTAGTTAAGATGTTGAGCAAAAGATCCATTTTATGCAGTTTTCCTGAGTAACCTTCCTCCAGCCATGGCATTGATGTAAAACAGATTTTTCCCTTCGGACACCCTTTTGGGAAGGGTTTAGCTTCCTCGGATATATCTGTTCCTAGTACTGTATTTGTTATATAGAGTACAACATGCTGATAATAATTGATAATAACTGATAATAATTTGCAAGTTCATGAGTTATTCAGCTTTACAATGATTGCCCTGAATTTATTGGAATTGGAACATTAGGCTTGGAACTAATAAGGGGAACTGTGTTGGTCAGATGCAAGATTCCTATCCTGCCTCTTGATACAAAATGTATCCTGCAATTGTGTTACCTACAGGCATTCTCTGTGCCACAAACCTATCCTATTTACGTCTGACTTGCCACTAAAAACACTGTGAGCTTGCACAAAAATGACTTGCAATTCCTGCTAAAAAATATTCTACTTGTGGGAATCTTACAAAGAATAAAATTGTTTGTAATAACTGTGATGCAGCTGAGAATGATTCATTTAAAAATGTGCCTACATGAAGATAAAAAAACAAAATAAGAAAGAAAAATTTACATGAAATACTGTAAAATCTAAATATTGTGTGTCTGAAATATTGTGTAATATAATATGCTACATGCACTAAACATTTGATATTGAACATGGTATTTTTGCTTTGTAATAAAATTTGATTTCATGCAAAGATATTTTTAAACTTCTAAAAGGTGATAACACACAAATTACACACATTAAATAGATTGCAAGCTGCACATATTAATCATGGTAAAAGTGGAAATAATTTTGAAAATCTAGTGTTGTAACAAGTACAACATGTGATCAGTAGTGTTACAAATTAGACCATGACCGGAAGAAGGTTGAAGCAAATAAATCCCAGAGTTGAATCTTTACAATTAGCTTCGTGTTTTTGTCTTCAGGGAGTAATGGACCTCAGCGATTCTGCATTGAGAAGGTTGGCAAAGACACATGGTTACCACGCTCGCACACTTGCTTCAATCGTTTAGACTTGCCACCTTACAAGAGTTATGACCAGATGGTGGAAAAACTTAATTACGCAATTGAAGAGACTGAAGGCTTCGGCCAAGAGTAGATCCAGGAAGAACTTCATAATTGTAAGTAACTACTGAACCTATTGCTAAACTAAACCAAAAATTTTCCCGCTTGTCAAACACAATTTTGATCGTTTTATCTGGCAATCTACAGTGCGACCATTTTATATATGTGCCGGTCGCACGGGGATTTGATCTTGGCAAACAAGGTCATGGTTACTGGGGAAATCGAGACAAGGCAGTTGGTAGAATTGTTGAAGAGGGGAGACTTCTTTTCGCTACTGGAATATTTTAAATTGAACTCGCGTTATAGTAGATGCTGGAACTACTCACCATTGGCTCTGATGCATTCTTAAAATCTACGAAAGTTCTGTAACGAATGTTCTGTGGTATTGCAGAGATCTGTTCCTGTACATTTTCCCGTAATTTTTCCATGTAGATATTTGTTGCGTAAATGTGATCTTACAGGATCAAAGATAGAAATCTCGCATGGCGTCAGGTTAGGAGTGTTTGCAGGCCACAAACCATGTATGATAATTCTGTCCCCTTAAGCAGCATGTAAACCCTTAAGGAAACTAAAGTAATGTGTGCGGTTGCAGAGTACTGTATAAAATAACCGTAATTACACTCTTGATTTGTCAACATTTGAAAGAATGGCTCAAGGATATAATGCATATAACTATTTGACACATTTTGTGTATGTGTCATACACAAACACTTTGTTTGACAGTGCTCTTCTAGTGAGTCATCACAAACAGGCGTTTCTCTTTATTCAACATCACTGAAAAGCATGCCTATTGCAGGGTGGGACCTTGAGCAGCGTTCCCAGGGGACTTCAGCGCACTATTCCTCGGCAATTGAGGGCCCGTCAGTCGAGTAGAATTTGCCATGATCGTGGCACACTAATAAAATAGTCTCACTGTTTAGCCAGATACACGTAAAGCACAAGAAACTGATAATATTTTGGGATTTGATATTTATTACTTAAAATTTCTTAATGAAAAAGTTTGAAGATTGTATTCACTGTTGTCGTTGTTGTTCCCTGTTGTTTCCGATTATTATTTTCATATGTTATACTTTTGCATACAAAATTGCTGGAGCAGACCTTCAAAAGTGTGTTACTGAAGTGAATATGGTATTAAATTATAATGCAACTTATCAGAAAGTTTATTCTCATTCAGCATCAGAGGGAGTAAATATTGAAATTGCACTTTTAGCATTTCATAAATTTATTTATTCACGTTTTTTAAAATCTGATACCCATTAAGTTACATCTGTTAATTGCATTATTGCTATAAGTTGGTACTGATCTGAAATCCCAGTGAGAAACATTTCTCTCTTATGTTTCCTGTGAATCATTTAAATGGCCCATTCTGCTATAGAACAACAAATGAGATAGTCATGTGTGTACTTTATTGTTAGTTCTTTGCAGGTATATACTTCACGTTGGTTGCATTTCTCCACCTTCACAACCCAGATCAACCAAGATCAACCTCCACTCTCTCAGCTGCAACAAGCAACCGAGGCACATGTCTTTAAAAACATAACACCAGAGTAAAGCCCTGCAATCCAAATCACAAATTTTTTTAGAACTACAGGATCAACATTTACTCAGTGGGCAAAAGCAGGGGAGGTGGAGGTTCTTACTCTCTGACAGCAGCAGATGCTCCAAAGCAAATTGTGACTTAAGCAAATTGTCCTTCCCAACTGCCTCAAAGCAGCCCTTTCCTGAGAAGAAAATGTACCTGTTTTTCTTGTGTATATACAATAAATAATATTATGATGGAACTGCTGGAGAATGGCATGGTAGGTGCTGGGAAGTCCTGTTTTAGCATTGGGTCAACAGAAGTTCAGTTTTGAGAAAAGTGACCCAGAAAACCTGTGATGGGTTTTTCCTTGAGGAGTGTAATGTCCCAATTCTCTTTTTACATTGCCTTTGATGTATTTGGAAGTTAACGAATAGTTAAGTAGGTGGGATGAATGCTCTATTTTGTATCATAAGGGAGAGTTTGGATTGTGGCTGTTAATGTAGGCAGATGTTTTTTTATTACAGGTACTTTCAAGTTGTAAACTCATAAAAGCAAGCGAAATACATTGTACCATAATGTAAATAAATGTAGGTAGTTATATTAAAGCTGTATGTAGTTAAGATACTGAACAGTTAGAGAACAGATCACTTCTTTCCTAAGGAAAATGGGATTTTGGTTTTTGTATACTTAAAAAAAACCAATTTTTTGTAACTGTGATGTATATTTGTTATAAAAAGTGTTTATTTTTGAATGCCACTTCTCCAGTTGCGTATTAATATTAGTAAAAAACCATTAAAATGGTGCACGATTCTAGTACACTGTGAAAGAACGTGAAGATATTTTTGTTATGTAATGATATTTACCTAACATATTGCCAGTGCACATCAACTTATATATTTTGCACATTTCAGGGCAGATGTGTACTATTGTAGAAGGGATCTCCAGTATTTTTATTAAGTTCATGATATTTTAATTTAGAATATTGTTGTAGTTCAGTAGTTTTATTGTACAGTGGTACAGTTCAAAGGTGCGGTGGTGTTGATCAGTTGAAATGGAGTTAAGTCTTGGTTGGTAGAGCAGCACACCAAATATTTTGCATTAATTTTCAGTTGTATTTAGGGGCCACTTGTGATTACATAATTTTTATCAATGTATATATAGGCTACAGTAAAATGCACAGACTAGAATTTGGAATGGGATAGTGGATTGCCTTCGTTTAATTCTAAATTTTGCATTGATGTGCATAATGCAGCATTTGTGTGGGGTTTTTTGCATGCGAGGGTGAATATTGAATCAGTGTGTGATATTTACTTAGCTGTAATTTGGTAGCTTTTGCCCCTTCTCACACCAAATATCTGAATTTATGTTGATATGAATCCCATTCCATATTCTTCGTGTATGTAATTAGATGTACACAGATTGACTTACATGTATGTATGAAAGTGATAATAAATTTTAGTCTCACAGTGTACAAAATTATAACATTTGGTTTTAATTGGTTATTCTAGAATCCAGAACTGAAGTATTATATAATATTTCTGAGGATGAATTACTGTAATGCAATTCCTCAACAGATTGGCTATATTTGAGTGTATGATTGTCAGATATTTGTAAGATACAACATTATGGACAATACTTATAAATTTGATTTTCAGGATAAATATATGAACCTGAAGAAATTGAGTTTCTTTTCTGAGTCATTTATGTAGTGCCCTCTACACCCACTTACAAAAATGCACATTTCTGGTATCTGGAAGTTAAATTTATGAAGCTTGGAGTTGTGAGATGTGTAAGTGGTGGGGGTGTTTATTTGTTGTGTTTCAGAATTTGTGCTTTTCTCCTGGCTCCTTTCCCCCCAACACTATCAGTCTCCGTTCTCATCCAAAAGTGTAACTCTGAACTTTCAAATGAAGTAGCCCACCCAACTGCTAATACAAAGGCTACAAAACTACATATTGAAAGAAATATTACAAATTGAACATTATTTGGTAAATGGTGTAAAAATAAAATATAAATAAAACATCTTGATAATTAAAGAAATAAAATTTTAACTTTTATTTTAAAACTAGAAATACAAAAAATTTATTTTCCTTGAATATTTAAATATTCATCATTAAGTTCTTAAGAGATAAACGAACCTCATGGGATGATTTGCGATTATTTTATTACCAGGGTCCAATTTATATGGCATAACAAATATCTAAATTTGTATGTACTTGGATGAATGCAAAAATAGAATTAAAACTATGCATCCTCCGGTCACGTAGAAGTCGTTGATGGTTTCATTAAATTTGTAGGCACTTCGAGGGATATCCAAAAACAATTAAGTGTTGAAAAATGCAAATACTGAATTGTTATCCATTTACATACTGTGTGTACCAACTGCAGTCTCATACTTCATGCCTTTGCCACAATCTCGAATTAAATATTCATGTGTCGCATTATGGCACAGCAACTTTTTTTTACACATTTCTTTGCAGTGATATTAAAAGAGTATTTTATTTGTTCGTGAGTAGTGTGCCACAACTATTTTGTTTGATTTTCGAAATGCAGAACAACATAGAAAAATTAAATGTGAAAAGAATGTATAAATCAAATGTCAAGTTACAGAAATGGAATAGTCAACTGCTTAATTTTAATTTTAGCTCTGAACAAAATTTAATCTTTATCCAAAATAGACAGGACATTATTCTGTTGCCAAAGATTCAATGGTTAATAAATAATTGACCATTTACAAAGCAGTGGTTTAAATGTTCAAATGTAAAACTGTCCTTTTTATCTCTTAATGTAGCTTCATATTGACTAATAGGCTGCTCAGCATCAGAAGTATTAATAGGGTCCACCTTGAACTTTTCAATATGTTGTGGAGTTAATCTAGATTTACTTCTAAATCTGAGTTGTCATTTTAAATAGCACTACACGTGAAAAATAATTACCAAGAATAAATAAACCATAATTGGTTAAACAAGCGATCTTTGTGCAAGTAAAATGTTGAAATATGCAAAGTGATTTTCCACCACGTCATTCTACATACAACAGCTTTTATAGAGAACATGGTTTTAGATGAAGCTTTGTAAACGGTACATCACATGCTACATCTCATCAGGAATTAAGATAGAAGCAGTGAATAAAAAAATGTATACTTGTCACAGTGAGGTAAAAGGGGGGAAAACGTCCCCCCCCCCAAAAAAAAAATTTCAGTAACTATTAATTTTAATATATTATGAAACTTTCAAGCCAAAATATTTTCAAAGAATCATTAAACTGAATAAAATTGTATCACAGCACAACCTGATTGTAGCCTACAACATTTTATAAAATCTAATATGACACATTCAACCACATTTTGAATTTCCCCTCCCAAAATTTGTGTCTGGATCCACCAATGCTAGTCAGAATCCTTCCTGGTAATGAACTTGAGAAAACAGTAATAATACACCTGAAATTATTCATCTTGAAAATAAGAGACTGAGGGTAAGGCCCTTAACAATCCAGTTTATAATTGTAGGTGCTTGGAGTGTATAATTAGCCACAATGTTGTTCCTCAGGTCGTGGATACTCATAAAGTCAATTAAATTTAATCGGCACTTACCCTGCTTTTATACTTGTAGGATTGTTTGTGATTCAAAGAGTTGCTAACATGTCCTTATTTAAAACACCAAGTCTTATCGGCAAATGTAAAAATTATGTATTTCCGCAGTACCCAGAGTAAAGCAATGAAGACTAAATCTTCAAAAGCGTAGTGAATTAGCAGGTCATGAAATTTTAGTTCGAAATTTCATGGCTCTAAACATAAAAGAATAGTCAAGCAAACTTATTCGAGGCAGCTATATCGAAAATATGCGCAGTGATATAATAGCGGGTATGCAAAAATGAATCAAACGTCAATGCAGAAAAACGCGGAGTATAGACATTCAAACTTCCCGCTTTTTGCAAAAAAAAATTGACAAACGACAAACGGACATTATAGTATTAAAAATATGAATTTAAACTAGTAAATAAAACGTAAGCAATTTTTATCAAGATTAATAAAAGATAAAATTAAGATTTACACATTCGTCTAATCTGTGTGAAAATTCAGCTCTGTTCTCTTTGTTTTCCTGCTGCTATCTGGCACTAAATAAATCTCGATTTAAAAATAATGTTGGGAAAAAATGTATCCTTGTTTAAAATTGTTTAATATGCAGATTTAAATAATATAACATTGTATTTTAATTGGTATGTAATAAAAACGTTTAACTATATTCATCCATAGTGTTAGGTTAACAGGAATTTATTTACACAAGATCTCTGTTGTTAATTATTTTCTGAGTGGGTTATTTCTTATCCTTGACTTTTAAATTATTACATTTTCCGATTAATGATATTCATACAAAGCATTCGATTAAAAATATGATTGGCAAAATTGATAATTTATCTACATTAAGTCAGAGAGTGTGTACATAGAATCCACGGTGTTTATAAAAAGGGCGGAACAGGAAATGACATCAGAGATGTGATTCAAAGATATTCCACTGTAGCCAACAACTCAGCTGGAGAGAAGCTGCCGGTAGAGCTGTAGGTGGGAGGTTGAGACCAAATTTATCCTGTTCATCGCAGATGGACAGTCACGGAAGAAAAGTAATAGTTTGCGATAATGGAACTGGGGTATGTACTTTGCGTATTAAATGTGATATTGTTCTGATTTCACAAGTTAAAGTGTTGCAAAAAAAATCCAAAAACCTTATCAGTGTTAGCGGATGTCATCGCCAACTGTCATTCCCTTACCACAATAATAAAACTATTATACCTATGACTATGAAAAGACTTTCGCTTGCATTACATCTGGTGATGTGTGCAACACAAATTACAGAACTGATAAATGGTGTATGGTTAAAGTGTTCTGTGATTAGAATTCTGTATTTCTAAGATAAGTAAATAGAGCCACTCCCACTTTCTCAACTACATAAATGAAAATGTGCCGTTATTTGCTCATGGTTCATTTTTATGTTAGAATGTATTTCATGTTATTTTAATGTGCATTTGTGGTGTGTTCTAGTTCGTTAAGTGTGGATATGCTGGATCTAATTTTCCTGCCCACATCTTTCCTTCTATGGTGGGACGACCTATCATTCGAGCAGTCAACAAAATCGGAGATATTGAAGTCAAGGTATGTAATTAATTGTATTAAATAGATCTTTAGAAATATCTACCCCAAGAGAATTCGGTTTAAATAAACACCAAGTATATAATGTCTGTTTCTCACTGCATCTCATTTTCAAGTATTTGATAGTTCTGAAATATTTATTTTGAGAATATCATAATGATAGATAATTCAAATGAAAAATACTTTTTGGATGATTTTTTTGACATTAATTGTGTTGGAAATAAAATTGTGGAAACTAATGTTTATAAAATTTGAAACGTATTTTTCTTTGTATAGCCTAATCTGGCAAAAGAATTTGTAAGTAATGAATGGAGGAGTTCTAAATAAAGAGATTTTATTATAGGCAAATATTTGTTTAGTTGTATAATGCCCTGTTCTTTGCTCTCCAGAAGGAACACATTTATTGAACTTAAATATTTAATTTGCCAAGTAATATCAATAGCTGTCTTATCTTACAAGAAGATGATTTTATTTGTTGCTAGTCAAGGAGCAAAAGTTTTCAGATTTCTTAAAGAGAATTTTGAAATATCTAAAACAATCTATGTACATCACAAGTGCGAAGCAGAGAAATTTTGGGGTACATGTTATTCTGCAATTATATTAAGAGCTTTATCTTTTGACACTTGACTATTGGATTTTCTTAAAATAAACAAGTATGGATTATATATTGGTAACAAAGCTAAAGGTGCGTTAATAATATACTAGAAATGTAATAAATTCAGGATACAGCAACTAAAAATTGTAAATTTTACCCAGAAATGATTTTGTCACGTAAGCATTCATTGCCTTATTTGAATATTTTTTTCATTTTAATTATGGTGTTTGTAAATTGTTATTGAGGTTATGTCAATATTTATTGTATATTCTTCCAAGTGCTGCCCCTAGCAGATGTTTTTGGAGAATATTATTGATAATTTTATGAGATGAAGAAATTTACTGCCAAAAACTTACTTTGAATTTCACTATTACTAGAACTGTATGTCATTGTTGTACCCGCAAAACTGGGTCTGTACATCTTGCAAAAATGTGTTAGTATGTAAGGAGGAAGAAATAACATAGAACAGCTGAATTAATTGCACCTTAAACCTTTATTGTGAGATATTTAATAGTGCATTAACACACATGATAGAAAGAAAAATAATTATTTGAAGTGTTATAAGTCTCTGTAAAATGACAGTACACATGGCTGTTTTTGCAGGTCCAATGATGATATATTGTTTGTTATATGAGAAAGTTTTCTAATTTGTAGTGGGGATTGGTGCTACAATAATATAATACTGTACATATACTAGGATTTATATAACTGTGTACTTGATGTAAATCAGCTGTTCACGGTTTCATCTGATTGGGAGCTTGAACGTCCCTAGTGACATCATTGTTGCGACATATAAGCTCCTGATTGGGTGAAACCACAACGGCTAGTTTACGTCAAGTGCATGACTAAATGAATGTACTATAGTTTCGTTTTAAATTATCTTACAAAATATTTCAATACTGGTCTCAAGTAATGTAGTTACTGTAATTCCACACCTTTTTCCCCGAAGAAAAAAAGAAAAAAAAGAGTAAATTGGAGAACATCTCCCATAATATTTGTAAATATTAAGAGCTCAAAGACGTAAGTGGAAGTTTTTTCATTGAAGTCTTATTCTCTGTAGCAACTGAAACTGATTAATTTATTTATTGATATGTTTGAATCATTATTTTTTCTCTATGTTTCTTGCATCAACAGTTTAGACCCGACCCTTGTGAATTAGAATCTGCCAGCAAGCAAACGTAATATTCGTGTCATGGTTGTGATTGCTCCCCCTTCTTAATTGCTGAATACTGCATTTCCGAATAAGTATTAAGACAAGTGTTTTCACATTTGATACAAGTTTGATTATTGCAATTTGTTTTTACTCTTATCCTTTTCAATAATATTGTTTCAGCAATTTGTACTATTAAATCCTCTGAGTAGACATAGTCCCCTACTTCCAAGTTGATTTCATACTTTATCTAAGTGGTTTTTAATGCAGTATTGTCATTCCCTTAGAAGGCCTCTTACTTACAACTTCGATTCAGAAGATCTTAAAAGCTAGGCAAACAATGTGTTTAGTTCCAAATTTGCTTAATCAATCTATAGGCACTTATCTGTTTATCAAATTTGTCTGCATTGTCTGAAGTTTCTCTTTTAATTATTAATGAATCCTCGGATTTAAACAATATTAGATTAAATGTTTGATTTGTATTGCTCACTTTAATTAAATAAGATTTGTAAAGTTTCAAATGATATTTTTAATTTTTACCCTGTAAATCATTTTGTATTATTGTAATTTTGAAACCTGTTTTTGAACTGCTTTAGGAGCAAAATGTATTTATAAACCTTAAAAATTGTTTAAATTGGAAATTTCTTTTGTATTTTAAAAATGAAAAATGTACATTCAAAATTGCTGTAAAATAAAGCTTCATGTTTAGAATAGTGTGAAATTCCATAAGAGATAAAATGCACAAATACTACTGATAATGTTATTGTACAGAGCACAGGAGTGATATTTTATAGTTTGTTCAAATGCTGCATTTCGAGTTTGTTTCTTGATTCAGATTGTATGCTGCGTATAACTTGTGAAACGAAACTCTCCAATTCATTTGTGCAAATAACAGGTTTTCTTTAAAATATTAAGTGAAGTTATAATTTTGTTCGAAATTAACTGTTGTAACAGCAGTCAATGTGTTTAATGTTAAAGACCCGTTTTTAGATAGAAAATATACTTGCGCCAAAACATTGCTCTTTGAAATTTTTTATTTTCTTCCCTTGAGAAGGGTACAAAAGCAACTTTCACGAAGCCATGAGTAGTATTTTCTGTTATATTAAAGAAAGTCATGTAATTATTATAATGGGTTCAATCAAATTTTGTTTCATTGCAGGAAGAGATATATGTCAGGGTAAGAAGTCCTCAACATTAACAGCTAAGGCATTCATTCTGAGATTTTTGAACCTAATATGTAACCCTGTGGTTCTTTTCTGTGTGTTTATGCATGAGTACATTAATGCTGTTGTATTGGAAATAATTGGTTGCTAGGCAAGAGCGATATCCCAACAAATTCATTAATATTTGTATGAGTGTTCCCTTTTGTGTTATCCAAAAACTTGACCATTGAATGTGTAAATGGTGATAACAAGACATCAGTTTGAATCTTTGTGAATCTACCTAAGAATAGTTCCAAAAATTGGTAGGAAATGTGGTGATTGATTGCAGATTCAAGTGATAATTCTGTGCATCTTGTAGTTAAATTGATATTTACCTAATACTTAACCAAGTTGCAGAGATACATAAAAAATTAAACCATTGCAGTGGCCTTTTTATTTAAAACGAGTTTCAAACTTGCGTTGATTATTTACAAACACTTGCTCTGAACAGAAATTCACCAGTGCACAAATATACATGTGTATCATGATTGCCAGGACTGTCTTGAGAAATCTCAAACTCATTTGAAAAAGAATTACAAGAAATGCAGTACTATTTTGTGTTATTTCTCTTTCTTTTTTAAGATGTTTTAGCTTTTCTTGAGTTTTCAATGTGCTGTAAGATATATCTGGCTATTGAAATGAAAATGTTTTTTCCTTGCTTTTTTTTTTTTCCTTTCTTTCTTTCTTTCTTTCTTTCTTTCTTGAACCCTCATTATGATTCCAAATTTTGTCAGTCTTGAAAGTCATGAATCGTGCACCTGTTGAAAAACTAGATCAAGTATAGAGCAGTAACTGTATGTGAAGGGTGTTGAGAATTTGAGTTAGTTTGTGCTGGGCACTGTGTGTAAGGTGATGCGTGCAGCCTTTGTAATGTCTTTGCTCATCCTCCTGTGCTGCTCCCCTAGGAGTTTGCTCATGTTCCAGTAAGTATGCATGTTTGTGGAGTGGTTCTGCATGACGTCTGATTGGAGAGCTTGGTGGAAGAAATTGAAGGAAAACAATTTGCTTACAATTTGATATCTTTTTAGAGCACATTTAAAGCAGCATCGTTCTAGAGTATGTTCTGTGGGAAATTTTCTGCTCTCTGTGTAGAAGTTCATAGTACATAACAGTTTTTATATATGCTAAGAAGTCAGTAGTGTTGTCTGCAGAATTTAAAGAAACTGTCTTGTCTGTATTAAAAACTGTTCAGAATATCTTTTTTAATAAAGAAGTATTTTGTTCTGATTGGATCTAGTAAACATTTATGGTGAAATATTGTTCAAAATTTCTGTAGGGAGCAATTAGTGGATGAAAATTGATATTGAATTTGAAATGCTATTTCAAGTAATTTCCTGCTTTCATTGTTAATAATTTCAGCTTAATTTCCCTTTAATCTTGCCTGATATTCGTGATATGGGAAAATGAACTACAGTATGGGAATGATAGTCTGCTGCTCGTGTTAGGAAAGTTTGAATGCATAGTCATTTATTTTAGAATATAATTGTGTTGTATTAATCGCAGTCTTGTGTATTTTGTGTAGATAGTTGAACAGTGGATAGTTAGACAGCGTAGTAGAATATATTGTGAAACCTTCTTTTGTGCTTCATTGCATTGAGCAGTTGCCATTGTTTGTCCAAATCACTTATAGGATATTGTAAATTCAAAGAAATAAACCATATTTAATCATGATGTTGGTACGGCCTCTCCAAAAGGAAGATTATTGTTATGTGAATTTTTATATTCTTTGCTTGATTGACTTTATTTTAGTATCTGAATTCCACAAGAAAGGTTAAAATGAAAAAGAATGTTAATTGTTGCATGGAAGTATGTTGCAATTGTTTGCGTTGTCTGCTGTGCTTTGTGGTGTATAATATTTTTTAATTTTTAATTCATATTGTGTGCAATGTATAATGTTCTCCTATATGTTTCTGCATCCTTTTGTATTTCTTGCAATAATGTAATTTATTTTGATTTATAATAATGCACATGATAAATATCACATTTGCTTATATTAGTAATTTGTGTATCACATTAAATATTTTTAATTCCTCAGGACTTGATGGTAGGAGATGAAGCCAGTAAACTCCGGTCAATGTTGGAAGTGAATTATCCCATGGAAAATGGAATTGTGAGGTAAATTGCTTATGATTCATGTATAATGTGAATTCTGATAACTATATCTACATTGCATGAAAATATATTCCTGCTGTTGAGTAAGCGAGTTCGACAAAAATCCTGATTCATAAATGAATAGGCAAAAGCAGTGTAGGATTTCAAGCTAAATGAAGAGAAAAATACAGAGGATGGTATTTTCTTATGTGTACATTTTTTCCCTAGATTGTTATGGAGTGAACTTGCATAAATTGTATGTTACAAGCTGTAGAAAGGCTGAATGTGTAACATAATAAAATTGATTTAGTTCTCAGTTCCTGTATCTACTGCATTCTCTACTTGAAAACACGTTTTAAAAAAATGAAATAAATCTAAAACAATTAGCGAAGTTTTTATGACAAGGGGAAATTTTATTATTTTACTTAAATGAATGATAAACAAGATTCCCCTTAAATGTATTTTAACTTTCCAACAGAAGGTACAAAAAGTCACATTCCTTTAATATAATTCCTACAATGCCAACAAATTTAGTTAATTAAAAATAGATTTGAACATGTAAAATATCTTCAATTTGTCTTGCATTCATAATATTCGTAAAGGTTTGGAAATTTTGTACACGATTTGGAAGTTGACCCTTAACTGAAAATACTTCCATTGTTCCCCCTCTGGCTCTAGGCAATGCAGATGTGTTCAAGGTGTATTCGTGAAAGTAATGAATAGGGCTCAGATTCTGACGACATGTCTTTTGATTGGCGCATTCTAGACGTAGCTAACGTGAAAATCAATGTTTATCACAATGTAAAGGGGATAGAAATGTACTTATTGGGTCCTTTTTTACAATTTTTCAAATGTTAGGTCATTTGTCTGGACTTTTTCTGCCAGTTTTGTCATTTTTACGCATTTTGTTTCCTTTTCATGTTTTTGTTAGTGAATGCTTCATGAATTTACAATGACTCACAAAAACAGTTTTTATTGTATTATTAGTTCATGATGAAATTCACTATTGCAATGGACTCAGATTTTCAAACTCTGAAAATTACGCGGATCTTCGGTGATCTTTCAAATCTATCAGTTGGAAGATCAGATCTAAGAATTACAATTCCTCATATAATGTAGACATTAAACATAATTTTATATAAATTAATTTTATTTAATTAATTCAATTCAAAATTCATTCAATAAGTAAGCATTTTCTTTCAAATTTGTTAGTATTTTTTAAAAAATGAGGTTATTTTCCCCTTTCCCCTTTCCCTCTTTTCATAGGTCATTTTCAAAGAATTTTTAGGTCATCAGAATCCAAGCCCAGGTAATAATTATTCAGTGAACAGACCCTGGGACTAAAATGTCAGCAAAAATAGATAATGTGCTTAAAATGTCATTTCCTTTTTGATTTATTGTGAAAGAATTTTGCTTTTTTCATATTTATTTGCTTTTCTCTTTGTTTAATAGAAATTGGGAAGACATGTGCCATGTTTGGGACTACACATTTGGTCCTGAAAAAATGAATATTAATCCAAAAGAATGCAAGATCCTTCTTACAGAACCACCAATGAATCCTACAAAGAACAGAGAGAAGATGATAGAGGTAAAATTTGGCTCAGAAAAACTGAAGTAAAAACAAAACAATTGATTGATTTAGTGGAATGTACATGTGAAGGGAAATCAGAAAGTTTAAAAGAATATTTCTTTTCATTTTAAAATTTTTTTTATTATTATTTTTATTTTCATGAAAATATAAATTGGTTACGAATAAAAAATTGGAAATTGAGAAATTGATAGCTATTTGGAGAAAGCTTGAAATTTACATGAAAAGATATGTTTGATCATCAAACAAAATGTTCAGATTTTCGAAAAGTTGGACCAGCTAAATTTATTAAAGCATAGAAAATCCATATTTAAGTGAGAGTTGAAGGCGGTAAATCTGAAAACATCACGTGTCAATTAATGTGAAGCTGTTTTGAAGTGGTCAGGGAAAACTATAAAGAATCCCATTCTTCTAGACTTCTTTTTTCAGTTTCTATTTCATAGTGTGTCTCAAAAACGACTAATTTTCTAACTGCAAGGAAGACGGAGAAAGGATATAGATTTGTGTTGAAAGCCTATATGAATCACTTTAGTTGTAGTTTCTCACCTTACATGTTTGTGTAAATTCTAGCTTTGCTTTTTCTTTAAATAACAGAATTGTTGTTTTTCTCCATCAATCTTGCTATATTCATAAAACATATTTACATGTGAAGTAATAAAATCACTGAAATGTTCTTCAGCAAAATTAAATGGAATCAATAATATAAAAGTTACTTTAATCCTCCTGCATAGATATTTTTCCAAAAAAATAATTTCTTTTTCTGGTAGCATGTAATAAACTTTATTCAGAATAGCATTTAACTTGGAATCCCTCTTATTGATCAATGTTTATCAAAGTAGAAAGTACTATGTATACTATTAACAAACATTACATTTGAGTGTAAACATCCATGTTACCCAATTAGTAAATTCAAAATTCTTCTGTCAGTGTTGAATATAACTCAAGAAAACCATTTCCAAATTTATTTTCCATTTCATGTGTTTTCCTTTAGGGACTTTGGGAAGTCTTATTACATGATTTATGAAGCTGGAGGTGAATTGTATAAAAACTATTTTTTATTGTTTGTACTTATTAGTCTTTTCTTAAATGAAATGGGGTTGATATGAGGGTAGTTCCCTAAACTATTGCACTGCTTGTGATTGATATCCATGCAGGCCTTGGAGAGATGGGCAGGGGAGAAAGCAGATTCTTTTGATGCAGTTGTTCCTTTGTGCTAAGGAAAATGCTCCAAAAGGTTTATTGCTTTTGTTTCTTGTGCAGGTGATGTTCGAAAAATACCAGTTTGCTGGAGCGTACATCGCCATACAGGCAGTGCTGACACTTTACGCACAAGGTTTGCTCAGTGGAGTAGTGGTAGATTCAGGGGATGGGGTGACGCACATTTGCCCTGTTTATGAGGAGTGTGCCCTGCCTCATCTTACAAGGAGGTTGGATATTGCAGGGAGAGATATCACCCGATATCTCATTAAGGTATACTATATTTGGTCGTTTTTCTTATATTCTCATTACATATACTAACCACAAAGAGTTTTTTAAATGATGGCTTAACGAGTTAGTAGGATAGAAGTTTCCGTAATATAATATTACATAAACTTTACCCGTAATATCAGAAAGTATTTACAGTTGTAGCACCATTAATTTGAAAGGTTATAGCGTTTAAAATATCACATTTTAATGGTAAATAAAATAAGTGTAAAGTTCATTCTATCACGTTCCGGAACAGGAGTGGCGCGGGTTAAAATCTGTCGTACAATGCCTGCAAGAAACTTTCCACCTGCAAGCTGCTTAAGTTAAGATAACAATTGTTGCCAAAAGGGAATCTTTTGACTAATATTCTTGTGGTGAAAGAATTTTTTAGTCCCAGAAATAGTAAACATACTGCCAAATATACATACATTTCATCAAAAAGTTTATCACTTTATTTTGCAAGTCGTGAATGGGGAGAACTTTCAGTCATTTGTAGTGTATGTTGATAGAATGTATTACTTTTAACAACAAATTGTTACAACAACTTTTTGAAAAATGTGACAATAAGCAAGTCCTGGACACGACTTTAAATCCTGGTGAGCTACTACGCAATCACTCATTATGCTCTCTTTCTTCCACCAATTGTGTTTTGGAAGTGTTCATTGAAGTGAAGTAGCATTGCCAGCATGCAATCTCAAAGTGCAATTTGGAGTACACTGTCTAGAAAGCTAGAAGAGTGTAGAGTGACTTAATTTGCTGCCAATCTAGGGGTGAATGAAAACATAATATTCACTCATTAGAAGGTAAAAGTTTATTACGTAGAGAGAAAAGCATGCATAACTCAATAGAGTAGTAGTAGGATTGTAAGATTTCATTTATTATTATGAAAGTTTCAATAATAGAAGACTTGTTCTTTTAGAATTTACAATAATGTTATTTTTCAATTTAATTTAAAAATAATTAAAAGACATGGTAAAGAAATCAATATTACAGAAATGAATAAGATAAGCAATATTGGTAATAAAGTTTGTCACTATTGTTTAATTTAAAATGTTGATGTTATACTTCCAGTTGCTGCTCCTCCGAGGTTATGCATTTAATCATTCAGCAGACTTTGAGACTGTTCGCATTATGAAAGAAAAATTATGTTATATTGGCTACAATATTGAGACTGAGCAGAAGTTAGCACTTGAGACTACAGTCCTGGTTGAACCTTATACTGTAAGTAGTAATAATTTAAACTTTAATTCTGTTCATCATTGAATAAACTTTCTTGCTTTTGGTACTTTCAAGAAGTAAATGAGAAAATGTTATAAGACCAGAGTTATCAGACAATTTTCTTGTGTTTGTTTTTCTTTCTTACATCAAGCTTAAAAAGGATGGAAATGTAACATTTTTATGAGCATTCCAATATCAAACCCCATGTGTGTTGCAGCTGCCCGACGGTAGGGTTATCAAGGTTGGTGGTGAGAGATTTGAAGCCCCAGAAGCCCTCTTCCAGCCACATCTGATCAACGTAGAAGGGCAAGGTATGCACAGAGATGCAACAGATGTACCGTTGATCAGTTTCATTAGAGATTGGTAGATGTTTATAATACAATGGAACAAAGGTTTCAAGGTTATTCATATTTCAAAATGAAGGTTGAAACTGCAAGTGCAACAAAAGAGAGATTTTGAGATTTAGAATCTTGAAATTGACAATTGGTACCACACCTGTTTGCATTGAGGGAGATCTGCAAATGGCTAATGAATGAACAGTGGCAGCTGTCTGTTGTTTGTTTTGACACTAATGGTATTCAAAGGACCACATACCTTACTTTTTCACTTGAAATTCTTGTAGTACTCTTTTTATTTTGGACTGATTTACAACCAAAATATAATTAGAAGTAGTTATTGTTAAAAATTAGTATTTAATTTTTGTAATACATTCCACTTCTTTAAAAAAATCACTTCGCATGCACAAAATATATTTCTTTGATAGCACCTCTGAAATTTTCTGCATTAAAAGAGTTTTTTCCCCTCGCTTTAAAGCAGATTAAAAATTCAAATTGCAGAAGAAAATTAATCTATTTTTTATTCTAAGTTTTAAAAAGCTATTCCCATCCATTCTAGATGTTAAAAAAGGAGAGGAGGGGTCTGAAAATGGGTAAAACTTGTTTTTGTTTTGTCCTCAAACACATTTTACAAAATGCTGGTTCAAAACATTTGGAGGTATTTCTTACGTTCTTATTCCACTATAACCTTTCTAAATTTTTAAATCCCAAATTGTTTTAGGCATTGCAGAAATGGTTTTCAACACTATTCAAGCTGCTGATATAGATATGCGCACAGAATTGTACAAACACATAGTATTGTCAGGAGGATCAACAATGTATCCAGGCCTGCCTTCTCGTTTGGAGCGGGAAATTAAGCAACTGTACCTGGAACGTGTGTTGAAAAATGACATTGATAAATTATCTGTAAGTAATACAATTATTTCTTGTTACTTTCAAGCTTTAGTGTCGTTAAATTTACCCAGTCATCATTGTGTTCGCAAATTTGTCTTTTTAACAATTTAATAACTTAAATTCAATATATTTTTGTAGTAAAAATTAATTTACGTTATAAAAAAGTTCCTTAATGAATGCTTTTTATTTGATATGATGTACTAGTTTTGCTTTATTTGAATCCTATGTATTTTTGAATTGAATTGAATTAATCCCTTATTTTACGTGGCGGAACTCGGACCATCAGGCCCGCTCTTCTGTCTGACCAAGCAAATTTCGCTACGCTCCTTTCACCAACTAGCAGAGGAAGGAGGTATTTCTTGGGCAAGAAACATATGATTTTGAATTTAGCTCAGAGGCGTCATTTAGGCTTGAGGATCTTTTACAAGCAAGTAAATCTTCTAACATGGGACAGCCGGCTCCGAAGGAAGGCGTAAAAAAGATTTTTTGGCCCTTAAAAATCCACGGCTTTGATCTCGGGTTTGAACCCGCCAACTTGGGTATACCAAAACAATACGCTAACCGTTACACCATCGCCGCCTTTGTGTTAGAATGAAATTTTAAGAATTGAAAAAAAAATTGTTACTTGTGTGAAATTCAATCTATCACAAGTTTAGCACAGAGGTAATTCATTGAAATTTCTCTGGGAACATTGGACTATATCAAAAGTTTCAATTCTGATGATGCTAATTGATGGGCTGCTTTGCCAATCATAAAAGATAAGCTCTCACGGGGCCGATACAGTATACTAATTTCAGTTCCTTCTAAAGAAGAATGTTGCATTAAAGAAAAACTATCTCACTAAAGCATACAAAAATTTGTTAAATGTACTAGCATAAAAATATTAGAAATATAAATAAAAATAAAATATCAAATTGGCATAAAAATTGTCTTCTAAAGTATTGAGTCAGCTCTCTTTTTCTTGTTCCTTAAAATCATCTTGGTTTTTGTCACTACCCTTCTTCTTTTTCATATATATCTTTGTTGCTTTCCTTTTGATCTGCCTCCCATACTGTGACGTTCTGACTTTTTAGGTCCCTCTGAATGTGTTACTTGAATTTGCATTTTAGAATGCATTTTTCATCTGATGCTAAGTAAGAATATTCCCTTCTGTCATCAGTTAAAAACATATACCCTCATCAATAAGTATTTCTTATTACAAAATCTTGGCCATGATTTATATCCATCTTCACGTTGTGTTTCGCTTGATACAATACCATTCATTTGCGATTCTCTCTTTGCTAGCCTATTCAAAAATATTGGTCTGAATTGTAAAGCAAATTAGAAGTGTTTGCAAACAATATGTCCGTAAAAGTTATTACATATTATATATAGGCATGTTATTTTATCGTATTCACAGCATCTTGTTTCGTCAATATTTATGAGTTTCATGACATGAAATGACAATGTAAAAACATAAATCCTCACTGACTAGTTTGAATCATAAGACATAACAGAATAATTTAGAATTAGTAAAGATTAGGTTTTGTGGTTAATAACAAATACTTAATAGTTCTTAAACTTTCATTTCATCTTTACATACACCTAGGTAGGTTTCAAATATAGCAAAACTAGCACATCACATCAAATGAGAAGCATTTAATTTTTACAATAAAAACATACGGTATTTAATAATGAAACTACCACAGAACACAAACAAAAAATAATTTTTTGAAGTTGGTGTATATTTTGTTATTAATTCATTCCTTTACACTTATGATTGTTTGCAGAGTTTCTGCATTAATGCTTGTTACATTCCTTGATGTTACATTTTTGTTAAGCTGTGTGCAAAATATTATTTACATATGTCATGTTTTTGCAGAAATTCAAGATTCGCATTGAAGATCCTCCTCGGCGAAAGGATATGGTATTCATTGGTGGTGCTGTCCTTGCAGAGGTCATGAAGGATAGAGACTCCTTCTGGATGAGCGCCGAGGAATATCAGGAAAAAGGTGTAGGGGTTTTGGGAAAACTAGGTGCTCAGGCGAGTTAGAAAGTGCTAAGACAAGACTTGTCAATGATGCCAAAATAAAACAAGACAAGGTGGTGTTTCATGTGCAGAGAACACTGCAGGTCATTCCACTAATCTTCTGCATGAGCAGTTTGCAGAGCTGTGCTTAACAATGTTAAATGTTATAGTAAATGACCATCCAGTGAGGTATTGGCAAGTGATACAAGAACGTTATCAAATTTTGACAGCAGTTGATATGTATCGCTTTAACTCGTTTCACAAATAGGTTTTGTCTTAAAATGTTAACATGGCATGGGAAAAATCACAGATTGTATCTGGACTTTTCTCTGTCAAACCTGAACACTTGTTAAATAAACGGTTCACTTGCCACCAAATCTTGTTTTTCATCCTTTTTAACCTTTATGTAATATTTTGTTGAGCTTGAAGTTGTGACTGGCCTCACGTTTTTGTTTGGTACCACCATTTCAAATGCATTCATCTAATTTTGATTTGGTGGCCTCTGAACAAGATTTTTTCTTTTGTGAACATTTCTCCTAACAATTTTGTTAATCTTTTAAAAGAAACTTCAGCAGATGCAAATTTATAATATTGAGGACTTATTAGAATATAGTGCATGTAAATGATCATTCCAAATGAACAAACATTGCTAGTATTTTATCTTTTCATTGTCACCCATAGAAGAGATCTATGGGTAATTGTTATATATCAGCAGCAGGATAATTGTCTATCTTGTGTTGCTCCCGCTTGCAATATTTATTGCATTCTGTTACAAAGCAATATGGCAATCAGAAGTGTATTTATACTACTGTGCAATAAATAATGCCATTTTCTTTATTGATTCATTTTTTTCTCTTGTTATTAAAAGTATTTCTATTTTATTGCATATTTTTGACAATTGGGGATTGAGGTGTAATCAGACTTATCAACTTTCTATCAACCAAAGATCATTTTTGGCATTTTTCAGAATATTTTATTTGAAGATCAACAATGGATTCATTGTTCCTAAACAGCAGTGTACATTTTTCTTTTGAGAGAGATTTCCCTTACAGTTATTTTACTTTCCTGTTGCAACTATTCTACAGCTCTTCCTTTTGTGTGATGTAATCACACAGGTACAGCTAGTGTGGATACAATTTTTTTAGATATAAGTTATTAATTCTTGTTTATAGCAGGTATAATGTCAAAACAATTTGATAGGTGAAAATATAATAGAGTATGTGAGGTGGAACTGAGAAAGGTCCAAGTCATTTGAATATTTGTCAGCGCATATGAACACAATATATTTTAGCATACATTGGCCCATCGCCTATAATAAAATAGATAGCAAACCCCAGGTGAAGATTCATCAGTTCACTATCTTTATTATAAAACATTTTAATGATTTTATTTTGTCTCTTGAAAATGCATTATGGCCTAAAGCATGTTTGCTCCAATAAGATGCTCATTGAACGCAGAAATTGCCCTTCATGCAGCATTTTGTCGGAGAGAGGTTGGACTCTTTTCTGAAGCAGAGGAAAGGGCTTTGGAAAAATATCACAGATCTATGAACGATATCTGCTCCAAAACACACATTGGCTTAGATAGTTCAGGTCATCGACAAATTTCACTGCAGTGCCTCTGACCAGGAGGTCCTCGGGCGTCCACACAGAGGGAACATTTTTGACTAGTTTGCTAGGTTGTAATCAACAGCTATCTGGAGAAGAATTCTAGTGGCTCGCTGCTTTGTTTGGTAGTTTTCACTGGCCAGTGCTACAAAACACGCGATCTTGCTCTTCCTTGCCCTTTCCTCACCCGAATTTATACACCCCACCCGGTGGTGCCCCGCGAGATGTTGCATGACCGAGCAGTGCTGGCGATCATGCGACATGATCGACACGACCGAGAGAGACGCGAAATACCGTGAGATATTCATTAGGGGTGGGGGGGTGTCACTTAGTAGGTGGTAAGACGTCCTTATTTGAAAGTAGCGGTGGGAGAGACCAGAAGGTGGTAGGGGAGACACAGAGGCGAGGTACGTCCGCCATTATCACCCACCCTGGTAAGTAGCGCTGAACAGGGACTTTTGCGAACTAATTTTAAAAACATTGAAAGTTTGATTTTGTGATTTTTTTTTTCATTATAAGTAGAGTTAGTTATACGATAGTTTCTCTTGGTGGAATTCACTTTTGCTTAAGAGTGGTTTGTTTTTTGGTTGTTTGGCAATTTTGAAAAGAAATGACGAAATATAGGAGTTGTTGGGTTCCTAATTGCCACAGTAACCGAAGGAGAGATGCGGAAAAGACAAGGCTGCTTCCTTTTCCAAGTGATACTGAACGGTAAGTGAAATTAAATATATGACGATTCGCTCGAAGGGTTTAACATTATTCGAATAATGGATATTTTTTATATATTTACAAATAACCTGTGGCTAATTTATAAAAATCATCTAATTTTGTTTACATAGCTGCATAATATTAACAATTTCTAACAAACAATTTAATATCATTTAACTACTAATTAATCTACATGGTTCTCTATAATAAGTGCAATATATTTGTATGTCGAAACCTATTTCAAATTGTCACCGTTAAGCACAATTGATTGCCTTGATCCTACTTCCCTAAATTTATCTCGCCCCATAATCATACACTTTGTTTTACGAACATATAAAAAAATGCATGCTCAACCATACACTAACCAAAGTTAATTCCCTATTAAACTTATAATTCTCTATTAATCTAATATTATTTCCCCAATTTTTATAGTCATTTGTATACCAACAACCTGAAATTTAATATTTATTTTGTTTCTTATTATTTATGTAATACAAGCATTATTATATATTATAGGTGTATGAATTGGCTTATATATACTCTCTGTACTCTATCGTGAAGACAAGGTCTCGCGCGCCAAGAAATAAAACCCAAGTATGTTGGGCTGGTTGATAGCGTCGCTGTAGCGTAAACAATCAAGATGGACGTTTTGCTAGGTATTGTTTCCGCGTGTGTTGTGGTTCATTTGCATTTGCGAGGTAAATCGTGGAGGGAAATTCGTGAGGAAATGGCGGGGATAATGCTCGAGCAAATGAGACAGTAAAGAAGTGGAAAAAGTGGTTTCAGTATGGGCACTAAGAGCTGGAAGATGCACCACGAAGCGACAGTCTTTGATGGAGGAGCCACGGATCATCCAACTGGTGGAAATGTACTGTTATGTGATGGGCGGATTACCTCTCTAACAGTTGCTAGAGGTGTTAACATTAGCCAAGGAGCAGTGCACATTTGCGTGGTGAAAGTGTGACATAACAAAAGTATCGGCCTGATGGGTCCCTCGTTCGATGACACCCATTCAAAGGGACAAGCGCATGACATCCGCGGTGGGGATGTTGCATATGTGCAAAGACCAAAACAAGTTCTTCAGCCGTCTTATCACAATGCACGAATGCTGAGTTCACCTTTCCAACCCAGAAACAAAAGACAATGGAAACACGCTGAGTCGCCTCCAACAAAGAACGCAATGACTCAGTCCTCGCCTGGGAAGGTGATGTCTATGTATTGGGACTATCGCGGTGTCATCCATATGCTAGAAAAGGCCAGACGATTACTTCGCAATATTATAAGTACTGTTGACAAAACTACGTGAAGAGATTAAGCGGAAAAGACAAGGAATGATTGCAAGAGGTTTGCTATGGGCCTTGCTGCTGCAAGACAACGCCCCAGTTCACACCGCTCAAGCAACTGTAGACCCTTGTTCGCACCTGCGCTACGAAATTCTACCACATCCGCCAGACTTGGCACCGGGCGATTTCTTTCGTTTTAGACAATTAAAAGAATCTGTGCGTTTTGCCAGTGATGATCATGTGATTGCTGCAGTGAAAAACGTTTTAGAGAGCGAGACGCATAACTTTTATATCAATGGCATAAGACAAGTCATTCATCGACACACACAATACATCGATGAGAAAAATGTGTAAACGTGCAGGGATCTTATGATGAAAATAATTAATAAATTAGCAAAAGCTGATATCTCTATCATGTTTCGCATTTGCTGCGTCTTTCTTGACGCAGCGTGTCTCTAAACCCCTACACGGGCATTGAGGACTTGCATTTGGAGTAAGCCTCCATTAATATATAATTTAAATTTGTCTTGTCCAGTCTCGTCGCAGCAGTTAAGGGGACCACTAGATAACATCTCCGCGTACGCGCCTCCTACCACGCGGTCCTGCGTCACTACCCAGCGGTTAGGTTAGGGGTTGGGCTAGCCCCTGGGAAGCGGGCAAACTCACACGAGATGTTTGAGCAAATTTCACATGAGGTTCAACGAGAATCGTACCCGGAAAGTCGACACGAGCGCCTTCGCTCTGCGCCAGGAGAGCACTTCTTTCTACCCAAAGGTACGATATGAACTCTATGGATGCCCCTCAAAAGTAATTTTTTGACAGAACAACTCATTCTTAAAACCAAGCGGCAAGGCAATGGTAGGAAGAATTCCTAGCTTAATAAAGAGATGTTTACAAGAATCATGTTGGTGCGATTTGCCTACTGTTATACAATATTTTTGTATAATCAAAATGTCTGGTGGCTCTTATTTGAATATTGTTTGTCTACGTGACAGCTAGCGGCTGCGTTATTCAATCAGAGGCTTCAAATTTTGCTGACGTCACTGCCGAGTTGCCAATAATTATGAAGGAAAATATGAAATCTTACAGCGCGAAGCAAATGCAAATTGAAGAGAAGCGCTCCTTCTCTGGTTCGCTCTTATTGCAATTTGTTTCTTGCTACTGTTGTGATCTGAGGCAAGCACGATCACGTGCCTGCCACCAGAGTGAGCGGAAACATTGCTCTCCCCCATCCTAGCTGCCAAGTAGATAAATAGTATTCGGACAAAATTAGTTTCTTCAGAATATTATCCCAAGTCTCAGGCGAGAATGAACATTCGCAATACACAACGAGCAGTACGAAGGCTGACTGAATTTGAAAGTTCGGAACTCGTAACAGTACATCTGGCACTATATTCATTTAGATGGGTGTATTATTTGAGGTTTGAATTAAATTCATTCATCATTAATTACATACAATATATAGTAAGCTATAAAACGTTATTACTACATGATTTCTTCAATTTATCACTCCATACATGCTTAGGTTGCTCAAAACATCAATTGGTGTCACTGCAGTGCATCTGACAGGGTTTTCGACACTAGCTTCATAGCTAGAACGAATTCAGCCGCATTCGGGTGAATTCTAGCGGCCGGCTGCTATGATTCCAATTGTTCCGTGGTTTCTCCAATCAACACGGAAATGTCGGTACATTACCACCAACAAACAGGCCGTGGACCACGCGCGATCTTTCCTACCTAGTCCTAACAACTCATACTTACACATACTACACGAGTGTAGAGCTTGTCCCGGCTGGGGAGGTGCCCCGTTAGTGGACGGGATGATACCTGGTTGGAGAAAACCCCCCAAGCCGCCAAGAAGGTCGGCGGCGGCGGATATCACCCAGCGTGGAAGATCACCGCCACATTCCGAGATAACATGCAATCCACTTATGGGACTAATGGCCTAAGCAGTTGTGCCCAGAAATTTCAATCATTCCCAATTTCATCTACAACGCTTTAGGGTTTGTCTACTTAATTTTATTATTGCAATGATTCATCTTACTTTATTACTCTAGTTGACAGCAACATTGACTTCTTTATTCACCATTTCCCGAAGATAAATATTATTAAAACAGTACTATGCTGTATAATTTGGCTCAAAAGTATCCACATTAAAAACAAGCTACTCAGGGTATACTCATACTTACGAAAGTACTATGTACCTAACCCAGCAATGGGTGGAGTGTGTCTGAGTCACCTCTATTACAGTTTAGGAGCACACTGTACTTTTAGGTATATTTTCAAAGTTTCCCAATAATTTTCAAGGAAAACTTTATGGACGTAGCTGGCCAGTTATCTGGCAATTGCAACCTATCCTTTCGGAGAAATTTCGTGGCAAAAGAAATGTGACCCAACATGGGGTCAGACAGCCGGCGCCTCCTTTCCTTACCGCTTCTTGCCACTATTTGTGAAATTGAGGTTGCACACTCGGCGAATTTTCTTCCCATCACAAGATATGGTTTTATTTACAAGCCATATTGACTAATATAGTAGTATATTATTTAATAATTTGTCCTTATTTTTAAAGTTTTATTTAGATATTAATCAAATGTAAATTATAATATACAAGTTTATTCTTATAATACATTTGTGATTGTAATATACTTACATGATAACAAATGTGTTTGTATACATAAACTATTTTTTAAGAGAATGATTTTCCTTCCTATTTGTGATGGAAAAAAAATTAAAAAAACAACATTGTTTGAGAACTATGTGACTTTGAACACAAACATTTGTAAAGTAGCTTGAAAATTGAAATTTCATTGAAATTTATAAATTACAGGTTCACGTTTCCTAACTGTGTAAAACTTGTATTAATTTAACAAAATGAAAGTATTATATTATTATTTTCAGTTCTCATCTTTTTACTGCAGGGTAACTGTCTCACTCTACAATTTATTACAAAACACAGTGTGCTTACTGCCAGGTAAAAAAAAGTTGTGTGAAATGCATGCTGTAAAAGCTAGATTATCATTATAATATTTTAAAGGTAGAAAAGAAACAGTGTAATGATATCAAAGTTAGAGTATTTTCATCGAGTCACACTGCAAATGAATAGAAGTCTCATTTTATTAATACACCACCCACTTAGCCTTCCAGAAGCACCATCAACGAAAACAAATATAACCAAACGTTTGCAAAAGGGAGAAATATTTTTTAAGAAATTGAGCATGATTCTTCTGTGTCTAAATTTATATTTTATTAATTGGTCTTAAAACACCAGATAACCAACTTCCATGTCTGGTTAACAAAGACCATTTAACCAGGACAGGCAACAAAATTCATGTAAAAATTGTTTTTTGATGTTTGTGTATAATAAGTTGTGATTTTATGAAAATCATACTATTGATTTAAAAGGGGACCCATTTGGGAAGTTGGAGAGCAGCTGTGCAACAGTCCATTTCTCATTTTCTGGCAAGAAATGTAAAGAACTGCAAACAAATAATTGAAGGAAATTTACTAATAATAAAATGATGTTCTTTTTACATCATGAACATTCACTGGAAGGGGACAAATAACAACACTATCTAATTCTTCCCAGTTTTCTTCAATAATTTTATTCATAAATTTCAGAAAAGTCTAAAGATCACTACATCATCACTTCACTCGTGCACTCAGAACCTTTTTTATTGGGTAGAAGAAGGTAAGGGGATAACAGGTTATTTTTATTCATATATTATTGATGCGCCTTCAGAGAACATAAATAATGTGTGATTAGATTAATGTTCATTTCTGTACAAAACAATATAAAAATGTAGCTACTTTAATGTCTTTAGTGAGTTTCAAGTTTATCAATATTGCACCATTTTCACAGATTTATGAGGAACTATTTGGGAAAGAGATTCAGTAAAGGAGGTGCAAGTGGAAAAGCAGCTCTGAGTAGGTCGTCTTCTAAGAGCGCCAAAACCTCAAGCAATGTAGTAAATATACCTAAATAAATGAGTAAAGTTTATTTGAAGTTAGTCATTTAAATTTTTCAATACTGAATTCTTCCTCTAAAGAAAGAAATATTAGGGCAAAAATTTAGACTGGGCCCACCGAGTAAAGGTATTAATTAGATATGTAGCTTTGCCATAAGCGGCATCGCTGGCACACCAATCAAGTGCCGTAAGTAATATGAAGATTCAGAATCTTTGAAGAACTTTCAAATAAAGATTCAAAATATGACCAGAGCTACATTTTATATACTTTGTTTTTTGCTACATAATGATTTCTTAGACTTAAATGTTTTCTCATATATCTTTTTTTTTACTGAAGAGAATGTACAAATGAAGTACAAGTAACACTAGGACAAAAGAAAGGTTCATTGATTGGTAAATAAATGTATCATAATATTACAATGGTTTTGGTATAATACCTAGCACTGAAACAGTCTTCCAAAGGATAAGAACAAAGAAAGTTATTTGCATTTCATGCTACCTGACGAGAAATGGACCTGAGAACTATAAATATAGAATGGCATTTCCACAAAAGAAAACAAGACTAAAAACTAGTTACATTTTGTTTAACCTTCCTAGATGTAGTATGTACCTTTTATTACTCCAGAAATTTCTTTCTAATCTATTAGAAAATATAAACACTGAGGTTTCCTTTGGAACCTTAGTCCATACATTGCTAAGAAGTACCTGAACTACATTGGGCTCAAAATGTACAAATACATTATTAGTACTATTACAGAAAAACAAAGTTTGAAGGGAAAAAATACAATAACTATTAAAACTAATCGCCACTTGTACAAAATATAATACATTTATTTGCCCATCCTAATAATCCACTTCACAAGTTTCACCCAAACATAAACTGACCAAATTTCTGAACGAGCTTAAATAAGTTATTTTAAAATGTTCACTATCATTATACAATAAGCATCTTGACTTTCTTTAACAGTTCATTAGCAACACACACATTTCACAACATATCTATGAAACTATTTTCAGCTCTCCATACTTTGTTCTTGCTCTGTGAGTTCCTGATATCGGGCGAACATCATTTTCTTAACACAGTCTTTGTATGTTTCACCCGGCAAAGCACCGTAAGTGCTATCCTTAGATCCGAGACCTGCTGTTGAGTTACGCTGCTCTGTTTGAATAATGGAAGTACGACCCTGGTTTGCCTTCCCCAACCCCTGGCCTTCCTGCCAACCCATTTTTTGAAGCAACTTGTTCCCTACATTTTCAGACCCGATACCTGTTTTAGTGGGTTCTTCGTATGAAGCAGACACAGCCTCCTCTTTCACTTTCAAATACTTTTCCTTCAATCTGTTTGGATGAGGAGGGTCAGGTTCACCAAATTTAAGTCTACGTTCTTTAGCTCGATCACGATATTTGTTGTTTCTCTGTTGAGGATCATGTGGGTCCAGACCTCGAACCTTATACCAATTTTCCAAATTCTGCTTGTGTAGATCTGACAACTGCTGATGGCGAATGAGAGATTCTTTACTAGGAAATTGACGTTTGCACAACAAACAAGCAAGTTTTGCCCAATTGGTGTGCTGTTTCTCTTCTTGCAGAACATCTTCAATTTCTTCATCACTCTCACTGCCGCCACCGTAAGCTGCCACAAGGCTGGTAGCACTTGCATTAGCAGCCTCTGTTGCAGCAGCCTGCTTCTCTTCAGCTTCTCTTAGAGTAGCCAACACTGTATCTTGTGACTGTCGTTCCTTTCTTTCTAGGATAGCATAACCAGCATCAGCGGCACCAACAGATTTGCTTAACGGAGCTGAAGCAGAGGCTAAAGTAACATTTTGAAGAGCATTGTCTTTTTTCTGGTTTAAAGTCTTTGCCCACCTTTCCATATCTTTTGCTATTTTCTTAGCAACTTTAACTTTATCCTGTTTTTCCTTACCCTTGCCCTTCTTTCCATCATCTTTCTGTGCATTTGCATCATCACCAGCTGTTGTATTTGCAGCAGGTGCAGGCAAGTAGGTCTGTTTTTCGGCTTCCCAATACAAAAATTGTTGTGTTTGGGCATTGTAATAATATTGTGAATTGGCATCATAGTAAAGACCAGTTTGTGAGTCATAATAATACCCTGAAGTCCCATCATATTGGTAAGTGCTTACATCAGGAACAGGATACTTCTGAAGCCCTGATGGCCCCTGTGGAGGTACTGATATATAAGGAACAGACGTAGCTGCAGCTGTCACACCACCTGGTGCATTCTGGTAGGTTCCAGCTGCAGCAGCCTGTGTGGCATGACCTTTCAATTGAGCCATTTTATACACATCGTAGGATCCGTTTTCATCGCCTTTTCCCTGACGGGGGTCATCTGCGGTCTTCTTTATTTCCTTGGCAGCCTGCAACTGTTGAATAGCTGACTGAGCAACAGCTGCAGCAGCATTGACTGAATCTGTCTGTGTCTGAGATGGAAGAGTAATAGTGCCACCTTGGGCTAGTTGATTTTTGTAATATTGAGTATAATATTGAATGTAAGCTGCACGTTCTTGGGGTGATGTGGCATAGAGAGAAGCACAATATTCTGCTAAACGTGGAATATCTTCCGCTCTGTACTGATGATTTGCATCTGCATGAGCAGCCCACTGACTATCTCTGTCAGATGCCACATTACTGGTTGTTCCTGATGTTCTTTGAGGTACTTTACAGTATGACACTAATGCTTTTCTTCCATCAACTACCAAGGGGTCGGACACTAACGCATCATGAAGATACACGGAATCCAAAACGTTATTTAACTCTATATAGCATATACCTCTTGACGTGTTTGTCAAGGCATCCTGGCCAATACGGATACTGCGAATAGGGAGATTGGAGAATTGCTGGTTTTTTAAAGCTTGCAATACAGAATCTTCAGTAGACAAAACATCAAGGTTTCTCAAAAGAACAGTGTTTGTAGGATGTGGACTCACTTCATCACTACCTTCACCTCCTTCATCTGATACCTGACGTGATGCATGGCACTTGAAGCACGTATCTCTTCTTTTGAAATTATGAGCCCCGCATATCACACAATGCCAGTCTTGAATTCCACTCTTTAACATTGATCTGTCAAACGATGGATCTTTTGGAATGCTAAAATGCATTTCAGCCCGGTAACGGTCTTGAAGCATCAATACACCTTGTTTCATTTCCATCCACCGTGATGCTTCTTGAACCGTATTGAACTCCACAAACGCAAATCCCCGTGAAGCTCCTGTGTCTTTCTTGCGAATGAGGCGAATGTCTCTGGGCATTAGATCACAGCATAAAATGTCCTGCTGAATGTCACTCTCTGTAATGTGCTGAGCCAGACCCCTGATCATTATAGTGCTGTTTGGAGCTTGATTTTTGTACCCGTCTCCATCTCTGTATCTTGAATCACCTGAACTTCTTGTTCCGTGGTAATCACTCCCACGATCATAACTATCGAGGCTTTCTGGACTTCCATTATCTTTCAACCGCCTGTCTCGGTCGTGGCTGTCCCAGTCTTTGTCGTAGTTCCTGGACTCCCGCCGATCCCTATCCCTGCCAGAGCGAGCATCTCTCGAGGAGCTTCTTGTTCTACCATCCTTCATGTCCCTGGAATCAAACTGATCTCGACTACTTCTAGAATCACGATAATCTCTTCTTCGAGAAGAGTCACGTGAACTAGATTCATAACTGTCCCTATCTCTGGGTCCATCTCTCGATGAACTTATGTCTCTATCACGATCTCTTTCCCTAGAGCGAGGACTACTATCGTAATATGGCCTTCGGTCAGACTCTTCTCTACTTGATCTTCTGTCAACATCACTATACCTCTTACTGTATTCAGATTTAGGATTTTTACCAAACCGATCCCTATCATCCTCGTCTTCCTGTGGATAATCCCACGTTCGAGACTTATCTCTTTCCCTACTCATTCTCCTGTCCCAATCACGTTCACTTTGCTTCTCATTATACGTGTCACTCACATACGGATAATCATCTCTTTGTTCCTGTTCTGAACTCATTGCATCGTATTCTTGTTTGTCTCTTCTACTCGAAAGCGAGTCTTTTCCCCGCCCAGAATACATTGAACCCTCAAATTGCATGGCATAAATTTAAGCCTCAAACAGGCAAGCATAATCAAACAACAGCATTCCCGTCATGGGGGATTGAACTTACAGATCACGGAAGGGGAAAAGAGTTCTGCAACTAAAGACGCACGCAATCGACCGACGATTTCAGTCCTGACCTGGAACATAGAAGGAACAATAAAGATAACAAACTAAGCCAATCAACTTCTTCAGACACATCGACATTACAGTTCTAATAGAGATCTTCGTACACGAATACTGGAACAAACTTGGTGTTTTATGTAGTGTACATCGGAGTCATACAGATAATAAACTCTTCTACTGAGAATGTCATGCTTGCAAAGGCCATATTTCTTCTCTCCCAGAATGACAAGCTCTTGAAAATATAAATTATACTCAACTATGTGTACATTAGCATTTAAAAAGAAGAAAAAATATAATGGAAGAAGTTGCAGACTGAATATAAAAGATTAACATGCAGGACTGCAATGTATAACTGAATTTGGTACTCGTTGCAGGTGACCTCAAGTAATATAGCAGTAATTTTATTCAGAAGACCACATCCTTCAGTCCTGCCAATGTTCTAAGTTTATTAGTAATGAGCAATATTTATTAGGAACAAATAAAGACATTAATATAATAAAATGACTTTCTTAATGAAAAAGAAACTAAATGAAACCAGGTCAGGACAAACAGGCCATCACAAGCTCAAATTAAAGGACAAGAAACCATACCATCTTCTCAGACCAATTGATGCACCAAAAGATTTCTTATAAAGGTTAAAAGGGATCAATAAATCTGGAGAGAAACAAAATAAGTGCTACAAAACTTACACATCCACAAAAAGGTTTGAAAAAAACTTAAATACCAGGTGCATTTGGTAGGGAAGTATGCAAAATAAAGAAAATCTAATCAATCTATTCTTTAAAACACTTTATTCATATCATATTTCCATAACACATCATGTACTTGCAAATTATTTTGTCCACATTAAAATTTTTTGATCACACTGCCTAACTTTTCAACTTTGTAATGACTACAAAAGCAATAAAAATCAATGTTTGTAACAATTAATATACTTTATATGCCTTTACTCACATCTACTACGAAAGAATTAATCTTCACTTTTCAAAGTGTACAGGGTCATTTACAGCATACTTTTGATAGTATAAAATAATGTTCTCAAAATTTAGATATTAGTCAAGTGAAATATAGTACCTCCTCAAAATTCTTCAAAGGTTTCCCAAGAATTAAAGAATTTTGAAGTACATATAGATTTAAAGATAGTCATCTATAACTGGAAAACAATCAGCTCTCAGACAGAATAAAATTATGCAATCCTGAAAAGAAATGTCCTTTTTGACATCTTACTAGAAGCAATTGAAAAATAAATGAAAGGACAGATTTAGCAATTGAATTTCAATACTTCTGGATTAAATTTGAAACTTTTCTATACAAAGAATGATCACCAAAATATCGATTTCCCCTTAAATAGCCCAGAAAAGAAAATTAATAAAAAGAGAAGTTCGTATTTTTTAAACAGAAGAAATCTCCACCTGATTTTGCTGGGGGATATATTGTTTTTATGTTAATACCAAATTACAACCTTGCGAATTTCACACACTAAAAGGTTAGTTTTCTTCACAAAAATCTTTAGTTGTACCTCCTGCATCAATTAAATGATTAATTATATTTCATCAAGAAAGAAAGAAAAAAAAATCAATTGAAATATGAGTATTTTAATTTCAAGATCTGGAACTGCATATTAGCTTTAAACAGTTTTAGGTGTAAATTATGTGATTTGGTTAACACTAAAGCAATCATGCAAAATTTAAATCAACTGTGATATATGTAAAGATATTGTAATGCTCCCGATATAATAGAAAAAAGTTAAATTGATCTGAAAACCTGATCCCTAACTTGATCTGAAAAACTTTTCTTGGTAATTAAAATCAATTAAAGGTTTAAAATAAAAACAGAAGCAAACTTTTTCAGAAATCCCTAAATAATCTGATTATCCTGAAACCAAAAAGTATAGTTTAAAACATCACATACTAAATATACAGGGCCCAATGAAATATCTTTCTAATTATTTCATACTCCCTACGCATATGTTATTTAAAACTTAAATCTCCATTACCAACAATGCAAAATTCAATGCTTTTTTTTTCTTCCCCTTCAAGTAAACCCCAAATGTGGTGGTCATTCCAAAAAACACACACAAATTAGTTTAGTTTCCTCTTCAGGATAACACAGAACATCTCTGTAGAATAATGTCAAAGCAAGAAAGGAATTGTTAGTACCATGTAATAAAGCCAAGGAAAAAATATATTCCAAATAAGAATTATTACAAATATTTCGTTGGAGTCTCTTTACCGTCATAACCTAGATAGAAAGTAAGTTAAAAACAGCCAGAAAAAACAAAATCTTCTGAACTACTGGCATCACTGCAGTTTGCATTTCACTCCTTTCTTGAATGATATACATGCGTGTATACAACATGTCATATTGGGTTATTTAATTGGATATAATGCCAGAAACATAACTATGCATTTAAATCCCTTCTATTCCCTGTTCATGAAAAATAATTTTCACAGCAATTATTATCCTTCACAAAATATTTTTGGATACAGATCCTTAAACCCACATCAGCAAAATAAGCAGCATGATAGAAAATTTAATGAACTCTCAAAAGCAGTTCCCAAAAAGATTCTTCACTACTGAGCCCGGAAGTTGCAGCAAACTTCAATTAAAAAAGCAATATTAAGAAACATTATGACAAAACCACAGCTCCACACACTCAGAAAATAATATTTAATGAATTGCATTACATTAATTAACATCACTTACTTAAATTTATCTTTACCCATAAATATTAAACTTAATTTTTTGTTCTTGTTCATGAAGTGAACTGTCATTGGTGATACATGAGCCATTGTATAAAAGCTCTTGTGACACTGCTTGTGCAGTGCAGTTCTTGTAATGGAGAAGTTTGGATGACTTTCCATGTTAGTGTGGAGTAATCTTAAAATGAGCACTCCCAAGAAGTTCTCCCAACATTCTAAAATCTCAATTTGCTTTGTTAATTACATTGGTTTTCAAACAAAATGAAGAGTGCAAAAAGCTGTAAAAATTTAAAATGAAGTTGAAAGGCAAGATAAAAATAGCTAATGAAATACTCACAAAGATGCATCAAAACATCCCAATGTTGAAAGAGAAACGGCCAACAAAAATTTTTGCCAAACTTCCGGGCTCTAATTATTATTTTTGCCAATATGAGAGTACACTGCACACGAGTGCAACGTGATGCTTCTACTGGAACTGCAGACTGTCAGAACAGAGAAGTTATTACTACATTGATATATACATTGTATATGCAATAAAAACCACTATATTATTGTATTTATAAGATTAATATGAAGCATCTGCACAATTTAAAGAAATTACAAGAAAATGCACAAAGAGAACAACTTTGTTAAGCATGATAACTATAAAAGTTAAATAAAAAATATTATGTAATAATTATTATAAAGCTCAAAGGTTTGGTTGAATTCAGTAAACGGTCCAAGAGTATTGTAAAATTAAGGAAAAATATCAAGGGAAGAATAAGGCAAGACAAATTGAATAAGCATTCATTTTCAGATACTATAATGAACCTCAAACCTCACAAATACTTGGATTTGGAAAATATTTTTTAAATTAAGTTCATTCAGAATACTGATTTTCATTTACTGTGTGTTTATGTTGCTCTTATGTTGCCTTTGTTTTTGATTGTGTTCATTTGTTGAGAATAAAATTTGAGTTGTCAATACTAGCAAGAGAAATTATATTTTTCATAGTTTCCTTTACATTGTACTTATATTGTTTCTCATACTCATTTGTATGTAATTGTTGTGATTAATTTTGAGATTTTAATGAATATTTTGATAAAAGAAAACTTACAATTTCATGTATTTGAAATAGGTTTATTTAAAATATTTTGGTTAAATGTTTTTTATGGAGTTTTTAACTTCTTTTCAAATATTTGGATTTTGGGGGCTGCGAAAATTTAGCCAACCCTGTACCATAGCAAATATATTACAAAACTAACAAAAATAAGTCAAATTACCCAACTTCATGGAACTTGTCACCTAAAATAGTATATAGCATTAACAACATATGTATACTTTCTACATTTTTCTCAAGGAGAAAAATAATGTTCAAACAGTACTTATAAATCACAATTATATTATCATACCGAACCTAATCAATAACCAAATCATTAATGACTAGGAATTGAAACATGTCCATTTTATTTTATTTACAAGAATTGTGATTTGGGTAGGGAAAAGTAATACCAATTAGATATCATATCCCTCACTTTTAAGATATTTCAATGCAGAAGGTAACTAAAAGTATCAAGGGCAAGCACATGCAAAACAAAGCGGTGAATGTGACCAACACTGCATTAATCTATTGCATTCTAATAGATCTCTACAATTCACACACTTCTATGCCACGGGGCATTAGGTACACACCATTCACTTGCAATAAAGCAAGAATGTGTGCAGATGTCACAGTTCCACAAAACCCCTTATCCCTTCCCACAGCTTCTATTTGCCAGACTACTGGCATGAAGCTGACAGCTGGTAGTAATTTTTTCTACACATGTGCACTGGCAACAGCTATTGCACAAGTGTCCCTGCACTTAAATTTGTGAATAAAAAAGTCTTGGAGCTTATATACAATAGTTACTTTAACAAACTTACCAGATACAACTGACATATGACCTTTGCCTGACTTAAGTCCTGTGTAAGGGCAGCCTCACGTTACACCATCCACTCGTTTGAAAAATCCACAAGCCGCCACTGGAAATATCATTCAACCAGACAAATTAAGTGGACTAATAAGACATTTGAAAAAAAAGTGGAACACATGAAGCTTTCATAGTTAGAAGAGAACTTTCATTTACAAACAAAAAACTTTGCAATTTTCATCCACAGATCTATAAACATTTAATAGTCATTCTTACAGGC